CTCTAGAGGATCCCCGATGCGCCTTTAAACTTTGTGCAGGATTGGGAAAATCTTCAAAGGCGCATACCTTTTTCCAGAAAAAATATCTCGCCACGCGATGTATTGAAATGCATTTACAGTTATGTCGCGAAATGCTTTGAAATACATTTCGCGACGCTCATGCATTGAATTTCGAGGGCGCGGAAATGCATTTCAATACATATTTTCGCTACATGAATAACCCCATTATGAGCCAAATGTAGATCCCATTAGGTTTCAGAGTCCCATAGTACCAAAAAATCTATAGCTTATTGTTATTTTCTTTTTTGAAGGACAAGACGCAGTGCATTCTTATTATCGTTTTTTTTCTTTTTTCGACAGTTCAAAAAATTTGACCAATTTAAGAAGACCAAGTTTCTTTTTATTTCGTTCGTTTTTACCCATAAATCGCCACTGATTAGTTGTGTTCTTGACGGAAAAGAGACTGTTATTCCTTATTTTTCCCTCTTTTGTTTTCGCTCACATATCTCATTGTCAGTCCGTATAAATATGTACATAATTATATTCCCATGTGCCACTTTGTTATTCGTTGATAAAATTTTTTCAATTAGATACCAACCATACAGGCCAAAATTATAATCATCACTTCTTCAGTTATGAATTCGGATTCAAAAAGTATATCGCAGTTGTCTCATTTGCGCCATCGGTCTGTTGAGTTCTCGACCGCGTAGCTAATCAGGTAGCGTTCTAAATTTTTTGACTTCTCCGTTTTGTATTCGACCTATTAAACCTATTTAAAATTCCACGTCAGAAGCTCATCGTTCCTAAAAAGTCTTATAAATTACATTTGTCCTACCTAAGCCGTGACTCGCCGTATTTGGAAACGCTTCTCAGTCATTATTTCTGGGCTCGGCAGACGGAGCCAGATTTATTTCCCCCTTCTGTTTAACATAATCCTAGTACAATTCTCCTTTTTTTGGCTTTTTTTCCACCCGTTCATTTTCTTTTCATTTCTTTTTTTCGATGTCTTTCAAGCGGGTGGAAGCAGGAAAGAGTCACCAATTTTATGTTGGTTTTCTTTTTTTTGCCATGAACATATATCGTTTTTTATCTATTAGACGCCCAACCAAAACGTCAACTTTAAGCTCATATATCTAGATTCCTGTGAGAGATATCAAATTTTTGTCAACTGACAAAATATTAATGATATTATGATAAACATGTTATTAGTTGACCAAATTTTGATATCTTTTACAGGAATCGAGATAATTGACCTCAAAGTTGACGGCTTGGGTTGACTATTAGAGAAATTACAGTACATAAAAGTCATCCTAACATGCACAAGAATATCCTGAAGTTTCTACCCACAAGGCAATTGCCCACAAGGCAATTTCCCAAGAATATAATAAAATTGGATCGGTTTACGACATAATAGTAGATTTATTATCTTGTGGTCAGAACCTAATAGACATCGGAAGAGACTTTGTAAACCGTCAGCCGTTTTTTTTTGAAGGACAAAATGCTCTCCCTTTCCGTAGATTTGGTTCTCAGAAATTGGCTTTCTTAGATTAGTCAGAATGGCATTTGAAAAAAAAAAGTAAAGCTTATAAATAGCACAAAGTACTTCATAATAGGGTTCGTTAGGAAGGTTTTTTGAATGTTCTTGCGCTTTTCTATTTTGTTTATTTAGCACAAAATATATTGTCAAATTCCTTATGTTAATCCTTAAAAATCAAAATTTTAACAGAGTTTGGAGATTCCGTACTTGCCATCTTCGAAGCATATTAAGTGCGTTCACTTTGAGCTTAATTATCTCGGTTCTTATGAAAGATATAAAAAATTTGCTAACTGATAAAATTTTTATCATAATATGACCAACATTTTATCTGCTGGCCACTTTCTGACATCTCTCATAGAAACCGAGATACGTGAGCTCAAAGTGAACGTATAGGATGCCACATTGTATTCATGATCATCCACCTCGTTGCCCTATAGTTTGTATGACTATGTTTCAATGTTGTTATCTTATCTGTACACCATCTTTTGTTCTATCGTTGCTTATCTAGACACATATCGTCTGTCTCGCAATACATTTTTGTATCTCCTCTCTTGCGAATGTTTGTAGTCCTTCGGAGGACTCCCTTCTTTCTCGTTCACATTTTGAGCCCTAAAATTTAGAAATCCAATGGCTTCTACCGTACCCATTTTCTTCGTTCCCACTTCATTCCATTTCAACCGCCTCACATATCTCCAAACCTTTTAATTTCCTTTTCTTCTCCTTCTGTCAAAAGAAGAAAAAATAAATCGCATCTTTGCCAGTGTCTGACTCTTCGCGGAGCCATCACATTCCCTTCTAAGCCATGCCCCTTTATTCTCCTCTTTTCACTTTTTTGACACTCCCTGGGCGGAAAAAAAGACTCGATAATATTATGTTCCCCATGTCTTGGAGACCCCGCAATTTTAGGAGGACAAATAATTTTGGGACGAAGAGAAGCCTTTTTTTAACTTTGGAGCATTTTGAGCATGAGCTTTGGACGCAAGCGTGTACCACGTTTTTGTAATAGAACTCCAAACGGTCAGCTTCGAACTCAATTATCCTCTCAAAGATGTGAAAAATGGACAACTGATTAATTGTTTATCATAATTTCAAAAATATTTTATCAGTTGACATATTCCTGATTTCTTTGAGAGGAACCGAGATAAATTGAGTCAAATTTGACAGTGGGGAGGTCCATCCTTATTTGGTGGGGATTGGGGAAATGTGCCCAACGTTTGCCCATTAACTAATTATTAGTTTTCAAACTGTTGTATTGCTCATTACTTCTGAAACTTTCTGGTTATGACCATGCTTCTGCCTGCCCTTCTTATTTTTTATGCAGCTTCTCCTTCCTCTTTACCGTATCCCTGATTAAGATTTCTCAGAATTTTCCCTTCGTCTTTCAAGGTGTCGTCCAACATGGTCAAGTCTCCAGAAGCCATCGAAAGTGGGTCAAATTCAAAATACCGTAATTTTTCTAATAGAAGCGCATTCAAACCGACCACTTTGAGATAATTAACTCGATTACTGTAAAAGACATTAAAAATTTGTCAATTGATAAATTGGCGATCATGTTATCAGCTATATTTTTTTAGTTAACGAAATTTTGATATCTTTCACAAGAACTTAGATAATTGGGCTAAAAGATGATGGCGGGTTTAATCACGATTTAAAATGTTGCTTTTTCAGATGACTATCTCAAAAAAGAGCTCGAAAGAGTCACAAAGGAATATCTGAAATTCGCAAGTACCTGGCAAACAGAGAACGATCGATTGAGTGAGTTTCAATAATATCATTGAAATTCATAATTATGTTTTTTCAGAGTTAGAAGCGAAAGAAAAAACGACAGCTCTGGAAGACCTGCATCAGAAAATGCAGGCCATGTCGTTGGAGTTGGCCAAGGTTTTGAGTATGTTTGAGACAGTTTTATTCGAAAAAAAGTGCATTTCCAGTAGAGAATAATGCTCTGCGAATAGAAAACGCACAACTTTTGGAGGATGTGGTGGTGGAAGAGGCGATGGAAGAGGAGGAACAATATGAGGATGGGGAGGAAGGTGAAGGGTATGAAGATGAGGAAGAAGAAGAAAAGGAAGATAATGAGCAGGGTCAGTATATGGAAGATGAGCAAGTTGACGGAGCACAAGACGAAGAGGAGGAGGAGGTACCATATGACCCATCGATGCGATATGATTATGGAGATGTGTATCAGTATGATCGGGAGAAAAAACGAGAGGTTCAAGATGAGGAATATGTAGAAGCAGAATACGAAGAGGAGGAAGGAGAAGTCGATGTTGTTAATTAATGTGAAAAATGATTTTTTTTAATGTACGCGGGTAGTAGAAGTGTCATTTTGTAATATAAAAAGTTTTTGTAAGTAATAAATAGAAATGTAACATTGTATAATTAATTTTTTTTGTAAAATTTGCTTTTTGTGAAGATTTCTGTGAAATAAAGTATTATTATTTTGAGCATTCTGAATTGCAGTATCGATCGATAAGATGTAAAGAAAAGTATTTTTCAGCTGATTCTGACCATTTTCAGGAATCTGAAGCTCGGCTGTTAAGTTTCGGATCACTTTGAACTTTTTTGAAATTCTCAGTTTTTCAGCTGTTTGCTGATTTCTGAAAGATGTTTTTCACGTTTTCAGTACAAAGACATACCAAAAAATCTCCGGTTCTTCTTTTTTACGGATTTTGGTCAGATTTTGGTCAGAAGCGGGCCACTGGCAGCAATGGGATTTTCATTCCGGTTTCCGGAAAAATATTTTTGTCCGGATTGCTAACATATTTGTTAATTTGCAAGAATTCTCAGACTTTTTGGGACTTTCGCGACTAAAAATGCAAACGATATGTGTCTTTAGAACTTTTCTGTCCATTTGAAGAACTCAAAATTCCGGATTCCGGGTTTTTTTTCATTCCGGATTCCGTGAAATTTTTATTTGTCCGGATTCCGGATTCCGAGAAAATCATTTTATTCCGGATTCCGGATTCCGGATTACGTTTCTCAAAAAAATCCACACCGGACATCTCTGGTGTTAAGAGGTCGGAAGCTGGCCGGTAGTTTGCCGGATCTTGGTCGGCTTCCCACAATGTCTTTGCCGGAATTTGACCAAGCTCCGGCCAAAAGTGGTCGGCAACGCCTGAGATAGAAGGCGATTTTCAGAAATATCTTTTTTTCAGCTCGAGAATCTTTGCATATGGTTTTGCAGTAAATTTTAAGTATTTCAGACTTTCAGATTTCTTGGAACAAAACGTGTTTCCTGAAAAGCTAAAAATGTCACATTTTTAGAATGCTGTTAATAAAAATAAGCTATTGGAAATGAGCAACCAATTATTATCACCAAGCAGAAATCAAATCACATTTTTAACAACAGTAGGTTTTATTTAACCGAGAAGAATTCCGATTTTTTAAACTCTTCCCATGCTTCAACTTTTGCTATCTCCGCCAGTTTTTCTGACATTTTGTAAATTGTTTATCACAATATCAAAAACATTTCATCCGTCGACACATTTCTGATATCTTTCACAGGAGCCAAGAAAAATTAGCTCTAAATAAACGTTTGAGTGCCCTTCTATTACAGGCTAACACGATATATGGATGTCGTTCTATTGAAAAAATTCGGCATCTTCTAGGCTCTCATTTTTCTGACATCTCATTGGCATTTAACAAATATATACAGTACCCCTTTTTCCATTTCCGTTACCACCCACGTCATTCATCACATCCCCCACACACATCCACCAACGACATTCATCTTCCGACGTCTTCTCCTTCTCCAGAAAAATGCGATTGCATTTGTTTTACGACCCGGACTCTTTGGATTAGTTAGCTTTCTTTTTGGTTAGTCCACGTTTTATTGCTTCTTCGTTCCCGTTTTCCGTTTTTTTTTAGCTTGTCCGGAAGGCAGAAAACAGAAGAAAGAAGTTTGGCGATTTGTCATTTTATGCTCTAACACCTAGCAACCCGAAAACGAAAATTGTGAATTTTGTCTGAAGATTTCTGAAAGGCAAACAACGACATCGTTATAAAAAATTGAGAGAAACTTTTTTTTTAATTTCGAAATTTCAGAAAACCTGTAATAATCGAAGCAAAAAATGCCTGATCTAAGAAGTAAGACCCTTTAGCAATTCATATTCCAGTCTTCCTTTTTTCAGCCACGGCACAACGGCTGGAAGACGTCACTGCACAAGCATCGTATTGGAAGGGAAAGTTGAGAATCATTGAGAAGCAAATGAGAAAATTGGAAAAAGAGACAAAAGGTAGAGATTCTAAAATCTAAAAAACTAGGTCATGACCTAGAAAGTTTGAAAAATAGGTCATACCTAGATTAATAGGTTAGAAATCTAAAAAGTCAGCTCATTTTTTTCAGAAGAAATCAGTCAAGTCCAAGTGGAAACGAAGCAGAAGGAGATGGTTTGGAATGGTTGTTTTAGAAATTTTCCTTTTAGAAATTTTACCTTTCGTTCCAGCTGAATCCGACAGTTTACGACGTCAAATCGAGCAATTGACTCATCAGCTGATTCAAGCCACCGCTGATAAAAAGGAGCTTCAGAAGAGACTTGGTGACGTCCGAATTGTATTTTTTCAGAACAAATATATTTACAGATGTCAATCAGCAAGCTTTCCGCCACATGAATATAGTTCTTCGCCATAACTTGACAACTTCTCAAGGTGGTTTTACAGATTTTGAGCTCAATTATCTCGGTTCCTTCAAAAGATATCAAAAAATGTTCAACTGATAAATTGTTTATCATAAATCACTTATATTTTATCAGTTGACAGATTTTTGATATCTTTTATAGGAACCGAGATAATTGAGCTCTGCAAGTGGGCTTCTATGAGAGTAAATACGATATTCTGACTTTTCAGAGGTTTGTAAAACCAACAACGAGATAATTGGTGCACTCATAAAACAATTTGAAGCTGGGAATCAAACGGGAGAAGGAGCAAGTGGTGGAGCAACTGGAAAATGAAGAATTGGAGCATGTGCTAATTATAATGTCATCGATAATCTGTTTATGATTTTGTGGTCCTGATAGCACCAGACATAAAAACTGTAATTGAAAATGAATCCATACAAGTGTATTACACATTGTTCCGTAAAATAACAAAAACCAGATTCAAATTACCTAAAATAGAAGTGACCAACTTTGAGCTCAATTATCTCAGTCATCTCAGTGTATTTAAGGTATCAAAAATGTGTCAATTGATAAAATGTCTGTGATATTATGATGAACAATTTATTAGTTGACAACTTTTATCTTTGACAGAAACTGAGATAAATTGGATCAACATTAATAGTTCAGATGCTTTGTATTTATATTATTTCATGTGATACCAATCTCTTTTTCTCTTTCCCTCTCGCTACTCTGATATGTGAGAAAAAACAAAAAATTTACATGAACCAAAGCAAACAAACGGTTTCTCGTTCCCTGGCCCTCACTTTATATTGTCATCATCATTTTTTTTCTGGTGTTTCTATCGATTTGCTATTGCTCACGCTTAATTTCAGTCAAGCTATGGACCAAGCTGGTCGAATCCAAGGTATGTGAAATAAGGTCACTAGATTTAATTCCTTATCACTTTAGAATTGGAGATCGAGCTTTGAGAAATGGACGCCGCTGTGAGAACCTTGATTGAGCAGAGGGAAATGGCGCGCCAGGAGAGAAATATAACTCAATGTAAGTTTCACAAAATTACCGAAAGACCTGTAATAGAAGGGTCACTTCACTTTAAACTTAGTGCCAAGTTATCACGGTTCCTGCTAAAGATATGAAAAAGTTGTCAACTGATAAATTGTTGATCATAAAATCATCAATATTTTGTCATCTGAAACATTTTCGATATCTCTTATAAGAGCCGAGATGATTGAGCTCAAAACTGACAGTGTGGGGAAAAGTCTTTGTGCATAAAAAACTCGTTGTAACCTTCTTCTAAGTGATCGGAGCTTTCTGAAACTTTCCAGGCAGATTACTCTATTGCTGAAAATTAAGAATCACTTTGATTTTTAGAATTATCATTTTTAGCTTTCCCGCTAGGATCAGAAGAGTGGTTGATTACACAATGATTGAGGCACAAAGCTTTTTTCAAGTTTAATCTCGTCAATCTTTCTTACTGGTCATGGCGGGTCTTTGAAACATTGATTTTTAAAAACTATGAGTCCTGTTTACAATGTTCATAAAACATGAGACTGTATGGTTCGATAATCAATGAAACAGGATGCGTTCAAACTTACATAGGTAGTTTGAAAAATCTGTTGTTTTGACAAAAAAATTCTCAAAGCGGCAGGAATTCGAGAGGAATTTTCCTAGAATTAGGAAAATGGTATTTTACGATAGGGTAAAAAGAGCTGGCCAGAATGATACAATGTTTTGCTTATCTGTCTCATTCACAAAAGAAAAAATAAAGTTTTTCGAACTTTTGAACGGTCAGCGGAAAACCATGACTGATCAGTAGGTACTGATCGGAGTTGACGAAGTACCATGTTTTTCGAAAACAACAGTTTATTTTCATTTTTAAAACATAGTGTGAACGCTCCTACTAATCTCTGTTCGGCCATAAGCCATGCTGGAGAAAATTAAGAGGAAGTTGCGTGCCAACATTACCTTGGGAAATTACTTTATTCGTTTGAAACCTATGATGGTTAAGCAAATTTTGTAAAATCTGCGTTGTGAAATAGGGCATCAAATGTGAATTCGAATGATATATGGATTCATCAAGCTAGTCACTTAACCAGAGCGATATTGAAGCGAAAACTTAATTTTCATCACGTTTGAGAAACCGATTGCTGCTCCGTGCAAGAAAATTCTACACGAGAGTTGTTTTGTTTTTCAAGAACTACAGTTTTTCAAGAACTACAGTTTTTGTAGTTCACAATAAAATATATTCCCAAAGAATTTTCCTTTCTGTTTACTCACAGCCTACCCTCAAACTCAAAAAACCGTCCAAATAAAAGTAGAAATTCTGAGGTGCCGAATTCAAATTGTTATAACTTTTGAATAGGTCATGAGATTTTTTCAAAATTTGACAGATATATTCAAATAGTCTTTTAGTATCAACTGCAAATTGTTTGGGTACTGTATGACAACGAGCAATATGGATAATTTTGCTTCAAATTTATGCACAAAGACTTTTGCCGCACCTTTTGCTCTACAATGTTAAATTCAATTTTTCAGTGGAGAACAAAAGACTTACAATTGAGCGGGATCGTTTGGAATTGGGTCAGATACAGCTACCAGCCACTGTGGTGGAACTAATGGCGGCCAACGCGCGGCTTTGTAGGTTTTTTTAAAGTGTAGATTTATATAGAAAATGTAGTTTTTCAGTGCAAGAACGTCGTGCTAAGGATCAAAGACTACTTAAATTCGAAGGTGGGATTACTTGAAAATTTGAAAATTTAGCATATAACTTTTTAGCTGCTGTCCAGCATTATCAGGCCCGAGAGCAACAAGGAAATGTTCCAGGAGAACAAAATCCAGGAAACCGAAACTGAATATTTTGTTGTACTTGCTTTATGGTTAATAAAGTTTCATTGTTAATATTTCTTACTTGCTCAGTTGACCTCTTTTTTACTGAAAACCTGGAAAACCATGTGTCTTTCAGAAATCGACAAAAAGCTGAGAGCTAGTGATTTTTGAAACATTCTGTAAATGCAAAGTTTTCAATCTAGGTCTGTTGTACACCCACCAAGATTTTCAAAGTTATCGGAAACTTGACAGCCGAGTTCTAGCCTCCTGAAAATGGTAAAAATGGCCAACAATAAACGAAAAATTACGTTTTTGTATAGCTTTTTGCCCGACACGTATGTCTATCTCAAGAACCCATCCAAGCACTTCATCTTCGTCAATTTTTTACTTTTGTGTCTTCGTCATCGCGAGTCAAAGCACAAGAACCTCGAATTCGCAAAAAAAGAAGCTCCGCCCACATGTAACCACACCACTCACTGCTTTTTTGCGCGAGTTCGTCATTTTTTCGCACACGCGCCTTTTGCTTGCTCTTTCTTGAGCACAAACAACATACTGATTTTCCTTTTTTTTCAGTTTTTTCGTTACTGAATAGCTCGGCACATCGCTGTACACAGAGTTACCGTAAAGGCTCCCTACCTACTTTAAGCTCAATTATCTCGGCCCCTATAAGAATTATCAAAAGCCTGCTAACTAATAAAATATTGGTGATATTATGACAAAAATTTCATCAGTGGTTAGATTTTTGATACCTCTTATATGAACCGAGATAATTGGGTTCAAAGTGAGTGTAGGCTTGGTGGTTGGCTTGGGAGTGAGGTTGGTGAGGTCTATGGTGTGGCGTTTATGTGTTAGAAAATTTAATGTCGGAATCCTTGATCTTCTTTTTCATTAAAAAACTTAAATGTACCTTCTAACACAATTCATTTTTTCAGAATGTTCCTTTATGCATACGGAGGAAATGGAGGTTACGGTGGTGGTGGGGATCGCTTTGGAGGTCGTCGCGATGTGGCCTTTGAGGCCCAATAACAAGGTAAGAAACCCACCCAATATTTTCGCTTTGAGCTCAGTTACCTCGCTTCCTTCCAAAGAGAGAAAAACATTTAACTGATAAATTGTTTATCATACCATCACCTACATTTTCATAGTAGACAGATTTTTTATAACTCTTATAGGAACCGAGATAATTAACCTCTAAATGAGTGGGCTTCTAACAGAGCCCAACGTCATGTATATTTAGTCTCAGCTCTTTTGCTGGAGCTGAGACAAACTCATGCACGACTTGAGATGCTTCTCGCATTAACCAGGCACAAAGATGAGCGACTCGAAGGTCTTGAGGGTAGGTGCAGTAGTTCCTTTCGTTCCTTTCGTTCCCTAGAAAATTTTTCCAGCTGAAAACGAGAATCTCGTTAGTGAGGTGGTCGAATTAAAGGCAATGATTCATAAACAAAGAGCTCAGGTTGAAATTGCGGAAGCCATAAGCGAGCAGCTCAGTGAGTTTTTAGCCTAGATTTTTTCATTTTGAGAAAATAGTTTCAGAGGATGAGCTCAAATTTGTCCAAAGAGAGAAGGAAGCGCTTCAAAGTAAGGTGACACATTGATTAAAATGAAATGACGATTAAATTTTTCAGAAGCCAAAGATGAAGAAATCGCCGAGCTCATGGAGAAGCTTCAGGAGGAGGCGGCTGGAGCAGTGGACACGGAGAATGGAGCCAAGAAGGTTCCAGGAGGTGTCAAAGAAGACTCCGATGCAGAGAGTGGCAAAGCTGCAAAAACTGAGGAAAATGAAATCAAGGAAGAGGAAGGCAATATCGATGGATTGAAGATCAAAGCAGATGGAGAAGGAGGCAAGGAAGAGAATGCCAAGATTGAGGATGATGTTCCAGAAGGAGACAAAGCAGCAGAACTCAAGGCAGAGAAAGCCAAGGTAGATTGTGTGGACGCAGAAGACAAGAAAGTATCTACAGAAGATTTATTTGTATGATACCATAGCTTCCTCCCAACCTAAACTTCACAATGACACCTTGTGTTAGTGTACTTTCTTAACTTTTTAGTGCATTCTTTTTTCTTTTTTCTCTCTACATAAGCAAATTTTCATTGAAACTGTCCCACATCTCATGATCATATGACCTTCCTTTTCCCTGCTACGTATACATCTTCCAGACACCATTCCCCTCTTTCACCTCGAAAAAATTATTCTCAAGGTCACTACTTCTCCTTGCTTGTTCCCCCAGCCTCTTGTTCCTTCTGCCACTTTCTCTTCAAAACTCTCTTTACTAAAGAAACCGTCCCGCCTGCTCTCTCCGTAGATCATAATCTCTAAAAGCTCTTCTGTGTCCCTATTACTTGAATTTATGAATAAAGTTGTTACACTTTAATTAGGCTAATAAAAGAATTACGATTTCGGCAAACATTTTGTGGTGTATGCTGTCCTTTTGGCGCCAATAACCATGAGGGGTATATGGGAAAGCGGACAAGGGCAGCTATCTGTCTCTGTGTCTACTCTCTCCATAAATCAAAGTGTGTTTTTTCTTATGCATGCTCTTCTTTGTCATCATCGTTTGCAAGTACGCTCTTCCGAAGTCTCGGTGGTAATGTAAAGGTTTTGAAATGACACATCAGTCATGAGGCGTTCTAAATTGTCCTCTTGTCTCGACATGTTTTGTTCCTCGTTGTATCTTCTCTTGTCAGAAATTTGCCTGTTTTTTGACGAAACATTGTTAAAGAACTACAGTAATCTTTGCAAGAAGCCCATATCAATAATTCTCAGCTAGACCCATGTTTTCTTCTGTTTCGAATAGGCGCATGTGGGTACTCACTTTTGACCCAGCAGCCTATGCTTAGCTTATTGATTTATTTCGAAATATCGTCATGCTGCTAAAACACACAGATTTTGCGTCACTTTCTTGTAACACTATTTCTTTTCAGAAGTTGGTGGTACCTTTCTCTTCTTGCGGTTTCGTGCAATGTGCCCAGACAAAGGTAATTTAAAAGATAACGAGTTGCAAGTCATAAAACGATGATATTTCAGATGTCGAGCCAGCGACTGCGCTAAAATTGGCGCGCGCTGAGATCAAAGATCTCCAACGCGAGCTAGCCGTCCGCAAAGGTGAGTTAAGTCTTCAATTTGTACTTTTATCGAAGGATTTTTTCCAGAGAAGCACTTGGAAGCTGAGCAGGTGATCCGCAATTTGCGTGATGAGATGCGCAAACAGGGTAAGTCAATTTTGAACCCAGCTATCTCGATTGCTGGGCAGGATATCGAAAAGTTGTCAACTAATAAAATGCTGGTGATGATATGATCAACATTTTGTTAGTTGACACATTTTTTATATCTTGCATAGGAACATAGATAATTGACCTTAAATGGTGGACTCCATTTATAGCTTAGGTTTGATCAAAAACTTCATTTTTCAGAGATCAGTGCCAATCAAAAGATTGCGGATGCCTCGGCTGAAATTGAGCATCTTCAAGAGAAACTCGGTAAGTTTTAACAATTTTTCTTATCACAAGATCTCTAAAAAAGTGGCACGTTGCCCGTCCACTTTGAGCCAATTTGGTTCGGTTCCCGTGAAAGATATGAACAATCTGTCAACTAACAAAATGCTTCTGAAATTATGATAAGCAATTTATCAAACAAAAACTTTTCCATATCTTTGCAGGAACCGAGATATATTATCTTGAAGTTACGGTATCCTCATCATTTACAAAATTTCAGAAAAATTGGCGGAGATAGGAAAAGAGGTCGCTGAGGCATGGGAGGAGTTGAAGAAGTCGGATTAACACGAGAGAGAAGGAAAACTTCGACCCAGGTCCGATAGTCGGAGATTGTTATATGTTGTGTGTTGAAACTTTGTGGTTGTTGTGTTCAATAAATAACCATCTGTTGTTAAATATGTGACCTGATTTGTGTTTGATGATAATTGGTTGCTCATTTCCAATGTAATTTTCTTATTAACACTTTTCTTATTAACCTTCTAAAAATAATCTGCCTTTTAGAACACTATTTTTGTTCCTTCTGCTGAGTTACAATGGCTGCTCCACCAACAAACCAAGCTATTCGAGGTAGGCACAGCAACAACCTCGTGTGACTGGGTAATTTATTTTTAGTACTGGTTCCGGTTGGAGAGCTCCATAAAGCGCTCGATGAAATTGGATTGCTGAGAAACCATATTGGATTGTTTGAAAGTGAGTTGATTAGCCAGTGACAGTTGTTTTTCAGTTCCTCGTAGTTTAGGAGAACTTTGGCGCACCCAAGGCGAAGTCAACGGTCTCAGCGCTCAACGCGTTCACGACAATCAGCTCAGTGAGTTCTTCTAGACAAAAAACACTTTAAACATTTTGAAGGTGAGGGGACATTTAAAAATAATTTTCCCCAAAAATTTTCCTTCCTCCGCTTCTTTAACCCTGGAAAAATAGAAATTGAACTTTTTCAGTTGCCCATCTCAACCAACAACTTCAAAACCAGCAGCGTGAGTGTGAACTATCGACTACCAATACTTACTAAAGCCAAATTACAGACACCACCCAGGAGCTTTTTGCAGCTCGTCAAGAGATCAGTCGCCTTCAATTGGAAGCTCAGCCTCTCAGATACCAAGAAAGTGAGTAAAGGAAGAGAGGATCTTCCTTTTTGATATTTGAATCGGAACAATAATAAATAGCGACTTATTTTTTTCAGACTTTACTGAAGCCAGCCAACTGGAGAGCCTCAAGCAGGAGCTGGAAAATGAGAAAAGGAGTCATGGAACACATCTTCAGCTCTTCTGGGAGTATATGAACAGCTCTCACAGTAAGTTTTATAATGATTACTTCAGATGCTATATGTTATTTTCTTGTTTTCAGATGAAATCGAAGAGCTGAAAGCAAAAAACGCTGAGCTGGAGGAACGGCTGGCTAGAGCCGATGGAGCTGCTGGAGCCGATGGAAAATGAAATGAACTTCTAGAAATATGTTGTTTTTTTTTGTTGAATTGAATTGTTGAATTGAATAAACTTTCCATTGTTCTTGAAATTTGTTAGAAAAAATCGCAATCTGAAACTTTTAAAAACTAATATGACTCCTGATGGTTTTGCACTTCGAGCTCAGCTACCATATTTGCTCTGAAATCTGTGCAACCTATACGTCCACTTTGAGCTCAATTATTTTCGTTCCTATGAGAGATATCGAAAAGTTGTCAACTGATAAAATATTGAAGAGAATGCCAAGCTCAAAGAGGCACTTCGTGTGTCGAAAGGTAATTTAGGCAAATTTATTTTACATTTTAAATTTTTGTTATTTCAGAAAACGAAAACAGACTGTGATTCGACTTGGCTCTGGCGCAGAACCATTTAATGCAAGGCGGTGAGGGGAATCTTTAAGATGTTTTTGAGAAATTGTGAAAATTTACTTTTCTTAGAGATTTGGTATACAGATCTTCAGCGCGAGTCGGTATTTTGTTGATGGCCGAGCGTCGCCTCGCCGCAATGTACGGTAAGAATATTTTTGAAAATACCGCTTCTTTTTTCTAAAATTTCCCACCATTCTGTCCTTGTTATAACCCCGCTCCCAGACACATCAAATTTGGATCTAAACGATAAAAAAGGCTGAAAAGGGCACCGGACGGTGACTTGTAGTCTTTTTTGCAAAAAAAAACACGTGGAGACAGAAAATGTGTTTCTCTGTGACTTTTCGAAACATTTTGAACTTCTTTGGTTCTGGACACGAGAAATCAAATGAGGGAAAACCGGAATCAAGTGAGTTGTTTTTTCAAAAAACTCTGGTTTTCCAGATTTTCTAGGTCTTTTTTTTTTTGAAAAATTATTTCTTGAAAAAATTAGGTCGTGACCTAAAAAATAAGGTCATGACCTAGAGAAAAGTAGGTCGTGATTTAGAAAAAAATTAGGTCGTGACCTAGAAAAAATTTGTCATAACCTAGAAAAAAGTAGGTCATGACCTAGAAAAAAATTAGGTCGTGACCTAGAAAAAAATAGGTCATGATCTAAAATAAGTAGGTCATGACCTAGAAAAAATTAGGTCGTGACCTAGAAAAATTAGGCCGTGACCTAGAAAAAATAAGGTCATGACCTAAAAAAATTAAAAATTAGGTCATGACCTAGAAAAAAATTACGTCGTGACCTAAAAAAAATTAGGTTGTGACCTAGAAAAATTTGGCCGTGACCTAGAAAAAATAAAGTTATGACCTAAAAAATTAGGTCATGATCTAAAAAAATTAGGTCATGATCTAAAAAAATTTTGTCATAACCTAGAAAAAATTAAGTCGTGACCTAGAAAAAGTAGGATATGACCTAGAAAAAAATAGGTCATGACCTAGAAAAATTAGACCGTGACCTCGAAAAAAAGTAGGTCTAGACCTAGAAAAAATTAGGTCGTGACCTAGAAAAATTAGGTCGTGACCTAGAAAAAATTAGGCCGTGACCTAGAAAAAAATTAGCCCATAACCTCGAAAAAAATTAGGTCGTGACCTAGAAAAAATTTGTCATAACCTAGAAAAAAGTAGGTCATGACCTAGAAAAAAATTACGTCGTGACCTAAAAAAATTAGGTCACGATCTAAAAAAAGTAGGTCATGACCTACAAAAAATCAGGCCATGACCTCGAAAAAAGTAGGTCATGACCTAGAAAAAAAGTAGGTCCTGACCTAGAAAAATTAGGTCATGACCTAGAAAAAATAAGGTCATGACCTAAAAAAATTAGGTCATGATCTAAAAAAATTTTGTCATGACCTAAAAAAATTAGGTCATGACCTAGAAAAAGGTAGGTCGTGTATTTTTTTCTAAGATTCGAAAATTCGAAAAAAATTTGAACTTTCAAATGTTTCCAACAGTTTGTTTACTAACTCGGCAAAAATTCGCAGCAGATGTACAGCAACTTAGGCGATCCCAACAGATGTGCAGCGTCTACACTACAATTGTGCAGCTTTCTGAGGCTCGCAGCACGTTCGCAGCATCAGTACATCAATCACGTAAACAACATAAGAGAGATATGTGTAAGAGCGTCTAGCAGCATTCTCGCAGCAAGTGAACATCACTAACCCAGCATTTGTGCAGCAGAAAAACAAATTGAGTTAATCAAGATTGACTTTTTACCTGACTCTTATTTCTTATAAAAGGGGGAATAACAATAAATCAAGTGCTCGAAGGATCAAGTTGATTCTATATAAAATAAAAGTTTGAACCTAGCGATTCATGGATCTCAACAAGAAGTATACAGCAGTATTGTTTCCATAAAGATTAGCCATTTTATGCCGTCACACAGCGAATGACCATCAAAACTTTATTCTGAAACTATTAGAAAACAGATTGTTCGAACCACAATGGTTTATGAAATCGTGTTACAAGTTACCATAAAACATCTAATAAGGGAAAGATATCAAGAAGTATATGAAAGATATCAAGAAGTAATCAACGAATAAAACATTGATCGTAACACTAACCATATTTCGTCAGTTGAAAAATTTTCGATTCCTTTAACAAGATTCGAGATTCCGCATTTCCTCTTATTTCATAGAAACCCCATACCAACCGCCCACTTTGAGCTCAGTTATCTCAGTTTCTATAAGAGACATAGAAAACTTGTCGACTGAAAAAATGTTGGTTACATTATGCTGAACAATTTGTCAGTGGACCACTTCTTTGTATCTTTGCTGGAAATCAAGATAATTGAGATCAAAACTGACAGTTTGGGTGGCTTTCTAAATTAGAAGAAATACGGTAAATTTGGTAGGCTGTTAGGTGACTTTAAAACTTGAGAAGTTTAAAGGTATATTCAGAATTACTACTGCCGTAAAACTATGATTTGTTTAGGTTATAATTGCGTTTTTAGATGAAGGGCTATGCTAATCATGCTGAGATTACTTTTCCGAAAAAAGAATCAGTATGTGTCAATAGCACATAATAGCAAACTAGTCTGAATTTATACTGCATATATTTTTTAGAAAGAAATCGTGTTTCTTTTTGTTCCTTGTTTTTCGAATTCACATTAAATCCATCGAGTGTATGAAACAATGGAGAAAAACGCGTGCTTGGAGGGCCAATATTTGAACCACCTCGCTTTTACTGCTACGACACTCCGAAATTACGGGGGGTGCGCCTTGTTTAGCAGCTCAATTTTCCTGGAATTTTTCAGCTATTTTTACATCGTTTTCTTCGGATTTTCGCTTCAAAAACGTATATTACTTGTTTAAAATATACTTTCTAATCGTTTCAAAACGCTTCGCATGCTCTTTCTCGTTAAAAAGCACAACAATATAGAATTTTAGGTCGAATGAGAGTATCCGAGGCCAGCGCAATTTTCTGCGTTTTTCTCTACGAATTCTGTCAGGTACGTTATTTTTAGGCTCTTTTTTGTGTATTTCAACCTTTTTTTTCTCAGATTCCAAAAGATTGCGTCACTGGCTGATCTCCGACGAACGATAATTTCGAAAACTGGAACCGGAGCTATTCTCAGGTGAGATTTTTTTTAATTTTGAAAAGCTGTGAAAAGAACTAGTGACCAGTGTATACTTTCGACACGATTTCGATCAATTTTTCGAACTTTCTTTGACAACAACACATTTTTCGAAAAGACACACTGCTAGTGGCTGATTTTGCAACAGTGTTGTATTATATGAAAAGTTCTGTTGTTCTCCTTGAATTTTCGTTTCTCAAAAGATAGCATTATAAATAACTTGAAATATTTACTCTCAAAACGTGTTTCCTGTTACAGACCGCTATGAAATCAACTGTCGGATGAGAGAAGGCGTCGGACCGTGCGGACATTCGAATAGAAGCGACACCCTCAGCCAAACCCCCGGTTCAGGATGGAAGGAAGAAGGTGACACTCAACTGCTTAAAAAGACGAGTGTATTGAGAATCAATTTGAGATCAAGCCATGAGGCGAAAAATATAAACTCATTTCTAAATAGTATGTTTTTTTTTGTATTTTTTCATTCCCCTCATTTATTGTAGTTTTCAATTTTTCAATAAACATATTTTTAACAACTGTTTCAATCAAGTGCGATAAAAGCGAAAAACGAGGGGGGAGGGGACTATCGACTAAATATCCTACATTCGCGCATCAACTGCCCTACACATTCCCTACAGTTGTGCAGCAATGTCGCAACAGATGTGCAGTCTACTAACATCTCTTGCGTAAATGCTGCACATCTTCCGCGTGTTTATGTCGAGAATTGTTCAACAATTAGATTTCTGAATTTTGAAAAAACAATCAGAAATTTTTGATTTTATTCCATATGAGACGGGGTTTAATGATTTTTTTTGTTATAGGCCTGAATTTTATAAGAAAGCTGTTTTCAGATCCGGAAGATGGGCTTCGTACAGATTTGGAAGTTGCTAGTGGGATTTGAATTTATAGATTTTTTTCAGAATTTTTAATTTTTAGGGCTAGAGAACAAGCGTCTTCATGGAATCATTGTTCAACAACTTTTTCGGATCAACCACTTAGAAGAGCTCTTGGATCAGGCTAGAGGTGAATTCATTGTTTGAATTCTGATGAAAAATATATGTACTTCAGGTCATTTGGCTGAAAATCATACCCCAAAAAATGGGATCCAGAAATGAATGGATTTTGAGCACTTCCAGATTACTCCGACTTTCATGAACCCCATCAATCCCCAAATTCTTTTTTTGTTCCAAGTATTTTATTTCTCATATTTTTCATATTTTCCAATTTTTCTGAAATCCCAGAGATGGTCGCTTCTTATTCTTCTTTTTATCCCTCTTTTATTATTTTCAATCTTTTTTTCTATTATAACAACTTCCTTGCAAAAATGTTTTCATTCGTTCCAATTTTTTCATTTTGTTCTGACCGACAAACAGCTGTTGAGGTCAATACGAGGGCGTGAACTGAGGAGCAGAAGCCACAGGTGTAAAGTATGTGAGAAAAAAAATAGTTAGAAGATAGAGTGATAAGGGATAGGGTCAATATAAACATAATGTGTCCTTGCAGAGTTGCATCGAGAAGCAGAAAAGAGCGCGAGAGAGATTCTCGGTAAGTTGAATGTTTTTGATTTGGTTACTGTAGTGACGTCTCTCTTTTTAGAAGAAGAGATCAAAGACGACCGTGTCAACTTCGGCAAGGCCAAAGAAAAGTGGTTTGTGAATAATGGGATGAAGGGTGAGTGTTTTTTGAATTTTCGAAAAAGTTTTGTCTTTGAAAATTTGAGTTAAAGGTGGGGGCATGAAAAAAATAATGTTCTCGGTATTCCGTTCAAATATGCCCCTCGAGGAGTTGAACTTGTGAGGACGAGAATTGGGGGTGCGGCGCCGCTACCGACTGAGCTACGCGGGCAAAGAGAGAGCGGCACCTCGATTGCATACATAAAGGCGAGGACGACAGCTGTACGCAGAGTGACATTAAGCGTTGTACACCGTGACGGTAGAATGCATACTCTAGCTACAAAAAAACTACGAAAAATCTCCTGTCCCCCCACCTTTAATCTGATATTTTTTTGATTTTCAAAAATTAGTTACTTGAAGAGAAAAGAAACATACTTGTAAACAGGACCCAAAGGCCCGGTTTACAAGTGTCCCTAAAAGAAAAGTGACTCAGAAAAGTAAAAAAAAAACGCTCAAAATATCTATATTATGTGTTTAGATGAAAAAATAAACGAGTTGGAGAGTTCTGTAAAAGCTCTCGCCGAAGAGAAAGACGTTCATGTGGGAAGGATTGCCACTTGAATGAGCAATGGAAAGGAGCCACCAGGCAAGCGATTTAGGACAGAGTTGAGTTCGGGAAGAAAAGAAAAGAGAGCGAGGAGGCAATGAGAGAACTGATTGAAAAAGTGGAAAAGCTTGAAAATGAGCTGATGCAAAAAAGGAAGAAAATCAGCGAAATGCTCGCAGCCAGCCAAAATGAGGAAACGGATTTGAATAAGCTTCGCGAAGAACATGAACAGGAAATCGGAAAGGTTCGAAAGGAGGTGGTCAGACTTCAAGGATTGTTGGAAGACGTTGAAGAGGAAAACGGTAGAATGAAGAATGCGATTGAGAGTCTGAAAGAGGACAAGAAAACTCAAGGTAAGTCAAAAAAAAACCTACAGTACCGGTCAATATGATATATGAATACTTGTTTTGCGGTTTATTTTTTTAAATTTATGTAAATGCAAAGTTTTCAATCAAGATCTGTTTTATACCCCAAGAATACGTTTTTGTATATCCTATTGACCAGTACTGTATTAATCATTGTGTAAGATTATAACTCGGTATTCAGATAAAAAAATAAAGGAACTGGAATGTACTGCCATTCAATTTATTAACGAACGATTGGAACTTGAGGAGACGATTGAGAACAAAAACAAAGCGGCTGGAGAACTAATTGCAAAATTGGTGAGGCTGGAAATGGATCTGGTGTTGACAGCGGATCCTCAGTCAGTCGAGACCGATCCTATGTCCTAACCCGAGAGTGCTCTCGCGCCTGTAGCGCGCCCTAAAAACCTGAAAGTGTGTATGAGATAAGCGGTGCAAATACAAAACAGTATCATTGACCCATTTATTAGAGAGAAAAGGATGGGGCCAAGACAAACGGTAAAGACAATCAAAGGGGAAATACCAGCAAGAACAGAAAAAGGGGGAATAATGGTGTAGGGCTAAAACCTGACGGCGGAGCCGCCAGGAAACCTTGCGGACCCACGAAACTGGAGTTGGTCAAACCTCTGATAGCCAAACGTACAGAGACGACTGCTCGCGCGGAGAGTGCGCGGCGCCTGTCGGCTGGCGTCGCTGGTCTCGCCACGCGGGTGCGCCTTTAAAAGGGTAAAAGGAGTGGTAATTCAAATATGAATATTCGCATTGAATGAATGCGAGAAAGAATAATTTCACAGAATAATATCGGAAATAAGGGAAAATAGTGAGTGAATAATCAAAGCAAGTAATTCAGGGGGATTTTGCGGGGAAAATCGGTAGACCCTGAGTTACTCTGCTTTCAGGTTGACAATTATCTGCGGGGAACCCGGATTTTTGTCAACAACTGGTCCAAAATAGGAAGGAAATCAGGGAGATCTCCGCAGCCAGCCAAAAAGAGGAGAATGATTTGAATATGATCCGGAAAGAACACGAAGAGGAAGTGGGAAAGGCTCAAATGGAAGTGGAGAGACTTCAAGGATTGTTGACGGAGGTTGAAGAGGAAAATGATAGGATGAAGAATGCGATCGAGAGTTTGAAAGAAGATAAGGAAACTCAAGGTAAGTTGAAAAAATCTAAAAACGTAGATTAATTGAATTGAAGCTAATTTTCAGCACAAGAATCGAGACTGGAAATTATTGGCATGCAACAATCATGAATATCGAAGCTGAAATGGAAGACCTCCAGGAGCAACACCGCCAGGAAAAAGAAACGATGACGGCGGAATTTTCGAAAATTCGTGAGTTGAATAGCTTCCATAATATGTTAGATTTTATATGAACTTAAGAAGCGGCAATGGGAACGGAACTGACCCAAAAAGAAGAACTCATTCTGGAATTGACCTCGAAGGTCCAGGAATCGGAAACAAATATCCATAGCATCAGGAAGGGTTATGAGATGAAGATGGCAGAACTTCAAGAGGAGCTGAAGAATCAGAAGGCTTTGTTGGAAGAACAAAGGTTCGCGAATTAATATTGCATGTCTTCTATTTCTTGTTTTCAGAGATCTCGAGGCTCACAGAAACAAAGAAGCCGAGAAAGAAAGATCCTCCATGGAGCAGACTATCAAGGATATTTCGACGGAGCTGGAGAGCTTGAGAAAAGAACAAAGATCGGTCCAAATGTTAGAGGAGCAGTTGGAACATGCAGGTATTAAATTTAAATTGGCCCTTTTGGTTATAGGTTTCGCCCACACTATACGAGCACTTTAAGCCCACATTCAATTGCCTCGGTTCCTTCATTAGAGCATATTAGATCATTTATGGTAAAGCATGCCAACAACGGAAGACTATCCGATTACCAAAAGATTCACAGCATCTGCTCTTGTGCGAACTTTTGGGTTCTAATCCAATCAATCACTTCCAAAATCTTTGTTTGTTTGATAGTCAGTGTATTCTTGTTACAATGTTGTCTGCATGGTGTTTAACCCAATGGATGGGAGTGCAACAGGTTTCTATCCAGATTGTCTTCTTCAACTTTTCCAAAACTTATATGAAATTGGCTCATCAACAATTTGTTCTTTTCGTTGACAAGTCTGCCAAGTCAAGCAAGGGGTCCAAGCAAGTAACGCACCTCGTACACGAGTACCAGTTCTTTTTTATCTCTTCGTTTGAGTCTCCTCTTCCCTCCTAACATAATACTCGCAAATCATGATCTAAAAAGCTTTATAAAAATATAATGATAACCAAAATGTGTGTCTTTGGAATCTTTTAGACGTCTTTGAAGTCATTTCCAATTTTCACCAAACCTTAGCGTGTTTAGTTTCTATTTGAAGCTCCCCTCTCGAGGAATTCAAAAATGAAACAAGTATTTTCCGAAATTGGAAATGAACAGAGTTATGGTCAAGACTTTAAACTGTCTTCCGTTTCTCTGAGTCTCTCCTTGGAGGACACCTGCTAATTTGGGGTCGTTGTATATAACCACCTCAATATATAACCGTGTGTGTGTGCGTGCAGATACAGAGGAACGTCGATGAGGGAGCACAAGAATGTGAGAGACGCAGAAAATTGATTTGACCTCTAGCTCCCCCCCCCCCCCCCCCCTTATACACACCATCATACACACATAGCTCAGTTCTTGTTTCGACGACCTGACAGAATGGACGTCTAAATTCACGGGAACTTTCTAGAGAATCCTTCTGAATGGATTCTAGAAAGTTCCCTTATTTTTTCTGAAGTTACTTTTTTATCTATCTATTCTCCTATTTTTCTGAAAATTTTACTGTAAAAAGTGAGTTCTTTTTTATTCAAACGCGTTTTCAAAAAAATTGAAATTATTCCAAAATGTTAAATTTTCAAAATATATTCATGTTTGTTTAACATTTCGAGTTACCATAAAAATTTGAAATGATCTGAAAATGAACGATGAGAGTATTTTTTAATATTAAACCTAGAAATTGTTTGCGGGCACCTTATATTATCTGTTTTGTGCTAATCTGGGGAAGGGACATTTTTTGCCACCAATATCTAAGAAAAAGCGAGAGGACACTTCGGGTACTTCCCTTGTTAGATCCGGAAATTCGGATTACGGAATCCGGAAATGCGGAAATCCGACATCCGGAATACGGTATTCAGTAACCCTGCATTAGGATCTCAGTGTATGGGGTCAGATACTCAAAATTCTTCAAATTCAGGCCTTCAAAATGTGGCCACAGAGCTCAAAAACCTCGAAAATCTCACTTTTTCAGAGCGGAAGCATCATTTTGTGGATCGGCCAAAACGTGATTTTCGGAATTTTTCCGGTTTCTCGTTTCCGGGTCACGTTGATGGCTCCAAACTTTCTGTACGTAGGTTTTGAAGGGAGACCTTTATTTCTCATGTTGACACCTTTCTACGAATATTGACCTAAATAGGTGTTTCAGTGCAAGCGAAGGGTGAAAGCATCATTTTGTGGAGCACTGTATTTCTCATAGTGACCCTTTTTTCTTCTGCTTGCCTAACGTTCGAATTCTCGCTTTTGTATTATTTTTCCAATACAATTCTCATTTTAGCATTAAAAAGAAAATTCGTCCTACGACATGTCTGGAACTTCGAATAACGCCGATCCGCTGCCAAAAGTGGTTGTCTCGGAGGTTTGTGACAATACAAATGTTTCCTCAAAAATTCATAGTTTTAGGTTGTTGATGAGAAAAGAAAGAAGAGTGTGGGAAAGGAAATGAAGGAAATCGCAAAATCGTTGGTAAAGAATGAGAAGGGTATCACTGTTTTGATGAGCTATCGCAAGAAAATCTATTCGGAAGAACGAAAGGAGGATGAACTTTTCGAATACTTCTCAACTACTATCTCCGAAAGCTTGGGAAAATTCTTTTCCGTCGTCAAGAAAGACGTCAACGAGGCCATTAGAACTATCCGGTCCGCGAGTGAACGTATTGAGAGACTTCTCAAAATGCTTGGGAACATCCCTCAAAATGCTTCGGAAAAAATGGAAATGTTCAAGAACGTTGCCGACGAAATGAAAGTTCCTGCCCAGTTGTTGGAAAAAGAAACGGAAAAGGCTGAGTAAGTTAGAAGTGGAGGTGTAGTCAACAAACCAAGAGTTTTCAGTCATTTCATCTGGAGTGACTTCAACAATGATAATGGCGATGATGACGACGACGAGGACAGCCACAACAGCGAACCGAACCCAAAGAAGTTCAAAGCGAAGTAAGTTTTTTTGAAACATTTTATTTCCAGAACTTTATTTTCTAACCGGAAAAGGAACATATAAAATATGTTGTGTTAAATCTTAAAATCTTTGAATTTTCAGCGACGGATCGGTCCATCAGAGTGGTGCCCTTTTTGTGATCCCAGATCTCCGAATCGAATAAATATGTTTCTTGTTTTTGAATGCTCGTATAATGATTCATTTAATCAAGATAACCTGGAAATCAATCACTGCATGGCAGCCAGTTGTCAGATGATCTGAAGTTCTAAATTTTCTTATAAAACATCCGAAAAAGAATCTTACGTCTGGCTATAAATCCGAATCTGTAAGGCTTCCACATCCTGACCAGAATAATTGTAAGCCAAGGTCATACTGTAGTTGACCGCACTGAAATCTGAGTAGCTACCTTCAAAGTTTCCACCGTCCTGTAACAAAACGATTATCAAACTAAAACGTTTCTCAAAAGAAAAATACCAACTCGGCAACATCGTGCAAATTGTCTGACCAACTTTCAGAATCTTCAGGGTTGGTCCAACGCAATGTGAGATTTCGGAATGAGTTGATTGGTACTGGAAAAAGGTTTTTTCTCAATTGAAAAATTGTGACCTACAATGACCCTGATAAGTGATAGCGATCCAATAGATATCTGATACAGGAGAATGAAAATCTGGAAGAGTTTTCGTCCCACTTCCAGATACTTGAATAGTTGCAGCGTAGACTGGATAGCGATAGTCATACAATGGGAAGGAGCTGATAATCTGAAATTTCTCAAGCTCAATTTTTTTCGATTTGAAACTCATTAAAAAAGACTCACACCAGGAAAATAATAATCAGTTTCGAAAGCTCCCATCCCATTGGTCTTGGATGCCACAGAATACATTGACTTTGGTTGGGACCCTCCTGATGGAGATGCCGATGTCATAACATGAAGAATTGAGTGATGAGAACGGATTTTGGCGACAAATCCGGAGATGTTTGCGTCGTTGGGGTAGCGTTTTGATAGCACTAGAATGATGGATCCGCAAACTGGTGCTTGTGTGTTGGAGAAGAATTTCTGGGAGAGATACAGTAAGATAGAGTACAATCTGCAATAGGAGAGCCTCCACACTATTAAGTTTGAGCTCAATTATCTCAATTTGTATAAGAGATATCAAAAATCTACCAACTGATAACATATTTCTCATATTATCAACTACATTTTATCAGAAAAATATTCTCAGATATCTTTTAAAAGAACCGAAATAATTGAGCTCAAATTTGAGGGTTTGGTTGGAATTCTATAGAAGCAAACCGTCTACTTTGAGCTTATATATCTAAATTGCTGTGAGAGATACCAAAAAGTTGTCAACTGATAAAATGTTTATCACAGTGCCCTCAACATTATATCAGTTGACAAAATTTTAATGTCTCTTATAGAAACCAAGATAATTGAGCTTGAAGTGTTTGAAGAAAAAAAAATCACCTCTAATGCATTGAAAACATTACTGCCAAGGCTGGAATTCTGGAAACCCACACTAGGATCCGGAAGATTTTTTTGAACAGTTGAGAGGACGTCGCTGGAATGGAAATTTGAATTTTTCGAGAATTTCAAAACTAAAATGTCTCTGGGGATTTTTAGGTCAAATGGTCATGAAAAGGAAAAACTCCAAAAATTCGAAAATTCGAAAAGTCACTTACCTGAAATTTCTATGAAACTCGATATCCATATTTTGGTGTCCAATCGAATACTTCCATACCAGGAGTACTGTACTTGCAACGATCGTAAATTCCTTGAAAATGAATTCCATGCATCCAATACGGTATCCGACGAAAAATCATTAGAATAGGCGAATAGAAAAGTTGATGGCTGGGTTCTAGCATTACAAGAACTGTCATCTGCAAATTTTAATTTTTGTGCAATTTGAAAAAAGTTGTGATCTGAAATTGATAAATTAGGGATTAGGTTTTTTGCTGGTTGGCTTTGATTGGTTGCTTCTGAAATTGTTTTTTTTTGAAGTTGAATATTAGTTTTTAGATTTTAGAATAGTAGATAAAATGATTACGGTTACAATATTGCGTCTCTTTTTAAATGTCAGTTTTTTTTCTTATCAATGATCATAAAATAATTGTCATCTTTGAATCTTGTGCACTGAATATTGTGCACGAATCTTTGACTCCAGAATCAACGGGTTCAAAAGGAATTAAGAAAACTTTCAGCCGATTTATCTCGGTTCCTGTCAAAGATATCAAAATGTCGTCAACTGATAAGTTGTTCATCATAATATCACAAACATTTTATCAGTTGACACATTTTAGATATCTTTTATATGAGCCGAGATAATTGAGCTCAAACTTAATAGTGTGGGGCTCTTCTATTACAGGTTTTAACGGTATACTTGTTCAATTTAGGTACCTCTATTTTTAGCGAAAAAATGTGAATTCATAAATAAAAAATCGAAAAAATTGAGAAGGCGTTTTTTGAGGTTCAAATCGGAAGCACATAAGTTCCATGCACTGACACGTATAAAAATTGCACTGATAATGGGATGAAAGCTGAACGTTTGCTGTAAACCTGTAATAGAACATTGTCAATTTTAAGCTCAATTATCTCGTCTTTCATGAGAGATATCAAAAATGTATCATCTGACGAAAAGTGAGTGATATTAAGATAAACAGTTTATCAGTTGACAACTTTTTTATATCTTGGACAAGAATCGAGATAAATTGGCTCAAATAAGAAAGCTGGGATGTAAACACAAAATCTCCTTGTTCTGCTCTTACATAATTCATAACGCCTCCAGAAACTCTAAAAAACTAAAATTATACTTGACTACATTTTTTCCACAAAACGTCAGACACTTCATGTCAGGGATTATTTACTACAACATCGTATCTTATGTCCGTGCCTGGCCACTTTTCTCCATTTGCGATGTTTTTAGTTTCTATTTTCTGAATTTAGCGAAAGTTCTTCAAGGCTTTCTGATTCAGATTATCAATTTAAGGTTGAAAATCACTATTTTTCTACACCGTTCAGTCCATAGGCCCCTTTCGCTACTTGTCAGAATATCTTTAGCGTGATCTGTTTTTTTATCCTATACCCTCTCAGTATCCTCTCACTCTCTCTCCAATATCTGTTGCGCAATAATTTTCTGCGTAGTTCGTTGGGGCAAAAGGTCATCAGTAGCACTATGTTGCGCAATAGAGAGCCCAGGTGTTGTCCAACTACGGTAAAAAAAGGGGCGGGGCGTAGGCTGAGCTGTGAGATTGTGCATGTAGTGTTGGAGCACAAAGAAACCGTATTAGATAGTTTGTCTTACTTTACTATCATATTAAAACTCTAATAAATCCAAAAAAACTTACACTTCAGAAAAATCAAAAAACAAATTTCGAGACCTCCATCCAGTAGGTGGTCATTGGCAAAGTTATCTGAAAATATTTTTTGTCTGAAATTTCAATTTTTTGCCTACTAAAGTAAGAAAGCGGCATGTAACCTTGGAGCACACAGAAACAGTAATGAATATTCTATCTTACTTCATTATCATTATCACTGTCGGCAATTTCCTTTGAGTCATTCTCTTCGTCTCTTTTCTTCTTATGTGTTCATAGTTTTATGCAAATAGCCGATACCTTATTACCCTCTTTTATCATTCTGATAACGACCACCAAGGGAAAGATTATGTTAATATTCCTGCTCCCTTAGCTTCATTTTTCTCTCCTTTTCTCTTGTTCTCTACAAAATATTGATTCTTCAGATTATCATGGACCCACGTCTAACTGCGTCATCTGGCTATGAATACCTAGTTAGGAATAGAAGCGAAAATCCCGCAGGTACTTAATTTTAACAAAATTGCTAGTTAACGCACTAATTACCCATTTCAGAATCCGAGAACGAGTGGAAAAATTTGATTATGGAGAATCAAAGACTAACACAAAGAGTTGCCTTTCTGGAGAAAATCGGGAAAAATCAAGAGAATTTTGACGGCTTCACAAAAGAGATTGATAGACTGAATGCTCTTGTGGTGGTGAGAGGTGAGGGTTTTAATTTAGTTTAAATTATAGTAAGACCTAAAACGTATCCTAAATCGGTAACTTTGACATAATGTACCGAAAATGCTATAACAGAAGCCCAATTAGTACATGAATTTTGAGCTGAATTATCTCGGTTCCTGTGACAGATATGGAAAAAATGTCAACTTACATAATGATTATCATAAAATCAGGTAGATTTTATCAATTTACAAATTTTTGATATCTCTCACAGAGAATGAGATATAAGAGTTCAAATTTGATGATTTGGGGCGGCTCAGCTAGTGGCGGCGCAGCACATCCAAGGGTTATTATCTCGGTTCCTATAAAAGATATCAAAAATGTGTTAACTGATAAAATGTAGCTGATAATATATGATATCTCCTATAGGGACCGGCATAATTGAGCTCAATGTTGTAGGCTTCTATTTACAGTTATTGGGTCAAGGTAAGGTCCCTTCTGTTAGAGGTATTACGGTATCCGTTCTCATATTTAAAAATTATGAATCAGAACAATTTTATTTTTTGCAGACGCCGAAATCCAAGAGCTCACGAAGAATTCTAATCCAAAAGTGGAAATGGAAGGTTTCGAAGCGAAAAAGAAAGAATGGGAGAATAAGTCGGCCAAAATGAAGGGACATATCAAATCTTTGGAAAAAAAATTGGAGGCGAGCAGTAAGTTTTTTTTGGATCCACTTTTTCGGATGTCGGATACCGTAGTCTTCACTTTTTTTTTAGATGATTTTCGCTTCAAAATCACTGAAGAGATGGAAGCACTACTAGAAGAAGATGTCAGTCCCAACCGTATGTTATCCCGTTTCGATTTAGAATTTTTAATCATTTGATTTCAGAGACGATGTGCCTCAAAATGGCCCGACAGACTTCTGAGTACCATAAGGAATTGTGGAAGAAAGTGAGATCCAATTTCGAGCACCTGAGAAATGCGAATCGCGGACTACAAATGAGTCTTGAGGAGCTGGGTTAGTTTTTTGAACTTTTTATTGATTAAAAAAACATTTTTTTGAAGAAGTGGAAAAAGAAAATATGGAATTCGAATTGGGAAGACGAGGTACCGCTATCAAGGAATTCAAAAAGAAAGAGAAGAGAGCAGGTCAGAGAATTCAGGAGTTGGAAAAATCAATTGAATTGAAAGGTTTGTGAAAAACCGAAAAATGATAAATGATCCGAAAATTTCAGAGCAAAATGAGGAAAAATTGAGATCCGAAAATGCTGAAATTTGTAAGAAGTTCTGGGACCAAACAGCTCAAGTGGACACACTGATCAAGATGCTTGGAGATAAAAGCAAGCTTTTGAAAAAATAAAAATTTTAAAACTTCTCCATATTTCAGCCGTTCGGATCATTGGAGATGGCATGGTTGTTCAAGAGCAACAACGATACATCCAAAGTCTTGGTAATTATAATTTTTTTTAACTTTGTTCAATATTTTGGTTTTTTAGAACAATCAAATGCAGAAGACATCAAACGAAGAGTTCAAGATTTGGCTGCCAAATTGAATAGAAACGGTGAGACTGTTGATTTTAGTTGCGTCCCAATTATCTATAAATTTCAGCAAACATCTGCAAGCAAAACTTCGAAAACCGACTGGATGCTCAAAATCAGCAAGTGCAAAAGATGGAGGAATCGGCGAAGTTGCTGATGCAGGAAGTGTTTTCCCTGCGATTCAACTACAAAGAATCGTTGGAAGTGGTTCAGAAGCTGAAAAGTAAAAATTCTGAATTGGAGAAGATGCTGTCATATGTCGTGGAGGAAGAGGAGAAGAACCACTATGCCAAGATGGCAAGATGGAGCGCAGTAGGGATCAGAAGTTTGAAGAGGAAGAGGGAGGAATAAGGATTCTTTTGGATCTTGCAACCGTTGTTGGTGCTCTTGCCATTTCTTGATAACAAAATATTCTTCCACTTTTTTTTCCAGTATTTTTGTATCTCCCTACCCTCTACCTTCATTTCTAAGTGCTCAATGTTTCCCCTTTTTCTTTTCATATCACTTCAAAGTTCCCTTATCACCATGATCATCATCTCCAGTGGTAACCCCTCCCCCGATCTCTTGTTTGGTTTCTCTCTCTCTCTATCAACCCAATTCATGAATTTCTCTTCTACTAAGGGTCCCTTATTACAGGTTTTCCGGCTTAATTTCTCAAGAAAAAATTATATTCCTTTAATTAAGTATATTAGACATTTCAAATTATAAAACTTTGCAATTATCAGTCAGTTAATTAATATATAAAACGAGCAAAATGCAATAGACGAAAATTTAGAAGAATCCAGAAGATTCCAGAAGAATCAATTCCTCAATTTTCGGACTTTTGCCGGTGGTGCTTCATCATCGGCAATTCTTTTCATCGCCTCCAATTCCTTGACCAACTCTGAATTTCTAGCTTCAAGTTCAGCGATTTTCTCACGGTCCTCCGAAGGAACTTGACTATTCTTGTACTTTTCCAAAGACTTGTTTCTGTCAGACTGCTCTTGAAGTTCTTCTGAAAATTTCAAATTTGGCGTCAATTCAAAATTTCAAAATTTCAAAAAAAAATTTGCTCACCTTTAACACTATTCAACCTCTCTTCCAATCTCTGAACAGCCGCATTTTTTTCGTTCAACTTCTTCTTTAATTCCAAATTTTCTTTTCTCGAAACTTGCAATAAATCCGATTGTCTTCTCAGTCCAGCATTCACATTTTTGATCTCGATTTTCAGTTTTTCAGAATCAGAACTTCCAGAAAATTTACTTTTCTTGCCACTTACACGAATTCTTTCGAGAAGCTTCTCTTCCAGATTCTCAATCACCGTTTGCTGACTCGAGAATTTTTCGTTTATTTCTTTTTCAACTGTTTGGAGTTGCAATTGAAGATGGTCTCGCTCTTCTACCAGATTCTGGATTACTGTGTCTTTTTCTTCTGAAAAATTAAGGTACACTTTGAGCTCAATTATCTCGATTCCTATGAGAGATATCAAAAAGCTATTAACTGATAAAATGTTGGTGATATTGTCAGCTACATTTCATTAGTTTTCAAAAGTTTGATATTTTCTAAAAAAGCCGAGATAATTGATCTCCAAGTGCATACATAGGGTGGGCTTCTGTTAGAGAAAATACTGTTAGACTATGTTAGACTATGAGCTCAATAATCTCGATTCTTGTAAGTGATATCAAAAATCTGTTAACTAATAAAATATTTATCATATCATCAGCTATATTTTATCAGTTAACACCTTTTTTGATATTTTTTAAAGGAACCGAGATATTGAGTTCCAAGTGCATGCATAGGCTACTATTCTATTAGAGCGAATACGGTAGTGGTGTTTTTGAAAAATTTGGCAATGAGCTGGATTATCTCGATTCCTATGAAAGTAATAAAAGAGTTGTTAACTGATAAAATATTTCACATATGATCAGCTATATTTTTAGTGATCCATTTTCTAATATCTATTATAGCAACCGTGATAACTGAGCTCAAAGTTTATGTAAAGTGTGGGCTTCTATTAGCACTTGGTTGGTCTCTAGTTGTGCACGTTGAGCTCAATTATCTTGGTTCCTAGGAGAGATATCACAAATCTGTCAACTGATAAAATATTTCCCATTTTATCAGCTACATTTTATCAACGAACACCTTTTTGATGTATTTTATAGGAACCGAGATAATTGAGCTCAAAGTTTCAGAAAAACTCACTGGAAGCATTTGCCTCTTCAAATAAGGCATTTCTGACGTTATCCAGATTCTGCTCACTAATTTCCTTTATTTCTTGAATTTCAGATTTCAGATCTTTGCAATTTTGGCATTCTTGATAAGTCACGTCTTCTGGAATTTCGAGAATTTCGGATTTTGGAAATTTCAGATTGTCCTGCACGTCTTCTTGAAGAACATCTGGATTTGGGGGATTTTGTGGGACAACTTCTTGCTCCTGGATTTCTGAATTCTGAACTGCGGTTTCTGGATTCTGAAGGATCTGGAATCCTGGATGACGTGGGACGAATCGTGTAATTTGAAGAGTTTCTGGATTTGAGAATCCAGAATTCTGCGGGACGAATTCTGAAGTCTGATGTCCTGGAAATCCGGGAAAGCTATTCATTGGAGGGAATGTTGGTGGTGGAGGGAATCCCTGGAATCCTTGGTCCATCGAAAATCCATGAATCGGAAGAAATGGTGGAAACGGCGGCCAATTGTATGGATAATCGTGGTACGGATAGTTGCTTGGCGGAGGTGGATAGTAGCTCATTTTTGGAGATTTCTGGAATTTTCGAAATTTCAGTTTTTGGAATATCGAGGAAGAAAAAAATTTTATTTTGGGAAAAAATATGTGATTCAAACTGTTTTTGTAAACAAAAATTGGAAAAATGCGGGTAAATTTTGAAAGAAGATCAATTGATCTAGTGTTTGATCTACAATAGATCTACAAAAAAATCGGGTGAAAGTTTATCAATTTTTAGTGAAAAATGTACGGTAGTTTTTGTCGAATAAAACTCAAAATTTCGGTATATACTAAACAAAAATAGAGCTTCAATTTTGTAGTTGACAACTTTTTTGTAAAAAAATGATCCTATCGAGATATTTCGCTTGAAACCAAGTAAGTGCCAAAACAGCCCTGAATTCAGAGTCATGCCACTTTCAAGCGGTATATCTCATTAGGATTAATTAATACAAAAAAGTTGTCAACTACAAAAATTTCAGACAATTGCAGACAGTGATTTCAGAAAATTCTGGGCTAATTTAAAGGCGTCAACAGCTTCTGGAGTTTCTAGCGCTTCTGGATTTTGGGACTTTTGAAGCTTCTCCAGTTGTTTATAGCTTTTTTGAGTTTTTTGAGCTTGAAAAAAAAATAATTTTAGGTACAAATTGGCTGAAAATAACTCGAGGGAAGTTAAAAAAAACCAAGTCTAGTAAACATTTATTTCAAAAAATCACTTTAATACAAATTTAATAAAAATCTTTCTACAAATTATAAAACTCTAACACAAACTAGTACATAATAAGTTATTATTATAAGTGAATTAATATATAAAACGGGGAGATAAATTTCAATTAGGCTACTATTCCTTAGCAATTTTAGTCGGTGTCTCCATCTCTGGCTCATCGGACATTCGTCTTTTCATCGGTGTTCTTTCTGCAAAATTCATTGCGCATTTTCAGATTAAAAAATAGTTGAAAAGTACCATTTTGAGCTCTCATCTGATCGCGGATCTTCTTGTTCTCCTGAATTCTTTTCAGTTTTTCGGAATCCTGATCGTACTCCATGACATAGTATCCCTGTTCTTTCATGTAGTTTTCAAGGCACTTATTTTTGCGGAGTTGTTCATTGAGGTGTTCTGAAAAGAAAATTGGGGTACTGTAAAGGCAAATTTGAGCCATTTCAATTATAAATAGGCAATTTGGGACGTCTAAAAAATACGATAGATTTCGTTGGATAAGAATGAAACTTTCAGAGTGCACAAAAGTCAATTTGAAATTTCTGAAAAAAAGAAGTCTAAAGTTTTCCAATCTGTCTGAAACTTACAGAGCTTACTAAACAAAAGTAGAGCTTAAAGGTGGGGGGACATGAAAAAAATAATGTTCTCGAAATTCCGTTCAAAGATGCCTCTCGAGGAGTTGAACTTGTGAGGGCGATGATTGAGGGTGCGGCGCCGCTACCGACTGAGCTACACGGGCAAAGAGAAAGCGGTCGCCCGATTGCATACATAAAGACGAGGACGACAGCTGTACGCAGAGTGACATTAAGCGTTGTACACCGTGACGGTAGAATGCATACTCTAGCTACAAAAAAACTACGAAAAATCTCCTGTCCCCCCACCTTTAAATTTTGTTGACAACTTTTTTTTACAAATTTATCCAAATAAGATATACCGCTTAAAATCAGCCAAAGGCTTCCAAAACAAAAAATGGTGTCTTGACAATTTCATGCGGTATATCTGATTTGGATGAATTTGTACCAAAAAGTTGTCAACTAAAAAATTAATGCTCTGTTTTCGTTTAGTACACCTACAAATTTTTAGCTTTATTCAAGAAAATCTACCGTATTTTTCATACACCTGAATTCGGTTAACTTTAAGTAAAACTATCTAAATTATCGAGTTTTTGGTCGTTGCTGTATTCCATAAAACGCGTCTTTTTAGCTCAATTATCTCAATTTCTGTGCAAGATATCAATATTCTGTCAACTGATAAAGCACTTCTAATATTATGATGAACATTTTTGGGCGTCTAAAGTTGGCAATTTCCAAGAAATTAAGGTGAATTTTATGCCTTTTTTAATGAGTACTGTATAGCTATGTAGCTAAAACCAAACCTTGGAGACTGTGCACCTTTTGCTCCAAACTCAAAATCCTCGAATCCTTCTCCTCAATTTTCTGCTTCAATGTCATTTTGTACCCATCCGCTTGGCTCAACATCGCCTCTTTTTTTCTCAATTCCCCTCTCAACTTGAAATTCTGACTTTGCAAAAATTGGTTTTTCTCGTTTCCAATAGATCGAACTTCTAGAATTTTCCTCTGGTGAGAGTCCACAATCATACGAGATTCGTCGAGGTGGTCCATGAGTTTCTTGATTTCCAGATCTTTTTCGTCTGGAATCAAAAAGTTTTAGATTCTGTAACTTTGAGCCAATTTATCTGGATTTCTGTCACAGATATGAAAAAGTTGTCAACTGATAAAATGTTTATCAGTTTATCACCAATATTTTATCAGATGAGACATTTTTGATATCTTGCAGAGGAGCCGAGATAATTGACCTTCCTTATGGTATCTTACTGGAAGTTCTCAACTCTTCAGAGTAGGCGATTCTGGAGTCGTTGAGATTCTGAGTGCAGCTGTGAACGGTGTCTTCGAATTGTCGAATTTTGAATTTTAGATCTGAAAAATGGAATTTTCAAAACTCGAAAATTAAATTGAACTACAAACCTTCGCATTGTGCACATGAGCTCTCCATCCCTGGAGCCATAAATGGAAGCGTCACTTCTGCTTCCACTGGGACAGTGTATTCTGGAATTGAGTGGACTTCTGGATTTTGGAAGCCTTCTGAATTTGGAAATTCAAATCCTTGAAATCCATTCTCCATGGAATAATCGGGAATCGGGGAAAATGAAGAAAATGGCTTCATTTCTGACTGAGCTGTCTTGTTTGGTGAGTAGCTCATTTCTGGAAATTTTCAGTTTTTTTTTCGGGAAAAAAACTGGAGAATAGTAGGCGAAAAAACTCAATTTGAAAACTTTTTTGAAAACAAAATTTTCGAAATTTTCCCTCCAAAAAATGGACCGAACATTTTGGGGCTCAAAATGGTAGATCAAAATTTTTGAAAATTTTTTTCTTATAAAACTTTGCTATCTACATTTATTCCAGTTATTTTCAGTCAAATTCTTTCTCTCTAAAAATTTTTTGAGTCAAAAAATACCTTGCAAATTTTGTTATCTAAAATTCCGTTTCAAAACACAATTTTGCTTTTCGCAATTTTTTTTCATCGAAAAATACGAATTCTCTTCTTAGTTTTCACTTAATTTTTGTGAATTTTCAAATTCCCAATTTCCAGAGTGTTTGCTTACAAGTTTCCTTATTTTCTGTTCAATATTATTATTATTATTCATTATTATTATTATTATTATTATTATTATTTTTAGCGTTTGCGCGTAAAATTCAGTGCAGAGGTACGCAATTGCTCTATTTGCCGCGACCTGTTTGAAAATTTCTCATTTTTTTAGGTGGTTTTTGAAGGATTTTCAGCCTAAAAATAAGGATTTACGTTAAAAATCAATCACTTTTCAGGCTACTTTGGGTCTATTTTTGACCTATTTTGGCGTATTCCAAACCCCCTACCAACCAGCATTTTCGACTCTCGTCTCCAAATTTGATTTATTGGTTTTATAGGCCAGAAGTGGGGTTTCTAGGCTAAAAATAGGGATTTTCAGGCCGAAAATTGGGGTTTTCTGGATCAAAATTAGAGGATTCTCGGCTAAAATCGAGGATTTTAGGCTGAAATTGGGATTTTCTAGGCGAAAATTCAGGTTTCTAGGCCAAAATTGGGGTTTTCTAGGCCAAAATTAAGGTTTTTTACACCAAAATTTGGGTTTTCTAGGTCAATATTGGGGTTTTCTAGGCCACATTTAAGGGTTTTCTAGGCCAAAATTCGGTATTTCTAGGTCAAAATTGAAGTTTTCTAGACCAAAATTGGGGTTTCAAGGTCAAATTTTCAGCGTTACACAGCCAGAAGGATCAGCGACTCGATAAGGCTTTTGAGGAGATCCAAAATCTGAGTAGAGCCAACGAACAACTTTGTAGGCGCCCTCTTTCTATCTTTCTGATCGAAAATTTGAAATTTTAGCCCGAAAACTGAGCAATGGAAGCGGAGAACATCTTCAGAAGCGAATAGATTCGTTAACGGTGGAGTTGAAGGAGCAGAAGAGCATGTTTGGTGAGTTGTGGTCATTTTTGAGCTTCGTAAGGCTGGAAAAAAGCTCAAAAAAATGCACAAAATTCCGGAAAATACCCCAAAAAATGCCGAAAAAGAATTCTAAAAAATACCCCGAAAATGCTCAAAGATGCCCAAAAAATGCTCATAAAAATGCACATAAAAGGATCAAAAATGTTCATAAAAATGCACAAAAACGCCTCAAAAATACCCCAAAAATTAATCAAAAATGCCCAAAATGCTCAAAAGCTTCCCAAAAAATGCCAAGAGATGCTCAAAAATGCTGTCCAAAAAGTCCTAAAATGCTCAAAAATGCTCAAAAAATGCTGAAAAATATCCCGAAATGTGCCCAAAAAATGCCCGAAAAGCTCAAAACGCTCACAGAAAAAAATACAATTTTCTGAAATTTTCAGACCAGGCCAAAGCTCGAAACTATGATTCGAATCGTCGTTTGATGGCAAGAATCGAGAAATTGAAGGCGAAAAATGGGCATCTGAATGATAGTGGTTAGTTTTTTAAAGTCCCACGACGACAACTACAGTAACCTGAAAACATTTTTTCCGGATTTTTTGGAAATAGCTGAAGATTCGAATTCCCCACAAAATTTGAATCCGAATAGTGAAAACTAGACGTTACTAGCGTTAATTTGACATTTTTCAGCGTTTCAGCGGATTACGGTAGCTTGAAAAGTACGCAAACACTGAATTCTCGCCAAAATTGATATTTCGCGCTTATCTCGCAAGTTTAGACCAATTAAGCTGTGGGACAATCGAATATGGCAATATGAAAACTACCCGGAATTTTGCAGTGTTTGCGGACTTTCGGAACTACAGTAATCCGACATTTTTGTAATTTTCTAAAATTTTCGGAAAATTCGAAATTTGAAAAAATGTCTGAAATCTGTAATAAAAGGGCCCCCTTCGAAATGTGTTTTGAAATCAGAAACTTTTCGTACTTTTTCAGTGGAAAGTATTCCGCGAACTTCACAATTTAATAGAAATTTGTTGAAACTCTATTTTTCGATGAAAATCTTGCTAAATTTTAGGGAAATTGGCAGATTTTCATGAGTTTTGAACGAAACTTCGTCGAACTTTTCGATGCAAAATTTCAGAAAAAGCTGGCCGGAAAAATAGAAGGGCCCCCCTCTAATTGAAGAGCCCCTGTAATAGAAGGGCCCTCCGGAGGTACCCTGGAATAATAGAAGGGCCGGCCCTTCTAATACAGGTTTTACGGTATGCTCCAAGTACAGGGTGATTGGGTATTGTCGGAATTATAAAACTGACACCTGCGTGTTTGCAGACTCAGTGCAAATCACGTTAATTTTTGTACTGAGTCTGCAAACACGGTGTGTCAGTTTTTTTAAAAATTCGACAGTATGTTCTACAGTGTTTGCGGACTTTTGGAACTACAGTAACCCGAATTTTTTTCAGACCAATCCAGTCAAAATCAAGAGGAAATTGCCCGATTTCAAGCCAAAATTCAAGGAGCAGCGAAAGAAATCGAACGTCTGAGATTGGCGAACGAAACGCTTTGTTAGTGGATTTTTTTGCTCTTCAAATCGGAAATTTCGTTTTTACAGCCAACAAAATGAGCAATGGAAGTGATGAACACCTTCAGAAACGAATAGACGCGCTTACGGTGGAGTTGAATGAGCAGAAGAGCAAATTTGGTGAGTCTAAGCCTAAAAAATTTGGAAAAATCTAGAAAGTTTACAAAAATCTCGGATTACTGTAGTTCCAAAAGTCCGCAAACACTGCAAAACGGGAATTTCGGGTAGTTTTCATTGCCAAATTCGATTTTCCCACAGCTAAATTGGTCTAAACAGGCGAGATAAGCGCGAAATATCAATTTTGGCGAAAATTCGGTGTTTGCGTACTTTTCAAGCTACAGTAATTTGTATTTTTTACCCCAAAATAGGTCGGAAAATCAATTTAAAAAATTTGGAAATTTTCAGCGAATCTTCACGAATCCAATCGTCGATTGATAGCGAAACTCGACGTGGCGAATGACAGAAACAAGGAGTTGGCTGGAAATGGGCTTCAGAATTCTGGTTAATTTTCAAATAGTTTTTTTTAGCTGAAAATGGAATTGGTGACGTTTCGAAACCAGCCAGTTCGAAACCGCGACACTGTGAAAACGGTCATTTCGAAATCATGTGACACTTCGAAACCGGTTATTTCGAAACCGGTTAGTTCGAAACCGCGACACTTCGAAACCGCGACACTTCGAACCAAGTCGTTTCGAAACCGGTCAATTCGAAACTATGTGACACTTCGAAACCAGTCATTTCGAAACCGCGACACATCGAAACCAGTCACTTCAAAACCAGTCAGTTTGAAACCGCGACACTTTGAAACCGGTAACTAAATAACTGGTTTCGAACCAAATAACTGGTTTCGAAGTGTCACGCAGTTTCGAAATGTCGCGGTTTCGAAGTGACGCGGAGCGTATATTTTGGCCGGAAAATGGAAAAAATATGAAGTTTCAGACCCGAAAATCGCTTTTGAAGTAAAAAATAGCCGAAAATCCCAATTTTACTATTTTCAGCACCTCCTAACGACTACATGCCAATTGCCAATCTGAAATTGGAAATTTCACAGCTTTCGGAGAATTTGAAGACTGAAAAGAGCAAAATTGGTTAGGAATTTATGTTTTCAGACTGAAAATTTCAGCTTTTTCAAATTTTCAGCATCCCGAGAAGCTGAAATTCAAAATCTGACGAAAATCAACGATAAGCTTGAAAAAGAGGCGAACAACCTTGTGGATGAAAATCGACGTCTTAAAAATGAAATACACGATCTGAAAGAGGAAATTGAGGATTCTCAATGCTCTACGTCTTCTGAAGCCACGTCTTCTGAGGTCTATGAGGAGAGATTGAGAAGCCAAGCGGAGATGATCAAAGATCTAGAGGAGCAGTTGAGACATTCCGAGGAGGGACCACCAGCCAAAATGCGGAAAATTTCGTCTGACGGCCTTCTGGAAGAGAATCAACGTCTTCAGAAGACTATCAAAAGCTTCATGGAGGTCCAAGCGTCTTCTGAGAAGAATTCTGAAAAGATTCAAAACCTGGAAAAGGAGATTTCACGTCTTCAGGCAGAAAATAAGAAGATTATCGACGAATCGGAAAGTGATAATCTACGTATGATGGATGAGAATTCTGATTTGTTGGATGAGATCGAATTTCATGTGAATCAAATTAGGCTGAAAGAGATGGTGTTTGAGGCTGAGAAAGCGAAAATTCTGAAAAAATTAGAAGCTGAGCAATCGGAAATTTCACGTCTTCAGGAGGAAAATCAACGTCTTCTGGAGGCTCTCAACTCTGAAAATTCCAAATTAGAAGCCGCTGAATCTGAAGCTGAGCATAGACGTCATCTGGCTGTGATTCAGAATCAGAAGGAAGAAATTTCACATCTTCTGGAGGCTCTCGAAACTGAGAATTCCTAATTTGAAGCTGAAAATGCGAAAATTCTGGACGAAAACCGGAAAGTTCTGGAAAATTGGAAAGCTGAGCAATCGGAAATTCTCATGAAAATTTCACGTCTTCAGGATGAGCATCAGAATCAAGAACTATCACATCTCAGAGATGAAAATCAACGTCAAGAAGACGTGATTCAGAATCAGCATCAAGAAATTTCACGTCTTCAAGATTTGAATCAGAATAGGAAGGAAGAAGTTTCACGTCTTCTGGAGGCCCTCGAAACTGAAAATACCAAATTTGAAGCTGAAAAAGCGGAGATTCTGAAGGAACTTTCACGTCTTCAGGAGGAGAATCAACGTCTAGAAGACTTAATTCAGAATCAACAGCAACGTCTTCAAGACACGATTCAGAATCAGGAGGAAGAAATTTCACGTCTCCAGGATGAAAATCAGAATCCAGAAGTTTCACGTCTTCAGGATGAAAATCAACGTCATCAAGACATGATTCTCAATCAACGTCAAGAAATTTCACGTCTTCTGGAGACTCTCAAGTCTGAAAATTCCACATTTGAAGCCGCCGAATCTGAAGCTCAACATGCACGTCAACTGGCAGTGATCCAGAATCAGAAGGAAAAAATTTCACGTCTTCTGGAGGCTGTCAACTCCAAAAAATCCAAATTTGAAGCTGAAAAATCGGAAATTCTGGCCACGAAAGCCGCTGAATTGGAAGCTCATCATGCACGTCATCTGGCAGTAGTTCAGAATCTTTTTCAAGAGAAAAGTCGTAATTTGGAGACGATCAGAAATCTTGAAGCACAAAAATCCGATATTCTGAGGGAGGCGTCGGAGAAAATCGCCGAATTAGATGTACGTCTTCAGACTGAGATTCAGAATCGCGATGAGAATTCGAAGCTTCAAAAGACATTGAAAAAGGATTCTGAGGATTCTGAATTTTCACGTCTTCAAGAGGAAAATGAAAGTCTTCGAGAGACGATTCAGAAGCAAAATTCTGAAATTTTGAAGAAAACGGAAACTGAGCATCTTATGGGAGAATTTCTGAACGCACAAGACGAAACATCACCTTCTAGAGCTTGTTAAGGAGCAGGACATTGCTCAGAAGACGTCAGAAGACGAGAGTCTTCAAGCAGAAAATCAACGTCTTCGCGCTGAAAATCAACGTCTTCGCGCTGAAAATCTGAGAATTCTCTCATCAAAAAACGCCGTAAACGACGAGCTTGAGACGAGACATTTGATATTGCTCAGTGAAAATGCTTCTCTTCTGGATTCGGTGAAAAATGAAGAGGAAAAAGCACGTCATCTGGAGGCTTCTGAGCACAACCATGATGATAAAATTCTGGAACGTCTTCCAGAAATTTCCGGTCGATCGTCGCCAGAAGCAGTTAGAGCAGCGATCACAAGAAGCATCAGTACCGGTAATTTGTTAATACAATTCAAGAATAATATTTTGTTCAGATCCAGCTAACGAGCAAGCGGAAAAATCGGAAAAAGTGGTGTTGATCGAGAAAATTGAAGCGCTGAACGTCGAAATTTTTCATGCGAAACTAGCCAGTTAGACTATTTTCCATTAATCTTCTGATTAAGTTAAAATGCACATTTTTTCCAGATTTCGAGCTCCGCCAAAAAGCAGATCAGACTTGCGGTGAAGTGAACAGGCTGATGTCAGAGTTGGAGATTCATAAATCGCTGATAGGTGAGCGATTTCCGGGAGAAACCTAATTCAGAAAGATTCCTATGACCGACGCTTCTATTTTTTGTTTTATGATCTCTAGGGAGGCTCTTTAATTATTTTTACTGGTATATTACGGGTTATTACTGGTATATTACGGGTTAATTTCCGGTAAATTTATTATTTTCCTCGAGGACTACACGAATGTTTTTTCTGCTGTTTCGCTAGTTTTTTTTTGACAGTTTTGCAACAATTCTGAAATGGTCAGTTCTAAAACGTCGCGGTTCTAAAGTGTCGCAGTTCTAATATGTCGCGGCTCTGAAACGTCGCGGTTCTAAAATGTCGTGGTTCTAAAACGTCGCGGTTCTAAAATGTCGCGGTTCTAAAACGTCGCAGTTCTGAAACGTCGCAGTTCTAATATGTCGCGGTTCTAATATGTCGCGGTTCTGAAACGTCGCAGTTCTGAAACGTCGCGGTTCTGAAACGTCGCAGTTCTGAAACGTCGCAGTTCGACAACGTCGTGGTTCTAAATCGTCGCGGTTACAAATTTTCAAAAAAAAAACAGAAAATTTTCCTAGAAATTACCGGTAATGTACCGGTATTTTACTCTAAGTTACCGGTAAGTTACTGAAACCGTAACGATAGCACACACCGGTTGTAATGTATCTTATGAGAGAGTAAGGCGCCTTCACGCTAAAACCCTCTTTCCGCCTTTCGCTCATTTCCGGGCTCACCTGCTAGACAACACCGGGAAGAAAGAACGGGAAGAGAAACAATTAAAAGATTAAAAGGGGGACCCCGTCAAGTGTAATTTCTCCGGAACGTATTTGTAGCATTGTCACAGGCAATTATTGCCTTTAGGTCAGTCCCAACTACGAGTGGTAAACACCCCCTGATATTTTTTGAAAACTTGAAAAAGACGTAAGGGGGGACCCTTATGTAATTACACCTACTGATATTTTTGAAAAATTGAGACAAAACACTAAAGGGGGGACCCTTATGAAAATTTTCACCCCCTGATATTTTTGGAAAAAATGCAAAAAGCTAAAATTCCCGGTTACGGTACATCTTCTCATTGAAGACCATCCAAATCGTCAACTTTGAGCTCCATTATCTCAATTTCTATGCAAGATATCAAAAATCTGTCAACTGTTAAAATGCTTATCATGATACCGCTAATATTTTATCAGTTGACAGATTTTTGATATCTTATATGGCCATCGAGATCATTGAGCTCAAAGTTGATGGTTTGAGTGGACTTCGGTTTGAGTGGACTACCGTAGTTCATGCTTTTCATTGCTGTGGAAACCCAATATATGAGGTGATTTACAAATTTGAAAAAAAACACCAAATTGCGAGCTGATTTATCAAAATTAAAAAATTCGACAAATTTTTCGTAATCTCAAAGAACCAAAATTCACAAAAATCGTTCATTTACAACCAGCGATTTGTCATACAAATCCGCCCTTTTCTAATTTGGTGCATTGCTTGTCCCTCCCGTTGTGTCTGTGTTGTTCTGGCTGTCGGTAAACGCGTAGACGCATACACTTTAAGAAGAGAACACATGTCTCATCCAGAATAGCGAACATTACACATTCGTTATAATTGAAAGTGTGGGACTTTTTTCCTGCCAGATGGTTCTTGCTAGATTCTGGTCCTTTTTTTGGGTTTTGAAGATTATCTTCAGCTAGGTTTTTGGGCGAAATACCTTAAAAACTTGAGCCCAATTATCTCGGTTTCTGTGTAAGATATGAAGAAGTTGTCAACTAATAAAATGTTTATCATATTATCAGCTACATTTCATCAGTTGGCAGATTTTTGATATCATTTCCAAGAAATGAGATATATGGGCTCAACGTGCAAGCATAGGTTCGCTTCTGTTAAAGCGCAAACGGTAAATTTTTGGGCGTCTAAAGTTAACAATTTTCAAGAAAAATTAGGTGAATTTCATGCCTTCTTTGATAAGTGCTGTATAGCTATGTCGCTAAAACCAAACCTTGGAGACTGTGCACCTTTTGCTCCAAACTCAAAATCCTCGAATCCTTCTCCTCAATTTTCTGCTTCAATGTCATTTTGTACCCATCCGCTTGGCTCAACATCGCCTCTTTTTTTCTCAATTCCCCTCTCAAGTTGAAATTCTGACTTTGCAAAAATTGGTTTTTCTCGTTTCCAATAGATCGAACTTCTAGAATTTTCCTATGGTGAGAGTCCACAATCATACGAGATTCGTCGAGGTGGTCCATGAGTTTCTTGATTTTCAGATCTTTTTTGTCTGGAAACAAAACGTTCTGAATACTGTAACTTTGAGCCAATTTATCTGGGTTTCTGGAAATGAGATATATGGGCTCAAAGTTGTTATAATGGATTTAAGCTATCCCCAAACTCAAAAATCGCATTTTTAATGTTTTATTTTGGCTCAAACTTGACAGTGTGTGGGCCCTTCTAATAGAATTCTTACCGCCGGATGAAACACGCAAATTCAAACACCCCATATTTTTCAGGATATACAGTAACCGAGAAAGATATCGTGGAAAAGACACTGAAAATCAAGGAGCTGGAAGGGCAAATTGCTCATCTTGAAGAATCTCGTTAGTTTCATTTATTAAAAATCAAATATTACACATTTTTAACTGGAAAATGCTTAAAATGGTTCATTTTAAGCTTCAAAATGATGCTAGAAAATGGCTTAATTTGAACATAAAAGGTTTGAAAACACCATTTTTCAGACATTAAATTGACCACGGAGCATCATGAGAGCTTAGCATTTGCCTGGGCACAAGTCAAGCACTTGGATGTGAAGTTGAAGACGGAAAAAGAGAAGTTCGATGAGATGGTGTCCCAAAAACTGGGATTGCTCGCTGAAAATGCGGGAAATGAGGCACATATTTGAGAGCTGAAAATGATGTTAGATCAGGCTGGTAAGCATTTGTGCTCTAGCGAAATTCTGACAGAAAATTTGAGATTGTGGGCGGAGCAAGAACTACCGTAATCAGAATTTTTTCCACGAAAAAGAATCATCAAAAATCGATGATCCCGAAAATTCAAACTTTTTGGGTTACTGTAGATTTTTTTTATTTTTCAGCCTATCACCGAGCTCAAGGCATGCACAGAATTCGGGAATTGGAGCGTTATTTGAATTACGGTGGACCTCCTCCTTACGGACATTAATTAAATGATCGCTCATCGCTATTTTTTGTCCTTCCCTTCCCTTGCCTTTGCCCTTTTGCACCCTGTCCCTTTAAATACATAAATGCACCTTTCAATGTAAGTTTTTTTTTCTCGAATTCATTCAAAAATTACTTGATTTCGAAATTTCTTTGTATTTTTTTCTCCCCACTGATTAACTGATTAAATTTCAGACAGAATTTCTGAAAATTCTGACTGAAATTCTGGAAATTTCAGCTCTGAATTTCATGATCTCAGTTAATGTTTTATAAAAATCTGTTTGTTTTTTGCAATTATCACATTATCATCTGAATATTCTATATTGTATTTTTTCTCATTTTAATTATGTGCACTTTCATTCGTATTGTATTGAAGATTTCTTTATTATGTACACCCCCCCCCCCCCACCGTATTCTTTAGTTTGCCTATTATCAGATATCATTATCATGAATATGCACATGAATGATTGAGAATGTAAGGATGAAAATGTGATGAGGAGAAGTTTTTGGGAAGGGAATTTGGTTTTGAAAAAGACTGATAAGGAAAATGAATTCTAAAAAACCAAGAGCTGAAAAATGTGAAAAATACTAGAATTTCAGATTCTGGAATGCTGAAGTTATAAAATTCTGAAACTCGCAAATTTAGAATTCGAAAAAAAAATGGAAATCCTGAAACTCCGAGATTCTGAAAGCTGAAATTCGAAAGGAATTTTTTTGACTTATTCTGAAAAACCAGCATCCTCTGAAATTTAAGAGATGCTGAAAATTGATTCTGAATTTGAATTCAGAAATTTAGAAACTCTGTAATTCTGAGATTCTGGAATTCCCAAACTCTAAAACCATGGAATTTTGAAATTCTGAGATTCTGAGGTTCTGAGATTCTGAGATTCTGAGATTCTGAGGTTCTGAGATTCTGATATTTTGATATTCTGAAATTCTGAGATTTGAGATTCTGAAATTAGAAAATTCGCAGATTCTGAAGTTTCAGAAATTACCGAAATTATCAGAATTTCTATCATTGTTCTGAATTTTTGTTTCGAGTTTCAGAATTGTAAAAAAGCTCAAGCTACAGTAATCTTTGACAACTACAAAAATAATCTATAGATTCCAGAACTTTCAAAATATTCTCAGTTGAGATTATTTTGAGTTTCACGAAGTCTAGATTTCTCAAATGTTGTATTATTCTCAATTTCCTGTGTAATTCTGAAATTCTGGGGGTTCTGAGGTCCTGATAGTGAGATTCCAAGATTTTGAAACTCAAAAATTCGAAAATTATGAAATTCTGACAATTGTGATATTCAAAAATACTGACAAGGGAACACCTCGCCAATTCAGATTTTGATGAAAATTTCAGGATAGGTAAAGGATAGCCTATCTAGACACCCCTGAAAATTTTAGAATACGCTCGCCAGTTTCAGCAGAGTTATATCAGTTTCAGTACCAAAAATCTCATTTTCAGTGCAAAAACTGGGCCAACAATTCGGGGGGTACAATGATTCGGGGGTACAAGGGGGTACAACTGATTTAGGAGTACAAAATTGGTGATTCGGGGATACAGAATTCGGGGGTACAATCTACCAATGATTCTGGGGTACAACTTATTTCAGGTAGGGGTACAACGTTTGTGATTCGTATTTAGGAATCTGAAAATTTCGGGACTTCAGAATCTGAGAATCTCAGAATCTCAGAATTTCAGAACTTCAAAATCTCAGAATCTCAGAACTTCGGAACTTCAAAATTTCAGAACTTCAGAATCTCAATATTTCTGAATTTTCAATAATTACGGCAGAAATTTTCTTCGTTGTCTTCAGAATTCTTAGAATTCCAGAATTCGGAATCTGAGAATTTCGGAACTTCAGAATCTGAGAATTTCCAGATTTAAGAATCTCAGAATTTCAGAACTTTGAAATCAAAGAATTTTAGAACTTCAGAATCTCAAAATTTCAGAACTTTGGAACTTCAGTATTTCGGTATCTGAGAATTTCGAATGACAGAAATTTTTCACTTCTCATTGTCACATTGTTCTTTTTGACAATGAGCTAAACTTGACAAGTTTTACAAACTCAGTTTTTTAATGCTTAATTTAAGTTCAAAACCCAGCCGATACTTTCCTCAATGCCAATTTTTCTCAATTCCTTGTTTTTTCAATTCTATTTCAATTCCCTTTGTTTCTCAATATTCCTTCGTCTTTTTCCCAATTTTTCTCAATTTTCCTCAATTTTCGCGGTAATTTAAAATTTTCTCTTTTTTAAACAATTTTCTATATCATTGATTGAAGGAAACAATCACAATTTAGCTATTTCCCACAAAATTCGAAAATCCCAAAAATTCGCCCAAAATGAGCTATTTTCTATCGAAAATTGTTCGAACAGGCGATAAAACTTTACAAAAGTTATAAAATTGATTTTTTTTTCGTTAAATTACCACGAAAATTTGAGCAAAAATGATGAAAAACGAAGGAAAACGGAGAAAATCCCAAAAATAAAATTTGCGAGCGATGACGTCATCGGTCCATGGCCGTGGCCGAGCTGCGGGGTTTTCTCTTCCATGGGAAAATTTCGCGAAATTGAGATCTTTTCGCAATTCCCATTTTTCTCAGTTTTCCTTCGTTTTTCATCATTTTTGCTCAAATTTTCGTGGTAATTTAACGAAAAAAAAAATTAATTTTATAATTTTTGTAATGTTTTATTGCCTGTTCGAACGATTTTCGAAAGAAAATAGCTCATTTTGGGCCAATTTTTGGGATTTTCGAATTTTGTGGGAAATATCTAAATTGTGATTGTTTCCTTCAATCATGATCTAGAAAATCATTTAAAAATGAGAAAAATTTAAATTACCGCAAAAATTGAGGAAAATTGAGAAAAATTGGGAAAAAGACGAAGGAATATTGAGAAACAAAAGGAAATGAAAAAGAATTAAGAAATAAAATTGAGAAAAATTGGAAGTGAGGAAAGTATCTACTGGCATTAAAATCCGTTTGTAAAAATTGTTAAAATCATTTCACAGTTCTCCATTGTCTTTCTTGAAATATTGAGATTCTGAAGTCCTGAAGTTTTGAAGTTCCGAAGTTCTGAGATTTTGAAGTTTTAGCATTCTCAGATTCTGAAGATCCGAAATTCTCAGATTCTCAGATTCTGAAGTTGCGGAATTTTAATATAGCGAATTCTGGAATTCCAAAGTTCTGAAATTCTAAGAATTCTGTAGTTCTGAAATTCTGAGATTTTGAAGTTCTGAAATTCTGAGATTTCGAAGTTCTGAAATTCGAAAATTCTCAGATTCTCAGACTCTAAAGTTCCGAAATTCTCAGATTCCGAATTCTGAGATTTTCAAGCTCTGAAATTCAGGAATTCAGAAACTTCGTCAAAAAATTATACCCCCGAATCACAAACGCTGTACCCCTACATGAAATAAGTTGTACCCCAGAATCATTGGTAGATTGTACCCTCGAATCGTTGTACCACCGAATTTTTGTACCCACGAATTTTGTACCCCCGAATCACCAATTTTGTACCCCTAAATCAGTTGTACCCCCTTGTACCCCCGAATCATTGTACCCCCGAATTTTTTGCCGGTTTCTAGCTCATTTGGACACGATGGTCTAACTTCAACATTTTGAGTATTCTAGGCCAACAACTTTTATGGCCTATCAATGGTCTGGCATTCACCTGATTGTTTCCTTGGCAACCGTGTTAAAATTGCTTTGAATTGCTAAGATCGATAAAACTTGAAAATCATGCCAGAAGGATCCAATAACGTCGCAAAGTCGGAAAAAGGAAAAAAAAGAAAAACCACTAGCGGGTGCGAACCCATAGCTTGTTTTTACTGGCGCAGACCTCATCCCCGACACCACGCCGCCGACATTCTCCACAGAACCGAAAGACGGTTAGATGTTAGGCGCTTTCTAATAACTTTTCATGAGGAATTCAGTGATGGAATGTGTGGTAAAAAATGCAAATCACCTGAATTCAGTGCTAAAATTTTCAACTGAATATCTCGGCTGAAACTGGCGAGCGGATTCTAAAATTTTCAGGGATTTCTAGATAGGCTATCCTTGACGTATCCTGAAAGTTTCATAAAGATCTGTATTGACGAGGTGTTGTGGTTCCCTTGTGAAGTTCTTTTGATAGACACCACTTTCCTCACGTTTTCAGAACAAAAACACGAAAAAAAAGAGATAGGCTTTCAGAAATCGGCGAATATCTGAAAAACTAGGAATTTTCAAAAAAAAAGTGAGTGAATTCAAAGTTTTCAATCTAGGTCTGTTTTACACCTTCCTATATTTTCAAAGTTATCGGAAACTTTATAGTCGAGCTCTAGACCCCTGAATGCCATCATCTTTAACTCTCCCAAAGAGGTATATAACACTTCGCTCATTACTCCCAAATTTCAATTCTCATTTCCCACACCAAGACTAGCATCCAACCAATTATCCTCATCATCTTTAATTCTCTCAATTTTCCCTACTCTCTTAATTTCGTCTTTCGGATCAGGAGCCTACCCATCCCTTATTAATTTGGCTCTTTCCTCCGGAGCCAGCAGCAGTAGCAACCTCTCATTTTCCTCACCTGCCTTCATCATAAACAAAACGACATAAGAAGAGTAAGAGTGGAGAAATATGCTTTTATTTGGGAGAAGAGGCGGGACTCTTCTTCCGAATGAAATCATTAGTTTTACTCTTATGGCTCATTTTGTTTTTCTTATTGTTGACTTTTCCTTTTTGCCTGATGTTTCTAACTCTCTTCAAGTCTCAAAATCTAAGTCTCTTCAATGCTGACATGACAACAGGAAAGAAAAAGAAAGGTGCAAACAATTTTTCACAGCTCTTGAGGAGTCTCTTGCTAGGAAAAACTAAGTGATCATGGCCTCAAAAACTTCGGTCTGAAACAATGAACGTTGGAACGAACATGAACATACCGTCAACACTCTGATAAAAGTACCCCCTCCTTAATCTTCAACTTTGAGCCAATTTATCTCAGTTTGTATAAATGATATATAAAAGTGGTCAACTGATATAATGTTGCTGATGTTATGAAAAACAATTTATCCGTTTACCACTTTTTCATATCTTTTACAGAAAATGAGATATATAAGCGGAAAGTTGACGGCTCGTTGAGTCACCTCAGTTTGCGCCACCGTAGCTCAGCTGGCAGCAGCATGGCACCTCCGACAATGGGTCGACAAATTCAATTCCTCCCTTTGAAGGCGCATGGGTCTACCAGCAATATCGTCTACTTGTATCGTTAAATTCCATACTTTAGAGATTCTAGATTTTTCGAAAATAATTATCTTTAGCATATTTTTTAAAGGTTTTAAACAATTTTCATGGTCTGATGTTATTTAAAAACAATAATGTCATCTGAGATTCTGAGATTCTGAAATTCCGAATGTTTAGAATTTCAGAATATCTGAAGTTCTCGAATTCTGAAGCTCTCGAATTCTGAAATTCTCGAATTCTGAAATTCTCGAATTCTGAAATTCTTGAATTCTGAAATTCTCGAATTCTGAAATTCTTGAATTCTGAAATTCTCGAATTCTGAAATTCTGAAGTTCTGAGATTCCGAGATTCTGAGATTCTGAAATTCTGAAATTCTGCGATTCTCCCACCGTCTTATTTCACTTTGTATACAGATTTATAATCTTTCTTTTTTTCAATACTTCAATTTTGATTTTCAGGCAACACCTTTATCAACAACTATGATGCTTATGGAGGCCAATTTGAGAAGAGTGGAGAAAGAATTGGAGAATTATAAGAAAATGTTCACCGAGATGATGGAATCCAAAAATAAAGAAATCGATGATTTGTACAAGCTCGTGAAGTTCAAAGATAGAGAAATCAACGCTTTGGAAGCCGAAAATCGTTTGATGCAGAGGCAGAATGAGATTAGATTCAGAAATGAAAGAAGGAGAGTGATGAACATTGAGAAGGAGTATCATGAAGATATGAATAAGATTTTGAAGAAGAAATTGAAGAAGTTGGAGCAAAAAGAAAGTATTGATTTGGAGGAGAACGAGAAGGAGACTGAAGGAAAAGGAGTCTGGCAAAGGGTGGTCCAATATTTTTGGGGGTCGAACATAGGAGGTAAATCTTTGTAAACAATCTTGGGTTTTATGAGATTCTTGGGAAATTTCCAACAGTGTAGCTCAGCCTAAATCGTCTCGAAACCCGTTATTTGATCATGGATTGCTAGGAAACTTTATTTTGGATTTCCCACAATTTAAGAACGTTTTAAGGATATCCATTCATTGATTTTCTTACAGCTAACCAAAAACCAAGAATAAAAAGAACCATGGAGATAGATGATGAAGATGAAGAACCAGGTAATGATATAAAAATTAAAGCATTATTTTTAAATTCTTGGCTTTTTGAGAGCCAAAAAGAAAGTGTACCGATGGGAGGAAGACGCCTGGACTCATATCTGTAAAAAGAGAGCTTGCGGAGATGGCAGTGAGTTTTGTTTTAAATCTTGAATTATAATGAATTTTCCATACTTGCAACCAGACCTTCGCGGGATCTGCCGTAGTTTCTTTTCGAATTAATCTTTTTAGACCAACTAAATCAGATATGATAGAACTTGACGAGTACTTTAAAATGATATTGTTTGGAAAACGGTGTCTGGTCGGTGAACAAAGTTACAGACAAAAAACAGAGGCCAGGGCCTTCGCGACAAGGCCCGACCACTTTATGACTTGTAACATTGTTCATAGACAAGACACAATTTTCCAAATAATATCATTTTGTAGAACTCAAAGAGTTCTATCATGTCTAATTTAGTTGGTCTAAAAATATTGTTTCTGAAAGAAACTATGGCAAGGCCAGCAAAGGCCCGGTTGCAAGTATGGAATTTTTGGAATCTTTGCACCTCAGAACCGCAGAATCTAAATGGACTTTTATAATTTTGGAACTGAGCCCATTAGAATAAATTGCTTCAGAATTAATTACCCCCTTATCTCGAAAATCATTGTTTTGGGAAACTTTTTTTTTCAATATTTTTGTAACTAGGAATTCAAGACTTTTTAAATTTTTCAAAAGCCTAAAATTTTCCTTTCAGATCGAAGACGACCAATGAAACAGTGTGGGACATGCTCCTTTTTCCAAGTCTTTCCTTTCTCTCTGTCTCAAAATTATCGATTTTTCAATTTTTTTGCTTTTATAATACAAAATCAATGGGCTTCATTTTATTATCCTTGAATTCTATAGCTGCTTGTATAGTTTTCTATTTTTGTAATATTCCAAAAGTTTTCCCAATTCCTTTATTTCCTATTTCAACCTATTTCATTCTAATAAGACCTCTTTTATATGTTCCTCAGCTCCTTCACTTGATATCTATAGAATTGGTTTCAAAAAACCTTTTGAATTATTTTTTTTCCAATCAAGTCTCCATAGAAAATAAAACGGCTACAGTAAGAAAGAAGAAGAACATTAAAGGGGTCCAGATAACAGAAAGTTTGGGGGACAGTTTCGGGGACGAAATCGCGCCGCACTAATGTAGCTTATGTAGACGCTTCGCGCCCCTAGGAAAACTTTTTTTTTGATGTCTGGCCTCCTTTAACATTTTCAGGGTTTTTTCAGGGCAATAGTGGCAACCTTGACGTGGCGATGAGTGTTCACACAGCGCGTGGATCTCGTGCCGGATTTCAATATGGCAACGGCTTCGTAGTTCAGTGGGTACCGGTGCGACACCACCAACGATGGGCCCACAAAGTGTATCTCCTCTTATATAGACAAAACTCGAGATTTTGTCCCCAACCTTGAAAATTGTCCTTGTCATCAACCGAAACTCTGTCTAGGTGACGGTGGTCATGCATATCCGAAATCTATGCCTCTACCTTCTTTTTTCTCTCGGTCGGTCTCTCGCTATACTAAGAAGTACAATTGGACTTCGTCCCTAGCGAGAGAAGAGTCTTCTATGTATTTACGTGCAATTTCCATTCCCAGCCAGCCAATAAGCACCCGTTATTTCAAAAAAGGAAATGTGGTTTAATAAGATAAAGAGCAGAGAGCTAGAGCTCAAAATGAGCGATGAAGCGGAAGAGGGGCCAAACGCTGTGTAACACACATTCTCAATGGGGTCGAAGGCATTGGATTCGGAATATGGACCATCTTTAGGATTCCTTAGGTCCAGGTCTGGACTGCAAAGGCGAGCACATCGGAGCGCTTGATGGAAAATCTTGACGTCATGATAAGTAAGCCACCTGATTGGCCTAATCATCAAAACTCACAGCTTAGAAGGTGCCAAAATAGGAGAGAGCTTCTGGCGAAAGTTCAGGAAGATTATATCTGCTTTTCAGAAGTTTTAGGTATTTGAAAGTGTGATCCAAGACAATGTAAATCTGAGATTTTCAAAAATCATCAACCCTGAATATTGTAGGAACCAGGAGAAATCGACGGCTAATTGAAACCAACCGGAAAAATGCTGCAAACGATGAACTGCATAGTTTCTATGTCTTTATGTTATTTGATGGACCAAATCACAAAACTTCGCGATTCCAGATTTTCAATGAACCCAAAATCACCTAGTTTCGATTCTTTCCTAATCAAAGTCCATATCTCTTTGAGACTCTTTCTCGTGATACGTGTATCTCTCTCTCTCTCTCTCTCTCTCTCTCTCTCGCTTCTCATGATCACCTTTTCTGACAACACGACTTCTCCGTCTAGTTTTTAACTTCTGCTGCCACCAGCTCGCTTCTTCTCCACTCCTTCCTTCTAATCAGCCCTCTACTGCTTCCTCCCAGCTGTTCTTTCTCGCCGCGTACCATGCAAAGCTCACCTTTGTGTATTATTTTTTTTTGCTGTGGCATCCTAATTTTCTACTTCGCATCGTTATTCGAAGACCCTCCTGGATTTGAAGCATTCTTGAAGATGGTCGCTCGGGAGCAGACCAAAGAGGAACTGCAAGCGATTATTGCCCAGAAGGATCTTCAAATCGCTGAGCTCAAGAATCAGCTCAACTTGAGCAAATGCCAAGTCTTTGAGTTGAAGGAGAGCTATCAGAAGGCAAGTGCCCAGGGCTATCAACAGGGACTCGCTGAGAATTCCCGTCTCCTGGTCTACTTCGAAAAGAAAGCCACAAAGTTAATGTGTCGTCTTTCCGAGTATGAAATCATCAACGAGGATCTCTTCACTGGGGACATCAGTATGGGCTCTAACGAAGAAGGAGTTGCCGATAGAGGATCTGAAGAGGAGCCAGATGCCAGAGCGGATCAATGGAGCCTGATCAAGTCAACTATCTCCATGGTGAACGCCATGAAGGACAAAATGGGCTACGGAGAAGCTCAGGAAGGTGTCGAGGAGGATCAAGGTAAATTGGATAATCAAAATTAACTTTTAAAAAAATAAAACATATTTTCAGTGACTTGAGAAGGAGCCGCCTCCAAACGAAAGTTCGAGGAGCTTGGGGACCATGCGCCAGCCCGCAAAATGTTCAAGGAAGATTAGAAAAGATCTGGGTGAGTTTGTAGTTCATAAAAAAGTTTATAATCTAAAATTTTCCAGAAACTCCCTACTCCCGAAACTCCGACGATCACTTCGCATCGGATTCAAGTCCCAAAGTTCAATTTCAATTTTCTCAAGCCCGCTTTTAATAATACCCCCTCCTCCAACCCTCCCTAATATCTGAATTTCTAAGCTTATGACATCATTTCAAGTTTTCTCTGTTTTCACCTCATCATATTTTCCCTACTCCCTTAATCTAACTACCCTTACCTCTACGATGACCTCTCTAATAAACCTTTTTCTTTCTCTGTCTGTTCTTTCCGTCATACGCAAAAAAATTCTCCACCTGTTGCCCTTTGGTAACGGCTACTTGGTATAATCATATTAGACGGGCGTTTTGTTGCGCTCGTCTTAAGAGAGGACACAGACACCTTCCCGAGGTTTGATGGTCACATTTATGTCATAATTGATGTCATAAGGAAGAGAAACATGATACAGTATCGGCAGAAAAGAAGGTCCCGAATGAGCGTTTTCGATAGCGATGCGCAGCTTTGTGGGTTTGAAGTTGAAAAAGTCGTTCGAAAATGTTTCACACGTTTGAAACATAAAAGTTGGTGGCCTAGAAAACTAACTCTGCCAAATTTTGGCCACCATATTACAACAACCTAGAAAGCAGTTCATGTGCATTTTAGATCTTTCAGGACCATCAACTACGGTGGCCAACAAAAAGCATGTTGAGAAAGTTGGGTCATCTAAAAAATTTTCGAGAATTCGCAACATTTTTATTTCGATATTGTAAACACTGTGAGAATCAGAGGAAATCTCGAGTAAGCCGGCAAGAAAAACCAACTGAAAAAAGTTCTGAGCCGGAAAATGTATGTTTTTGTTACTAGTTGGCTCCCAAACTTTTCCTATTCCAGGTTCTAAGTGATTCGCAACGATTGTCAGTTTGATATTTACCACCATCGTCAAAACATTGATATTTCGATTCCTTCCTAATTAAAATCCATATCCCTTTGAGCAGCGTACAATGCACATTCTACCTTTTGCGTGCTCTTTGTGTGTGCTGTGCCTCCCTTTCTCTTCTTTGCGTTATTCAATCGTCACACTAATCTTTATAACTCAGAAATCAACAATGATGGCAAGAACCTCCATCGTTTCGGGGCCGACTCCGGAGCAGACCAAGGAGGATCTGAAAGCGGTTATTGAGCAGAAGGATCTTCAAATCGTCGAGCTCAAGAAACAACTCAACTTGAGCTATCTTCATGTCGCTGAGCTCGAGGAGAGCCATCGGAAGGCGAAGGTCCAGGGCTATAAGCAGGGTCTCGCTGAAAATTCCCGCCTTGTTTCTTACTTCGAAAGGAAGGCAACCAAGTTGATGGGTCGTCTCATCGAGTATGAAGACGTCAAGGAGGATCTCTTCACTGGAGATATCGAGTCTGACGAAGAAGGAGTTGCCGCCAGAGGATCTGAAGAGAAGCAGTATGCCAGTGCGGCGCAATGGAACTTCATCAAGCCGATCTTCTCCATGGTGAACGCCATGAAGGCTAAGATAGGATTCGGAGATGTTCAGGAAGAGGAGGATCAAGGTGAGGCTATTCAGAACTAATTTTTTCAACAAGTCAACATGTTTTTAGTGACCTCGGCAAGAACCGCCTCCAAGAGGAAGTTCGAGGAACTTGGGGACCATGCTCTAGTCCGCAAAATGTTCAAGGAGGAGTAGAAAAGAGCTGGGTGAGTTTGTAGTTTATAAGATTTTTTTTTCTAATCTAAATTTTTCAGGATGTTCCTAGTCTCGGAAGTCCAATGGTCCCGTCTTCCTTCGCTTCGGTGTCAAGTTCTGAAGTTCAATTCCGATTTTTCCTATTTCGACTCTTATGTCCCAATTAATAATACCCCCTCACCCTCTTCCTGTGAAATTCGGAGCTTATGACATCATTTAAATTTTCCCTGTTTTCACCTCATTCTCTGTTTTCCAAACTCCTCAATACTATCCTTACCTAGCCGATGACCTCTCTAATAAACCTTTTTCTTCCTCTGTCTGTTCTTTCCGTCATACGCAAAAAAATTCCCCACCTGTTGCCCTTTGGAAACGCCTACTTGGTATAAACATATGTATTAGACATGTGTTTTGTTGCGCGCCTCTCGAGAGAATAAGAGAGGACACGGACACCATTTCTTGGGACGTGGGATGCCAAAATTATTGATGTTCCCTAAATTTGATCCTAACCAGTCAAAGAAGCAAAATTTCCAGAATCTCGTGTTCCGTCTCTCGCTTCTCAAGGTCGTATTGTCGAATTAAAAAAGTGGGACCTGAAAATTTGAAAGGCGTAGCTTTTTTTGATCTACGAAAAGTGCGGCAAAAAAGTAATATTTCTGATGTTCGCCTCGTTCAAGCTATTAGGTTGGCGGGAAAGTCTTTGTCACTCTGTTTGTTTAATCACTGTTCTCGTATATGGAGGCTGTGTATGATATCGACTCTAGTGAATAACAAGGTGATAAGAACCTTCCATATAAACAAGTCCCCATCTCCTTCCCTGCTCCTCATCTGTAATTGAAACGATATGTTTGTTCCCACTGCTATTCACATCAGACATGTTTTGATTTACCTCTTCCTATCTCACACCACGATGAAGGATTCGGAAACTTTCTTGAAGAATGTGTACAACACACATGCCCCTCACTACAATACTATTCGCAATTGGTTCCATCGTTTCGAAAAAGATGACTTCTCGCTCGATGAAAAGGATCGCTCTGGGAGACCCCGTGAGTTGGATTTGGACAAGCTGAAGCACGCATTGCAATCGGATCCATTTCAATCTAGCCGTGAACTAGCTGTCACATTCGGAGTTCACCATAGCACAGTCCTTGAAGGTTTGAAGTCTCTTGGAATGAGAAAACTTTTTGGTCGATTCATACCTCATCACCTGACTCAAGCCAACCTTGACCGCCGAGTCGACGATTCGATTACTCTTCTCACTCTCCACGCGGGCGATCGATGGCTGGACCGGCTAATAACCGGAGATGAGAAGTGGGTCTCCTACGATAATCACCACAGGAAATCCCAGTGGGTTGGAGAAGGAGAGAGCCCACAGGATGTCTCCAAACCCGACCTTCATCCGAAAAAAGTTATGCTCTCTGTGTGGTGGGGAGTGGACGGCCCCATCTACTGGGAACTTCTGCCCGAGGGCAAAACAATAACTGGAGACCTCTACACTACTCAACTACAAAACCTCAAGAAAGCAGTCGACCGTTCGGCCCTGAAAGACAAGAAAGTGTACTATCAACATGATAACGCTCGCCCACATGTTTCGAAACAAGTGAAGCAGGAGCTGATGGGATATGGATGGAATGTTCTCCCTCACCCCCCGTATTCTCCTGATCTTGCTCCTTCCGACTATTGGTTATTTGGCGATATGACACGTGCCTTCGAAGGAAGAAGCTTCAATTCCCGTGGAGCGGTCGAAGCGGCACTCAAACAATACTTTGCCTCACGCCCGGCTGGATTCTACCGCAATGGAATCCATAAATTGAGGGAACGTTGGAGACATGTTGTTGATAATGATGGACAATATAATTAATTATTCGGTTATTTTTTCTTTGAGAAATAAACTATTGAAAAAGTGACAAAGACTTTCCCGCCAACCTAATACTTTCGCAATTAAGTCGGTTTTTCGATTAAAAACAGATTCTAAAGATGCTAGCGATCATTTTCCTACCAAGAAATCTAAGTTTTGCTCAGAAAATCCCACTAAATTCCCAGAAATAAGTTTCGTTCACTACCGTAGTGTTTCTGGGGCAAAGCCTCGTAAATTGATCTTGAAGCCGCCCGCGAAATTTTCCAGGTCCCACTTTTTTTAATTCGACAATATAGTTGTTCCCTTGGTCACAAGTCCACTATGTTTACATTTTCATTCTGTCCATGGTCACATCCCAAAAAGCTAGCACGCCGACCTATCTACTCTCTGAGTCTCCACACTCCTATCCACTCTCTAAGTCTTCCTATGACTCGATGTCCTCGCCCTTCGCACAAAAAATCACTACCCTCCGACAGTCGCTTCTCCATGGGTCAGTATCGATTTTATGCAACAGGGGAGGGGGAGGAGCTTCGTTTCTCTCCCTCGGAGACTCTCCCGCGGGGCAACGAAATAGTGTGTGACGGGAAGATGACGATGACACATGCCGATGGTTGGAACGACACGGGCGGGAGAAGGGAAGAGGGATACTGTAGTTTAGGATCGGATCATGTGTTTGAATTTTTTGATGTTTGTCCCCCGAAAAAGGAGAGCGAAATTTCCCATTTCAAGTCTGGTCGCTCATAAAAGAAGCGTTTTAGAAGTTGAAATTATTAGAATATTTTTTTTTGTCTAGACTAATTTTGGCTCCTATACAGCTTGATTTATAACCCCATCATAGGAGTCTTGTGACTTTTTTGCGAAAAATAATGTTTGTGAATCACAAGGGGTGAGCAATTCAAATCTCTTTTCTTTTTTCTTTTTTCTTAAGCAAACATTGTAATAATTCTCTTTCTTAGAAAAGCCTTGTACTTTTAATGTCTTCAACGGTTTTTTTCACGCCTAATAGTCGCTAATTTTAGAAATGAGTCAACAAGATGCGGAGTTTCTCGTGAAGCTCCTTAAAAACTTGCCTGGAGAGCCAGAGAGATTCCAAGACGCATTGAAAATTGGAATCGCAGAGAAAAAGAAATGTAAGATTTTAAAATTAACCCTTTATGACGAATTAAAATATGAAAATTAGCACATTTTCAGATATGGAGGAGAACCAAAGAATAGCTGTGGCGAACAAGGTGAAGGAGACCGCAGAAAGTGAGTTTTGGAGAAGACTGTAAATACATCCATTTTGAGCTTAATTATCTTGATTCTTATGCGAGATATCAAAAATTTGTCAACTGATAAAATATTGGTGATTTTATGATAAACAATTTATCAGTTGACAGATTTCTGATATTTCTCATAGGAACCGAGATAATTGAGCTCAAAGTAGGCGCTCTAACATCAAGTATCCAATTTTCTGTTTTCAGCGTACCAAGAAAAGAAAATGGAGAAGGAAGGATTTTTGGAAATCCTTGCCATGGTCGCCAAGACGGAGGAAGAGCCGGCCAAGAATGAGGAGCAGCAGGAGAAGGAGAAGGAGCCGGAGAAGAAGAAGAGAGGGAGGAAGCCGGGCACCAAAAAGAAACCAGCTTCTGGAGGTAATTTGTTTGAACCTTAAAGCAAGGCTGTGCCATGGCCGGCTTTTATTAAGGCCGAGCCGGCCGCGGCTTCAGAAAAAAATATTTGAAGAAGCCGCGGCGGGCCCAGGCCGGCCGTGCGGCTTTTCACAGCTTTTAAAAATAACTGTTTCATTAGAAACGCACGCTATTTCAAAGAGACTAGTCGGAAAACGCACCTCAGCGAACGTGAAAAATCACTGAGCAACGTGTCAAATTTCGTTGGCTGAAGATCAAACTTTTAAACGTTGAGCAAAAAAGCGCGAGTTGCAATGCGTTGCTTAAAAATATATAAGTCAAATCCATGTCAACTTTGAAATTATTCATTTCGTTTGGCCCAAAAGTTATCTGGAGCGCGATTTTCGAACAGCTGCTTTGAAATACCGTGAAAACGTAGATTTTTCTTGAAAAGTAAGACAAAAAACCTAAATTCTTCAAAAACTAATTGGATTTTACTTCACGCGTTTTTATAAGGCTAGCCGCGGCTTTTCACGGCTTTCACATAAAAGCCGCGGCCGGCTTCGGCCTCAAAAATCGAGCCGCGGCCGAGGCCGGCTGCGGCCAGCCACCATTTTGCACAGCCTTGCCTTAAAGGGCTGGTCAAAAGATTTCAATTGACTCGTCCGGAGTTTTTGGAACTGATCTTTCAAAAAATCGGTTTCATATGCAAAAGTTTGAAACTTCCATTTTTAAACTCAGAATCCTTTTCATTTCTAGAGCCAACTAGGAGAACCAAACGCTGTGCCAACACCAGACCAAATTACGTCGTCGACTTGGTATCTCCCAGAGATGAGGATGCGCCAGTGAAAAGTATGAGGAAGGAGCCGAAGAAGGCGAAGAAGGCGAAGGATGCAAAGGAGGCGTAGGATTTTTCCTTTTGTTCTGTTTTTTTCTTGGTATCTCTTTTGTATTGTTTCAAACTTTTGATGTAGATGAAATCGTTGATTTATCAAAAACTTACTAGGGAAGGTTCTTTGTGGGGTATAGGACTTCGTTATGAGACCTATATCATTCGAAAGCTGAAAATGAGACATTTTCAAAAATGTGATTCGATTTTGCTGCGGACTTACCATATTCGAGAAAATCGAGTTTGAAATCTCATTTTTGAAAAAGCAAAGGGGGGGGGGGGACTTTTTTCCAAAAAAAATTTTTTTTTGAAAATTTGGTTACATGCTTTTGAAAACTGTTTTTGAGTCATTTTTTCAAACCACTTTTTGACTTTTGAGAATAGAAAGTTAATGGTTTACAAAAGTTTTTGGATGTTTTTTTTATTGTGATCGCAAATTTAGAAGTTTCTGTGCAATATGACCAAGTTTAAGCGTTTTTTTTTCAGAAAAAAATTTTGAAAAAAAGTTCCATGGGGCCCCCTTGACTTTTTTTTTTGAAAATTTTTGAAATTTTTTTTTTCGGCTGAAAAAGTATTAAACGAAAAAGAACAAGCAAATTAGGTTTTTTACAAAATTTGATAACCTATTTTCTTCTCGGGATCAAGACATTTTGATTCTTTTTCTGATTTTCAACAAACCGTAGTACTACGATGATCGCCCAGTAACACTCAAAATTTGAGAAATCATAGACACAAATCATGTCTGATTGATGTGTGGCTCTTAAAACGAACCATCATTATGTACTTTGACAAACAAAAGCTGTGTGAAAGTGTTTAGTGTTGATTAACGAAATAGTCAAAAACTAGATATTACTTAAAACATTTAAGAAAGTACAATTTTTCAGTATCAAAATGAATTTTTTTTGGAAAATGTGTTCGGAACATTTTGAAGATTTCCACAAAGACCGAAAACAAAAACAAAAACAAACAAAGGAGAGAGGAATCGAACCCAACCCTAGTCAGTTACCATCCTCTCTCTTCACCGCTACACCACCAGTCGCTGCTTTCAACTAGTTCCACAATGCATATAAGAAAGGGGGAGATCTGGCCCTCAAAATATTCGAATTTCAGCCAAATTTCAAATTCGATTTTCTCGGACCTGGAATGTCCGCAACAAAATCTGAATATATATTTGAAAATGTCTCATTCTCAGCTTTCGAATGATATAGGCCTCATATCAAAGTCCCATACCCCAGTTACAACCTTCCTTAGTTAGTGCTTATAGTGAAAAATAACGCGAGACGGGAGGACGAGTTGTAGAAGATGCAGGTCAGCATTCTCAAGAATAAACAGGGGGAAACGACTAAGCAACGGGGGGAAAAGGAGCTTTAGAAAGATTGAAAACTTGACATTCATGATTTGAGAAGACGTGCGGACGAAGACGTCCATACATAACCATGCAGAAGGAAACATGGACCATACTTCTAGCTTCACCGTTCCTCGACGTTCTTAATTGGCTCTGTGGAAGTTTTGGGATTGATCTGAAAATGTTCCTAATACTGTAAATTCTCTAATAGAAGCCCATCATATATGAGCATTTTGAGCTCAATTATCTCTGTTTTTCTGAAAGACCAATTCTTTACCAGTTGACAGACTTTTTTATATCTGTCATGAGAACAGAGATAATTGAGCTTAAAGTGACGTCTACTTCGAGCTTCATTATCTCGGTTCCTATGTGAGATATCAAAAATTTGTCAACTAAGAAAATATTTGTGATATTATGATGAACAATTTATCAAATGACAAACTTTTGATATCTTTCATGGCAATCGAGATAATTGAGCTCAAAGTGTAATCTATTAAAAATTCTAACAAACTTCACTTACACATCGCGAGACCCAAATACTCCCGCTCCTTGCCAACAGCCTTGGCGTCACAAATTGAGCACGTTGGTCCTTGATGGCAAGACCAAATCTGCTTTTCTGAATACATGGCGGCAAGTTTATGGAGCTGTGGAGCTGAAAAGAAGTGCGAGAAACGATGTGGAAGGACAACTGAGCTACTCACCGGTATTCATCTTCAATGGCTCTTGAGCGTAGACTTTGGTGACTTCTTTGTTGCTCATTTTCTGAAAAGTTGAAAAGTCATAAAATCCTTAAAAGAGCATTCAGGGTGGCTAATAAATACGTGGTTTTTTGTGGAACTCCTTAGCACTGTGCCAAGTTTGAAGAATGTTCCAGAGAAAATGACCTTGAAAGTTGTTCAGGAACATTTTTTGGGGTGAACACATGGACTCATTACAAAGACAAACACATGGGGGAGAGAGGAAGTCGCTACGAGGAAATTTTTCTTCATGAATCGATAGTACAACAGAAGAAACGTACAACAACATATGCGAGAGAAAAAAGGCGGAGACAGTGAAAAGTGGGAGGACGAGTAGTCCAGAACTAGCAGATCGTATCTCTTTTTTTCATCTGAAAAAGAGGAAATGAGCAGATAAGCATTTTAGATCGGAGACAAGAAAGTTCTAGAAAATTGGAATCATCGTTGTCTGATTAAGTTGAGTCGACTGAATCTGAAATGAGAATGAAGTCTGGAATCCCAAAAATTCAAGAATCCAAGAATCCCAAGATTCCCAAAAGTTCAAGAATCCAAGAATCCCAAGATTCCCAAGAGTCCAAGAATCCAAGAATCCAAGAATCCAAGAACCCAAGAATCCAAGAATCCAAGAATCCAAGAATCCAAAAATCCAAGAATCCAAGAGTCCAAGAATCCAAGAATCCAAGAATCCAAGAATCCAAGAATCCAAGAATCCAGGAATCCAGGAATCCAAGAATCCAAGAATCCAAGAATCCAAGAATCCAAGAATCCAAGAATCCAAGAATCCAAGAATCCAAGAATCCAAGAATCCAAGAATCCAAGAATCCAAGAATCCAAGAATCCAAGAATCCAAGAATCCAAGAATCCAAAAATCCAAGAATCCAAGAATCCAAGAATCCAAGAATCCAAAAATCCAAAAATCCAAGAATCCAAGAATCCAAAAATCCAAGAATCCAAGAATCCAAGAATCCAAGAATCCAAGAATCCAAGAATCCAAGAATCCAAGAATCCAAGAATCCCAAGAATCCAAGAATCCAAGAATCCAAGAATCCAAGAATCCAAGAATCCAAGAATCCAAGAATCCAAGAATCCAAGAATCCAAGAATCCAAGAATCCAAGAATCCAAGAATCCAAGAATCCAAAAATCCAAGAATCCAAGAATCCAAGAATCCAAGAATCCAAAAATCCAAGAATCCAAGAATCCAAAAATCCAAGAATCCCAAGAATCCAAGAATCCAAGAATCCAAGAATCCAAGAATCCAAGAATCCAAGAATCCAAGAATCCAAGAATCCAAGAATCCAAGAATCCAAGAATCCAAGAATCCAAGAATCCAAGAATCCAAGAATCCAAGAATCCAAAAATCCAAGAATCCAAAAATCCAAGAATCCAAGAATCCAAGAATCCAAGAATCCAAAAATCCAAGAATCCAAAAATCCAAGAATCCAAGAATCCAAGAATCCAAGAATCCAAGAATCCAAGAATCCAAGAATCCAAGAATCCAAGAATCCAAAAATCCAAGAATCCAAGAATCCAAGAATGCGAGAATCCAAGAATCCAAGAATCCAAGAATCCAAAAATCCAAGAATCCAAGAATCCAAGAATCCAAGAATCCAAAAATCCAAAAATCCGAGAATCCAAGAATCCAAAAATCCAAGAATCCAAGAATCCAAGAATCCAAGAATCCAAGAATCCAAGAATCCAAGAATCCAAGAATCCAAGAATCCCAAGAATCCAAGAATCCAAGAATCCAAGAATCCAAGAATCCAAGAATCCAAGAATCCAAGAATCCAAGAATCCAAGAATCCAAGAATCCAAGAATCCAAGAATCCAAGAATCCACCCCCCAAAAATCCAAGAATCCAAGAATCCAAGAATCCAAGAATCCAAAAATCCAAGAATCCAAGAATCCAAAAATCCAAGAATCCCAAGAATCCAAGAATCCAAGAATCCAAGAATCCAAGAATCCAAGAATCCAAGAATCCAAGAATCCAAGAATCCAAGAATCCAAGAATCCAAGAATCCAAGAATCCAAGAATCCAAGAATCCAAGAATCCAAGAATCCAAGAATCCAAGAATCCAAGAATCCAAGAATCCAAGAATCCAAGAATCCAAGAATCCAAGAATCCAAGAATCCAAAAATCCAAGAATCCAAGAATCCAAGAATCCAAGAATCCAAAAATCCAAGAATCCAAGAATCCAAGAATCCAAGAATCCAAGAATCCAAGAATCCAAGAATCCAAGAATCCAAGAATCCAAGAATCCAAGAATCCAAGAATCCAAAAATCCCAAGAATCCAAGAATCCAAGAATCCAAGAATCCAAGAATCCAAGAATCCAAAAATCCAAGAATCCAAGAATCCAAGAATCCAAGAATCCAAGAATCCAAGAATCCAAGAATCCAAGAATCCAAGAATCCAAGAATCCAAGAATCCAAGAATCCAAGAATCCAAAAATCCAAGAATCCAAGAATCCAAGAATCCAAGAATCCAATGCCTCCGCTTGCCTAGAACGAAGCTCAAAAAATCTACCATATTTGACCTACCGAATGTTTGATCTACCTGAAAATTATATTTTTTTTGATCTACCTGAAAAGGCACCAAAACGTTTTGGTCTTTGAAAGTCGATGATCTCTTTTTTCAAATTTTTTCATCCGTTTCAAACACTATGTTCCACTCGTTTTCAGCCATTTTGAAGCCGAAATTCTCAAATTTTCAGCCATGTCAGAGTCTAGGCCAACAGTCTTTTTTGACTTTCAAAACCCAATGTTTTGGATGGATGCTAAAAATCGACAAGACGTGTTTTCTGGTCCCTTTTCTCAGATTCCACCACAATTTCAATATTTGATTTCGAATGTGAATCAGGTGCAATTGGGAGGTTAGTTATCGTTAATTATCTTGCTTCCCAAGAGAGATACTGAAAAAATTTTCACAGATAAATTGTTTATCATGATATCACAAACATTTTATCAGTTTAACATTTTTCGAAATCTCTTGTGGCAATTGAGATAGCTGAGCTCTAAAATACCGTTTTTCCTCTGATAAAAGCTCACCTAAACCGCCAACTTGAAGCTCAATTATCTCGGTTCTTGTCAGAGATATGGAAAAGTATTTAAAAGGTAAACTTTTCATCATAACATTACAAATATTTTATCAGTGGACAACGTTTTGATATCTTTTAGAAGAACCGAAATAATAGAGCTCCAAGTTAGGGGATCCTTTTATTACAGGTTTTAGGGTAGTTTGCAACTTTAAAAAATATATAATTTTCAGAATTTACTGAACCCAACGCCTTCTGTTCCCCATCAAGTTTGCAATCAATGTCACCGGATATCCAGAGAGTATGTCAGCCGGTAAGTTTTCACAAGAATCTGAATTCCCAGATTTCAAGACCCCAACTTTCTTTTTCCAGATCTCTGACATGAGTTCAATTCAACAAGGAGAATCCCAAGAATTTTGTCTCAGCCCGAATTCTAAGCAGTCCGACACGTCTTCCGATGATGATGAGGATGGGTTACCTTGGTTCGCGCGAAAAATTCCAGCTAAAAATTGGCAGATTGAAAGAATGGAGAGTAGTGATTTGCGAGTTGGTGGCGGGAAAGGTAAGGTTTTGACGGATTCTGAGGAACCTGAGGAATCTGAATTTTGAAATTCCAGCTAAGCCAAAGAACCACCTACAATGTGTTCGTTTCCAACCTATTTGTCCGCTTCGGCTCTCTCCGATTAGTCCGAATTCCACGTCTTCTGAATTCGGAATAAAGAATATTCTCTTGGATCAAAAAGAGATTCAGTTTTCAGATAGTAGTGAGTTTTTACAAAACACGGTCTCCCACAGAACAATTCCGAACTGCAAATTAACTTTTGATCTACAGAAAAAAAATTTGGCGCGACCACAATTGCAGGTCTAAAACCATAATTTCAGAATTTTTTATCTGATTTTGTGTAGTTCCAAGATGATTCAAATGATTTTTTAAAAATTAATTAGCGGTTATAGAATCCTGTATGGTCCTTTTCCGGAAGAAAAAATGTAAAAAATGGTCATTTTTGAAAGTTTTTTACCGAAAAAATCTATCTCCTTTTTGAGTTTTTGACATTTCTAGGAGTTCTTTAGCTCAAAAAAACCGCAACAATTTACTCTTCATTTTGTATGGATGAATTCTTGATTCGTCTGATAAAAAAATTTTTATAATCAAAAAACAACGCAAAAATGCGATTTTGTGCAATTTCGTGAGGTTTTTTGATTATAAGAAAAGTTTCATCAGGCGAATCAAAAATTCGTCCATACAAAATGAAGAGTAAATAATTGCGGTTTTTTTGAGCTAAAGAACTCCTAGAAATGTCGAAAACTGAAAGAGGAGATACATTTTTTCTGTAAAAAACTTTCAAAAATGACCATTTTTGACATTTTTTCTTCCGGAAAAGGACCATACAGGATTCTATAACCACTAATTAATTTCTTAAAAATCATTTGAATCATCTTTAACCTCCACAAAATCAGATAAAAAATTCTGATATTATGGTTTTAGACCTGCAATTGTGGTCGCGCCAAATTTTTTTCTGTAGATCAAAAATTAATTTGCAGTTCGGAAATGTTCTGTGGGAGACCGTGCAAAATAGAAAAGTTCACCTAAAAGTTTTAATTGATTTTCAGGAAAGGATATGTTCAAGACCAAAGAAACCCAATGCATGCCTTCAAGTCTGGAAAGGATGTTACCAAAAGTTCTGAATATGATTGTTGATGTGAATAGTGTAAGATTTCTGAATTTTTTGTGATTCTTAGATTCTTGGATTCTTGGGATCCTCAGTTCCTGGGTTCCTGGGTCCCTGGGTAAAAGGGTTCCTGGGACCCTGTGTCCCTGGATTTATGGCTTTCTAGATTCCCCAATTTCAGAAACGTCCCCGACCAGAGCGAAACGTACACCAAAAGACGGCATACGTGATTCCAGAGCTTCGAAATAATTTAAAAATGATTGCTTCATCTGTTTTGGCACCTTCCTTTACCACCTATTCTGAACTGTTCTCAAATCTGTCATCAGTGGTTCATCAATTAAAAATGGGTCCTAAAAATTCAGGTAAGCTGAAAACCTATAAGAGAAGGGTTCTCTGAATTTTGACCCAATTTATCTCGGTACATATCTAAAATATAAAAAAGTTTTCAACTGATAAAATACTTATCATATTATCAGCTATATTTTATCAGTTGATAACTTTTCGATATATCTCACATGAATCGGGTTAATTCAGCTCAAACTTGGCGGTGTGGCAAAATCTGGGGGATTTTTCGAAAAACTGATATTTTTAGACGCATCAGTCAAGCTCCGATGGCTGGATGAGCAATTTGATAGATTCACCAAAAAGATTACTGTAGATGCGTTCTCGAATGATCCGATTCCGTTGTTACAGACTTTGTCGATGATTACGTCTTCGAATGAAATGCAAGCTAAAGGTTAGTTTTAAAAATTTTGTTTCGAATTTTGGTTTTATATTTCCAGAAGTGCCTCCAAAACTCGAAACCGATTTTGATAAGGAGATTTGGGCATTGAAAACTCATTTTGACGAAACTTTTGAAAAGCTTTGGATGTTTAATTGGCCAGTACAAGAAGCTGTGTTGGATAATATGATTGAGGTGATAAGGAGAACAATTTCAAAAACTGAAATTGTTCATTTTCAGAGAATCTACAAAATGGCTCCAGATGTTCAAAAAGTGATGAGATTACACTTTGAGGGAACCCTAATGGCATACCAGAGTTTGGGTCTTTTAAATTCCTGGAAAAGAACAAGAAATGAAATGAAAAACTTTCCTACGATCCCAATGAACTCTAGGGAGATTGGAAAAGCGCCAGCAATCAGTACAATGGGCTCGATAAAAATGCATAAGGAAGAAGAAATGATAATGGAGATTCTGATAGAATAATCTTCGAAATATTGATGATTCATATTTTAATAACTTTTTGCTTTTCTGATTTTCTCTACCGTTCTTTTAATTTTGCATTTAATAAAATTAAAAATAGCGGATCCAGTAAACATGGATTCTGTAGTGAAAGATTCAGAAAGAGCAGGAGACGTTCCAGAAGATTCTGTGCAAGTTCACTGTGTGTCAGAAGATTCAGAAGACCCAGAATACGTCGTTGACGGTGTTCCGTGAAATTCCTCTGGAGTCAAACCAGGAGCGGTCGTAGATGCATCAGAAAACTTCAAAAAATTTGATTTTTTTCAAATAGAGGAATGCTGTAGTTGTAACGGATTCTTGACCGGATGTCGAACGGTTAACTTCGAGCTTGTATATCTCATTTCCTATGAAAGATATAAAAAAAGTGGTTAACTAGCAAAATTTTGATCATGATATCACCAAAATTTTATCAGTTGCCAAAATTTTGATATCTTTCACAGGATCCGAGATATAGCGTCTCAAAGTTTTACGGGAATTCTGTGCTTTTGGATCCCCAATCTTGGAGAAAATTTTTAAGAAGTTTTTGACAAAAACTTTTATTAATGGGGTTATGCAGATAATTAGTTTGCAATAAAAATGGCAAATAAATACAAATAAATACTATGCACGTATGCAAATAAATTAATTTATTTGCATCCAAAAAGCGAATTTAATTGCATTCCTGGGCGTGATTTTTTTGATTTCTCAAATTATTTTTGAACCAAATTTCGATGGAGAAAAGTGTTAATATGGCGAAAAAGCCTCATGAGTCTGATATTGTAACTGGAATATTTGGGAAAAGTTATATAAAAAACTTGGCCTTTTAGGATATGACAGCCAATATTCGACAAAAAAAAGTTGCTGCTGCTCTCCTACTATTGCAGGAACAAGAATCCGTTTTACTTACTGTTTGTCGTCCGTATCAGTTGGAAGAAGGGCTTGAAGTTATCCGCCAAGATCTGTTTTCTACTTTTTTACAGTTGAATCAATATATGATTTCGACTGAACAAACGAAAGTGAAAAAATCGGTTGAAAATTTTTATAGAATAGTCTTCAGAAATATCTGGGTGTGGAACTTGAACATTTTAACTTTTTTGCGAAATCTTTGTTCTGACGACATCAGTAGAATCGATTCAATCCCAGCTCCAGTCCGTATTCATATTTTTTTGAAGTATGCTCGTGAAGGTAGTGAAATGTATATATCACTAGACTCACCAAGATAACTTTAGGTAGATCCCAGAACTATCTGGCTCAGGATCTTGGTATAAGTCAGTTTACAGTGTCACGAATAGTAAATAATGTAGTAGACAAGCTGGTGAATATTGCAAAGGACTATATATGTTTCCCTACAAGCATTCAACATCTAAGAGCTCTTGAGAGAGGATTTATGAGTAAAACTGATGCAAATGGTAATTATAGAAGAATTTCTTGCTTTGGCATTTGCGACGGCAAACTATTTTCAGATTGCTCATCAATATCTTCCATATTCGAATTTGAAAACTGTTGCTGATTACAACAATTATGATAAATCGTTTGGAAACCCACATGAACTGATACGTGTCTGCTGATGAAACAAATAAAAAGAAAAAAATCACGCCCAGGAATGCAATTAAATTCGCTTTTTGGATGCAAATAAATTAATTTATTTGCATACGTGCATAGTATTTATTTGTATTTATTTGCCATTTTTATTGCAAACTAATTATCTGCATAACCCCATTAATAAAAGTTTTTGTCAAAAACTTCTTAAAAATTTTCTCCAAGATTGGGGATCCAAAAGCACAGAATTCCCGTAAAACTTTGAGACGCTATATCTCGGATCCTGTGAAAGATATCAAAATTTTGACAACTGATAAAATTTTGGTGATATCATGATCAACATTTTGCTAGTTAACCACTTTTTTATATCTTTCATAGGAAATGAGATATACAAGCTCGAAGTTAACAGTTCGACATCCGGTCAAGAATCCGTTACAACTACAGTATTCCTCTATTTGAAAAAAATCAAATTTTTTTCAGAAGTCTTCTGATGCATCTACGATCGCTCCTGGTTTGACTCCAGAGGAATTTCACGGAACACCGTCAACGACGTATTCTGGGTCTTCTGAATCTTCTGACACACAGTGAACTTGCACAGAATCTTCTGGAACGTCTCCTGCTCTTTCTGAATCTTTCACTACAGAATCCATGTTTACTGGATCCGCTATTGCGTCAGAAATTCTATGTTAATCTTCTTTGGTAAATCTCGGAAATTCAAAAACTGTGAGATTCTCAAATTGGACCACTCATATTAACCTTTGGATTCTTGGATATTGGTGGATTTACGATCTGCCTGGTGGAGTAGCTATCAGATTTCCTCAACACCAAGAATGTATTGCCCATCATACCGGTCGTAAACGATGGTCATAATTACGCTTATTCTCTCTTTTGCATAACGGACCGGCAAGCAGACATATCCTGCTCGGGCGGTGCCATTAACTTCTGGTCGGAGGTTAGTCAAATTCCGGTTAGACCACTATTTTTATTAGTGTTAAACTCCCCGCTATTAGCATGAGTCCAACCCCCACAATTATATATTTTTTCCCGACAAAAATATGAACAGGTTACGACATAGTAGTATTTCAACTTCAACTTCTTACATCTGCCGGTCAGTTTCAAATGTGTTCTGAAATTTACTATGTTCCTTTTTTGATCCTAATTATCTCGGCTTCTAATTAAGCTACAAGAAAATTTTCAACTGATAAAATATTGATGACATTCTAATGCGCATTTCTTTAGTTGACAGTTTTCGAAAATCTTGGCTAGAAATAGAGATAACTAGGATTAAAGTTACACACTTTTTTCCCATGTACGTCAACCAATTCTCTTTGCTCATTAGTTTTCGGCGAACGATTCCCCTGACATTTTGCATCACATTTTCATTCTCCTTCTACCAAAAACGCCAGAAAATGTCATAATTTTATTATTCACCCTCTCATTCTCCCATCGTTTCTCCCTCCTTTTCCTGCACCGTACGAAGCCATCCCCCATAGACATTCTGTCGTTGTCGCAGAGTTTTTCTCTCTTTCCCTCGCTCCCTCTCAATTTTCTGTTTTTTTTTACTTCTAACAGTCGCGAAATTTATCGTTTGATTGCGTATTTCATAAATTCAGACTCTGTCTATCTACCACGCTACAGCACAATGTCGGATCAGAATGTCAATCATGCTCTTCTCGGATTTGGAACCAATGGAGGTGTTTTGATTTTTTATGGAGCTCAAGATTTCATTTTTAGGCTAGTTAAAAACAAACCAAAAAAAAAACTAAGATTGAAACCTCGACTTTAAAAATTGTCTCATAAGCTAATTGGGATTCATCAGATTTGGCTATAAACTAACCCAATGTGTATCTGTAGAATTTCGATTGTAAAAACAAGCAGATTGGATCATTTCATTTTCAGTTCCACTAATTGGACCCACCTTGCCAGCTTATCCAGTCGGCGTGGATCCGCTTCCCCAGTGTGAGTTTTTCCGCTATTCAACTTTTAGAAGATTTTTATATTCTCAGTCTTTACCAACATGGGAAGCCGCGGTAAAGAAAAGGAACAACAAACTGAAGCTCGAATTGTTGAGCTTGAGCAGCAAAACAAAGAGCTGGCAGAGCAGATCGCTAAAAACAACAACGATGCAAACTTCCAAATGGGCCGAGCACAGAGAAGAATTGGAGAGTTGGAGCAGGAGAAGATAGAGAGTGCGAAACTCGTCCAGGCGAAACTCGTCCAGAGATTGGGAGAGGAGAAGGACAGCCAGAAACTGGTCATCGAAAAATTGGAGAGCGAGAAGGCGGAGGTTTCTAAGCGAGTGGATGCTCAAATTCTGAAAAATCAAGAATTGGAAGCAAAAAATTCAAAATTGCAGCAAGCAGACAATGAAAAGCAAATGAAGTTCAACGAGCAGAGCGAAAAGATGCAGAAGATCGAAACCGAGCTTCAAAATCAAATGAAGCTATATGCCGATCAGAAAGCATTAATTGAAGCTCGTGACGCAAAAATCGGAGAACTGAAATCCCAGTTCGCCGAGAAGAGCAAGAAAATGGAAAACGAGCTCCAAAATGCACAACGCCAGCTTACTTCCAGACAGGAGGCACTGGATAGAAGCGAGAATAATGCAATGCATTTGAACGCTGACATCGACCGACTGAAAAGAAAACCATCGAGCCAAAATCAGAAAATTCGAAAACAAAATTTTGGTGCTCCGTCAACAATTAACGGATCAGAGTAACAGCATCGCTAGTACGAAAACAGCTAATGATGCCGCTGCAAGGGGAAAAATTGCCGAATTGAGAAAGATGAAGAAAGGAACGCCAAGCTGCAAAAAATTTTCTTGGAGACAACTGGCAAAAATAATTCTCTTCGTGGAGTCGTTGCTCATCAAAAAGTAATGTTGGAAGCGAAGGATGAAGAAATCAATAATTTGAAGGCAAGCTGCAAATCTGCTGAAGAATCGGATGCACGAGCGAAGCAAGAGCTCCAGCTCCGAGTGGAGAAAGTTACTGACCTCACGGAGAAGCTGACGGAGACAGAGGCAGCAAGAGACGATCTTCAAAGAAAGATGGATGCCATAAACTCTGCGAAAACGGCTTTTGACTTAGCCATGTCTCAAGGTGAGATAGTTTAAAATTCGAAATTCAAAAAAAACTCCTCAAATTTTAGTGAATGCTGATGGGACATCCAGTCCTTCGAAAAATGTGGGAACCAAAAAAACTGCTCCGGTGAGTTATACTTCATTTGAACCAAAGCAAGGTTCTTGGAAGTTTATCTGCTTGATTGAAGTTTGCTGATAAATCAAAATTGATCAATGATTTCAATAATGAAGTTTTCAGAGCAAGAGAGGACGAAAACATTAGCTTCGCATCGCTCCAATCGTTTTGTCACTCCACAATTCCCGCCTCCATATTTTGAAATGCTCTTTTTCTTTTTCTGATGTGCTCTTATCATTTTCTTTTCTCATTGGCTTTAATTACTGTAATTCATGTGCCCTGTTTCCCGGTTCTACATCGTTCCTTCCTGTTCCACATTTCATGTTATCTCGATGCTATCATCTGGCTGTCTGATCCCAACCTGAAACGTCTAGATCCCTTATCATTATCTCCCATCTCATCCAACATCTGGAAGTTTCAGCTTACACTCCTTATCTCCCAAACAAATCTATGCCCCGTTTTACGATCCCATCTTTCCTCCGTCTCTTTGAAATCCTATCTCTTCCACATGCTCCCCTTCTGTTCCCCACCCAACGAGCTCTATGCACCTTAATACCTAATTTCATTCTTATTTGTTTCTATGCACATATACGTTCCCGCATTTCATTCACCCTCCCGTCTCTTAGATATGCTCCGCGAACAGACTCATTTTCCTCATCCCATAATTATGATTCTCCCTTCTTTTTCTTGCACCTCTCTATTCCCCTATCCTCCTTATGCACGTATGTAACTAGTAAACAATTACAAATTGCTGATACACACCTTGAGCTTAATATCCTGACAGACATTTGCACTTTAATCACCTGACTCATGAGAACTTTTTTTCACTTTCTTTGGCTTGAAATTCGAAGTTAGAATAAACAATCAAAAGTTTTTAGGAGATATCTTACAGGGAGATAATACTAAAGATTCCAGGTAGTAGACGAATGATGACGTTAATTAAAAAATATACAGAATTCAACATTTTAAAATTAGTTTTTTCCCGATCCTATTTAATTGTAGCCGTAACCCACAGAAGTAATATGCGCTTTTTCCCCTCGTGCATCTCACATACTCTAAATTTTTTAGTTGAATCTATCGTTTTTTTTAAATAATCCCGACCATTACGTTTCTCTACATCAGATAATCTGGCTCAGATTCCATTCCTACACTAAATCAGTCGTTTTCAGCCGGCCATCAAGGATTAACGCATGCTAGAAAAGTTTATCTCTTCTTTTCGAAACTAAAGGAAATTGGTTCGGTTTCCCCTTTTCGCGACCAGCGTCCTTCTGAGCTCACCTAATCCGGCTTTGTGTGCCCTACACTGGATCGAAATCTCCAGATTATGAAACTGACGGTGTGTTCTTAAAGGTAGGAAAAGAAACGGGCAGTCTTTCAGTTTCCCAGTCCTTAGGATTTCTAATATCGGAGAAAATAATGAGTTAGAGAAGTTCCAAATCGGATCCCAAGTTTTTTTGTTGGATAATCTGAAACTTTTAAACCTATCTATTCTCTTTTACTACGATATTCATACTTCCCACACGCTTTTTTTTCATTTCCTGTGAAATAAAAGTGGGTGTGGGAATGATTCTTGTGACCAAATTCTTTTTTTTGTGATCTGAATCTATTCAATTTATTCTAACACTTGAAATCTTAATCTTTCATTTGCTATCATTATTTTTTGTAACTAATTATGAAACTGTCTTTTATGAACCCTGTCTTTTTGCGGATGTGGATCATGACGAGACGGGGCATTTTCTTCTGGAAAAAGTCAGTTATCTTCTCCAAAAAACAGCTATCCCAAAATTTACCATATTGGAGAACGGCTTTTTGCAAAATCACAATTTGTTGTTTCCTCCGCTGAAGCACCTTCTCCAATCTCTCGATATCCTTATCCTTTCTCTCCAGATCACTAGCATAGATCAATTTCAGATCTTGCTTTTCCTTTTCAACTGGAAAACTCAAAATTTTTGTGTGATAGAGATTTTTGAACTCACATTGTTTTTTCAGTTTATCCATTTGACTTCCAGCAATTTTTCTCTCATTAGTTCTTGCCTGAGAAATATGCTTATCGCATTTCCAACACTGTCTCCTTGCTGCTAACAAGTCTTTTTTCAACGATTTATTTTCTCGAGCATAGTTTTGATCTGAAAGAATAAGTCGGAGATTTTGAATAAAGTACTGTAGCTTACTGTCGCTCAAAATCTGCTCCAAAGCCTCTATTGTCAAAGGAGCGTAGTTGGAAGACATTCTGTGTAGCTGAGGCTTTTCAAATCACCTCCTTTTATACATCGCGATTTGTTTTCATACATTCATATTCAAATTCTGAAATTTTCCATCTATTGTCCACCTGTGAGAAAAACTAAAAATCGAATAATTCGATTTTGAAAACGATTTTTGAATTTCCGGCTGTATTGAATAGAAAGAAGATGGAAACTATCGTGTATGGAGATTTTAGGCTTTCTAGGAACTTGTGTACTTTCCTCTCGAGAGTTCAAAAGATCAAAATCGAAATTCCTAGCTATCGCTTTCTGGCGCGTTACCGTAAGTGCTCTAATTGAAGCCCCCAGTGTATATTGAGCGCAATTATCTCATTTTCTAATAAAGATATCAAAAAGTTGTTAACTAATAAAATATTGGTGATATAACAAGTAGTGATTTTCAAAAGTTTTAATTTTGGGAAAAATATTCAGAAAGTGTTAATATTTCTGTTATATTTGTTGAAAAAAACACGTTGCTCCCAAAAACTTAACGGTCCATCTTTTGGGAGATTCAAAAGAAACACGTGGCTCACAAAAATTTCTGAAATTTCAGTACTGTGATGTGAAAATTAAAACTTTTGAAATTCACTACTTGTTATATTATGACCAACATTTTGTCACTAGACCACTTTTTGATATACTGCATGGGAACCGAGATAATTGAGCTCAAAGTAAGCGGACCCTTCTAACTCATATTTTGCTTCCGTAATTGCAAGGTCTCTCTCTCTCTCTCTCTCTCTCTCTCTCTCTCTCTCTCTCTTTTAATCAAACAGAACACACATTTGTGTAACCACACCTTTGAAATAAATCCTTTTTGTCTTTTACAAAAGAATCATTTTTTACTTCTCCATTCCTATTTCCCTCTGACTTCTCATTTTTCTCCAATTTTTTCTACCCCAAAACTTTCTTATCTTTACCAGTTTAATCTAAACATTCGAGACGACATCTTCTTAACTGATTGTGAGAAATTCATTTTCTTCTTCAAATTTTTTGATCAACAGAGATTGTTATCTCTCCCGTCTTGTCTCCGAAAAATTAAACGAACCCGTTCTACCGAGAACACACACTCTCTATTCTAACCCCAAGGAAACTGTTATATGTGATTGATGGGTTTGGAAATTTGTTGCCACTTTTTTTCGCATCTTTTTTAGTTACTTTGAAAAAAAAAGTTGCAATTATGAACACTTTTATAATCCTCTCGTACAGATATTCCTTTTAATTATAATCTCGCCCCATATGTTCGCAACTTTTCAAGCGCATTTTCTCTATGCCCGGTGAACTAGGCATGAGAAAAAAAGAGAGATATCGCCTATTTTTTCCTCTCCCGAATTTTTTGCGACATATATGGTTCTTTACTTTTTTTTTCTCGACGGCAACCTTGAATTATTGCACAGACTTTCGAGAAAAAAGATTTTATGAGATATCGGCTGAATCTGTTGTTTGAACAGTATCAAAGATTCTGAGATTCTGAAATTCTGAGATTCTGAAATTCTGAGATGCTGAGATTCTGAGATTCTGAGATTCTGAGATGCTGAAATTCTGAGATTCTGAGATTCTGAAATTCTGAAATTCTGAAATTCTGAGATTCTGAGATGCTGAGATTCTGAGATTCTGAGATGCTGAGATTCTGAAATTCTGAGATGCTGAGATTCTGAGATTCTGAGATTCTGAGATTCTGAGATTCTGAGATTCTGAGATGCTGAGATTCTGAGATTCTGAGATTCTGAGATGCTGAGATTCTGAGATTCTGAGATTCTGAGATTCTGAGATTCTGAGATTCTGAGATTCTGAGATTCTGAGATTCTGAGATTTTGAGATTCTGAGATTCTGAGATTCTGAGATCTGAGATTCTGAGATTCTGAGATTCTGAGATTCTGAGATTCTGAGATTCTGTGATTCAAATAGTCTGCAAGTCCAAAAAATCTGAAAATCCCAAAATTATGAAAATCCGAATATTCTGTAAATTCTGAAATTCTGTAAATCCTAAAATTCTGAAAATCCAAAACTACAGGAAATCCACAAACTCAAAAAAAAAAACGCGAAAATTCTAAAGTTTCGTAAATCCGAAAATTCTCAACTCTCTACATGATATTCCCTTTTCTATCACAGTTTACTCCGCATCTCAGATGAGGCATTTTTTATTTATTTCTCTCTTTTTCCACTTTACTAGTCAGTTTGTCACTTGTTTCGTCTACCCTCCTCATTAGAAAGATGTCATAAATTTGCTGCCCTGTCCGAAGGATGGCATTTTGTTTATAGGTCAAATTTCAAACCGCACCTCCTTTTCCCTCATTTCCCTTACTTTCGATTAGCTTATAAATATTTTTATTTGGCTCTGATGTGTAGATTCATAGGAGGAATCTCTGGAAGTTTCGAATCTTCTCAAAAACAATTGTTAACTTTTGAACTCAATTTTTTTTCATTCGGAAATTGAGATATATCTCCGCCGGCAGACAAAATAAAAGATACACTTTTTTCTCTGTTTCCTCCTTCCTGATATCTGACAAATCGCCACTACCACAAATTTTGATGTTGTTTACAAAATCTGACCAAGGTCATAAATTTCGCAGACATCTATTTTTTATAGTCAAGACCAAAGGATGACCATTTTGCGATTTAGCAGTCACGGTACCTATTTTTTGGGTTGAAAATTTTGTATTTCAATTTCTGAACACACTTTCTCAATGTTACGGTATCTGTTTTTCCTGCACAAACCTGGATTATGACCTCACACGCTGCAAATCATTTTTCGCTTTTATTTTTGGAAAAACTTGTCGTTTCAAATCCTTTATAACATTATTAAAGGATTAGTTTCTAGCAAAGTCCGTCTATGTAAAATTTATTTGTCACCATCAGTTGCATTAATCCTATCTAATTATCTATTATTATCTCATCTGAATTCCAGTTTTTGTTTTACTTACTGTATTCCTTATCCTCTTGAGAAGTCAGGATTATGACCTCACAGATAATCATTTTTATCCTATTCTTGGAAACATAAATCACCCTCAAATTCTTTATCACATTATCAAGCGGATTAAAATGTAACTGAGCCTATTTCTTAAACGGTGTATCTTGTCGGATTTTCATAGTCTCATCTTGGCTCTAGTCTTCTATAACTTTCCTCGATTTCAAGATGGATAATCTAATATCTCATGAGTTTTTTGTTGTAGTTGTTCTTTTTAATGGGCGGTTCAGATGTTAAGAAATACATGTGCCCTAAACCTTCTCCTTTTTCAAGGGTCCGATTTCAACATTCTCACTTTTTCAGATTTCCCTAATGAGCTTTTTTTACCGCCCACAATCTGAGTTTTCATCTATTTGCACTCATTCTAGCCACATTATTACTCTCTATATCATTATTAACGAATTTGTTTTTAAAAAATATCGAAATCCCAAAAATCCCATTTCCTCTCTCCGGAATACCGGAAATTGAAATGTGTAGTTCGGCCGGAAATTTTAGCCTACTGTAACCTCCTCTGAAATGCCTCGTGCCAAATAGTTCAAAACTAGTCTACTTTTCATCAGTTCACGACTATTTATCTTTTACCATTTAATCGTTGCCTCTCCGTTAATTTTTTCTGCCTTTCTTTGTACTTTCTTTTATTCGTTGTTCATTTAATTTGCGCTCTATTATGCAGTTTTCAATTGCTGATTTGACCAGCTTTTTCCGGTTTCTAGTAGTTTTTAAACTCTTTCAAATTCTTGTTTCCTTTTTTAATTTCTGTTTTACGATAATAATTGTTTTAGATATACAATCAGAATAGACATGCAGTCACGTACCACTTTGCGAGATTTATTGGTAGCGCCAAACAACTCTGTTCCACGAGCGGCTACGCCAAGTTCTTTTGGACAGAACCCGAGCATTTTTTCTTCGACACAAGGTACTAATTTCAGTATTTTAAAGGTGGTGAGACATGAAATTTAATTCGGGTTCTGTCTCAACTTGAGGGCTTCTGAAAAAATAGGAACACTGAACAAGAACAGGAGACTCTGAAGAGCCCTGAAGCAAAATAAGAGATGCATTGGAATAGAGCCAATGAAAACCTCTTATTAGGAGTGTCTTGCCGACTGAGCTACGCTATTGTGTGATTGGATTTTTATCCTCAAACTGCCACCTATTGAATCAATTTACAATTCCAGCTATGCCACAATTTTGTTCTCTTGTGGAAGCAACGCCGTCCTCTTCATTTCAACTCTCAACTCCCATTGGCCTGACTCCGATGCCTTCACCTACCTTGTTGCCTTCTTTCACTGCACAGTCACTTCCTCCACAGCTGCCAGATCACCTTCTTCCAGCTCATCCTCTTCCAGCTCCTGCTTATCCTCCATTCTCAACAAGCCAACTTCAAAACGGTACTATAGGTACTTAATGATAATATTTTTTTTTTCTATTTCACAGATTGCCAACTCGGGATCACACCACAGATTCTTGAACTTTTGAATCTCATACAGATGGTTCAGGGTCAAAATCTCGAAGCTCGGATTGCTCCGATGGAACCGGAGGCTCCTTCTTCCAGTCAGACTCCGGTTAATGTTAAACAATCGTCGACTCAAACTGGTAATTTTTTTTTAGAAATGATACAATAGTTTTAAGTGTAAGTGTAGGCTGCTAGTCACTGAAATCTGACACCTTTGTGAAACAAAAATAATGGAATTTTGACTTTTTGACAATTTTTGGTAATCCTTGATAACTCTTTATCATTCTGAATGTTCCATCAGTCATATTTTAAACTTGAAACAAAATTTTTTTCAGAAGCACATGCAGGACCATCTCTCGTTGAACGAGCAGTTTCACCTACTGCTCCTTTTGGAATCGTAAGCATGGAAGGTAGGAGCTTTGCATCCTTAGGTCATTTCAAACTTAACTTTGTGTTGTTTCAGAAGAGATGCAAAACCTGAAAAGTGAGAAGAGCCAACTCCAAGAAGACTTAGAAAATGAATTGAGGAAATTCAAGCTAAAGCAACGTCAAATGAGTGTAGGCCATCAGAAGAAGATGAGCGAAACGATGAAACGGCTCAAAGAAGACTTCGAAATGTTGAGCTCAGCCGATAAGAAGACAGTTGAAGATTTGAAGCTCGCTGGGAGTAAGAAAGATGCAAAAATAGGTGCTTTGGAGCAGGAGAACGAACAGTTTGAAGCTGAAAAAGAAAGTCTGATGAACGAAAATGAAAATATGAAGATACAGATGATTGGAGAGCAGTGTGTTCGCGAATTGGAGATCCTGTTTCTTCAAATCGAGATTGAAGTCCTTACCAACGGCGAAACCAAGAAGATCGTTCAGCTGATCGATGAGAATGTTTTGCTACAACAAGAGAAAGAGACTTTAGAATCGGTGAATGAAAAGAACAATCAGGAGCTTTTGAGAATGCAGTGTGAGCTTGCTGCGAGGACGGAGAAAATTCATGCTCAAGAAGAGGAGCTCCAGGAGCTGAGACGATTCAAGATGCAAGTACAGGTTGAAAACCTGAGATTGAAGAAATCGGTTTCTCCAGAACCTCAAGAACAGACCGAAGGTTCCAATGGCGATTCCCCAGCATTTTACGAGGAAGCTGTCTACACCGAAATGCCAGAGGCAATCGCCGAGATGCCAAAGGAAGAGAAGTTCTCCGAGGTCTTGGAGCAGCAGAAGGACGACAATGAGCTCTGGCTCGAAAACAAGAAGGAGATCGAGAGTCTTCAGAAGCGGTTGGACCGTGCAGAGACAGAATTGATGGAGAAGCATTCATCTGAAGGGCTGAGACAGGAAATTCTTGGCCTTCTTGGTCACATCAAGCAGTTCAAAAAAAAGTCGGATACCCTCCGATCAGAGTACTCGACTCTCGAAAAAGAGAACTCTTCGATGAGAAACTCGATTCGAGAAATCCAATTTTTGAAAGACGCGAAAGTGGCCGAATTGGACGATCTCATCCGTCAAGAACAAGATCTTCGAGTCAACATCTCAAATCTCCAGCACCGAGCAAGAGGACTTTCTGATGTGAAGGAACTTCAACAGAAAATGGAAAGATACCAAAAGATGATCAGGATCTATGAAGATCAGTCCGAGAAGATTTTGGTCCTCAACAATGGACATCTCTGTTGGAGAGGGAAACAAGGTGAAGAGTTTTTCAATGAATTTTGACCTGTTTCAAATTTTTGGCTATTATTTTTATTGTTTCAGGACAGCCCGGAAGTTCCGCTCAAACTCGTGCTGCCAAAAGACCGCGCCAGTGAACGGAAGGCTCATTGACTCAACCGATGCCTAATTCCTGCTCTCATCATATCCTTCCACAGGTATTTCTTCAGTTAATATGAGATAGATGATCACATTCTAGAAAATAGTCCTTCTATTATTTCCATCGAAAGTTTTTCTTTTCAGATTTTTCTCCACGATCCTCGCTACTCCACGCTACCATGCTTCTTCGCTCCGACCACGATTCCAATCACCAGGTGAGCCAGATTAGCATTTTTCCACTTTAGGCTCAATTATCTCGGTTGCCATAAAAGATATCAAAAATATGCTAACTGATAAAATGTTGCTGATATTATGATTAACGTTTTATCTGTTGACAAATTTTTAATATCTCTCATGGGAACCAAGATAATTGAGATCAAAGTGAACTTATAGGGCGGCCTTCTATTAGAGAATTTACAGTAGAGTCACTTCTTTTCTGCTTTTTCTTTTCAAAATTCTTCTTTTCAGGTTTTCTTCAACAAAGTCTTTGTATCCTTGCTCCTGGTTCCAATAACCAGTCATTGCTTCCTTGCCTCTGATTCTTACAACCATTCATGATTCCAACAACCAGGTGAGCAAGATTACCATTTTTTGATTGTAGGACGTAAGATTTATTGTGGGCGTGGTCTTTCTAAAAGGATTTTCTTTCAAACTTCTATACTTTCAGATCAAATTCTTCCTCACTTCTACTTGGTTCGTCGTCTGCCGTACTCTGCTCCTTCCTTCTTGTTTCCACCTCATGCTGGTCATATCTCACATGCTTCTGCTCCTATGGATCACATTTATGAGTCTTTTTTCCTTTTTTTGTTTTCTATGTTTTTTTTTAAATTCCTTTCATTTTTCTCAATTTCCCACATTCGCTTCCATATCGTAGCTCATTCTCTGCTTCCATGGATTACATCTATGCTCCAATTTTCTATCAAAAAATCATTTTCCGTTGTTCAATCCCTTCCATCCTTGTTTCCCTAATTTATTTATCAATTGAACAACTCATGAATACCATTTCCTTGTTTTCTGTTGACATTTGATCTTTTTAGTTCGCTTTTATATTTTCCTATGGACCTGAAATCCTTTGTTCGTATTCCCCCGCTTCACTAGATATTCTACCTCTATCATTCCACCTCTTCTTCTCTTATCACCTCGCAATTTTCCAAATCTACCTGAGCTACCAAAATTTTATGATCTACTTCCCAGCCTTTTCTTTTCCAAGCTTTCTCCATTTTCCCGAGTTTCGATTACTTTAAAGTTTGATCATAAATTTGCTCATAAATAAAACAGCTCCTGTTGCAAGAAGTCATACAAAAGTGAATTTGTTTGGATTCAGAAAATCAATAAAAACTTAAAACGCTTCTTTTTTAAACAATTCAGAAATCATTAAAAGCAGCGTCTCAAGTTTTGACTTTGTGCCTTTTTTGAGAAAAAAAAACACGTATTTCCTCCCATAGAAGACCGCCCAAACGGTCAAGTTTAAGCTTGATTATCTCTATTCCTGTGAGAGATATCAAAAATTTTTTCAACTGATGTATTTTTTATCATAAAATCATCAATATTTTATCAGTTGACAAACTGTAGAGATCAAAAAACCTTCCGAAAAAAATTGCGGGAATTACAAAATGAGAAATACAAGAAACAGCATCGTCTCTCTATTTTGATCTACCAATTTTTCAAAAAAATGTTTTTTCGAAAATCAATGATCTAGAAGATCCGCGGCGTATTCTCGTCATTTTTCACATTTTTTTTCAAAGTTCCTTCACTTTTTTCGGTTTTTTTTTCGAAATTTCTAATATTCCAGGTCCATCGAAATGAACAACAGCCCTTCTCCAAGCATGCCGAATGGAACGAACAACAATAATGGTCTAGGTAAGTTGAAATCTTCGAAAAATTGCTGTTTTAATCTTTAAAATCGATTTTCAGCCAACAACAATGTCCAAAATGGGTTCTTACAAAACTACCAACAACCGGCTCTGATGCATCTATGGGTCGATTTTCAGCAAAAATGGACTCAAAATGGTCCACTAGGCAAGCCAAGGGTCCTAAAGATGTATTATAATTTTCATAGTTTTCAGTTGTGCCTAGACAGGCTCCGATGCCACCAGCTATCTCAACGATGAACTATCAGAACATCCCAGGACAAATGACAAGCTATCAGAACCTCCCAGGAAAGCTAAATGGCCCTACTATAAAAGCTGCTGCTCCACTGATAAAGATGCATATGGAAGGGAACTCAGGTGTTCCTACTAGGCTTAGTCAACCTCTGATGCCAACAGCCGGCCAAACTGCTTCAGTGATAAATTATCAGAACATCCCAGGACAGCTAAATGGTCCGACTATACAAGTTGCTGCTCCACTGATACAAGAAGTCAAAAAAGAGGGCGAAGGAAATCAAGTGGAGTTAGGTGGGAAGCAAGGTCAAATGCTAAAGGATGAGACGCAGAAGCTTGAGCGAAAAACGGCCGACTCCTCAGAAGAGGAAGATACTCAAAAGTTGAAGGAATTCATTGAAAAGGAAGTCCAGAAGCGAATTAGTGTTCTGAGCTTCAACCATGGAAGGGAGCTCATACAACTGAACATGGAAAGAACGACGCTTATCGGACAGCTAGATGAATATAAGGTGTTGAAGGAGAGATTGGAGCAAGAGAGAGGCACGGGTGGTCTGAAACTTGAGAATCAGAATTTGCGAGAAGCGGTTGCAGCTTGGATGAAGGCGTCGGAAGACCAAAAGCAGCAAATTGAGCAATTGAAGAAGGTGCTTCAACAACGAGATTTTGAAATGTCAAAAGAGATCTCTCAAAACACGGAAATTTGCCGATTGAATGATGAGAAGAAGGCTGAAATTGACGACGTCAAAATGAAAAACACCCAGCTTGGCCAAATGAATATCCAGCTATACAACGAGGTCAATCGCTTGAACCATGTTGTCAAACAGCAGGCAGAAGAGAGATTGAAGCAAGTGATGGATTTGGAGAATGAGTCTAGGCTGGTTAAAGAGCAACAAGTGGCTCAAGCACGTGAGCATTTGGAGAAGATGGTTGGCATGGAAAAGGAGAATGATGAGCTGAACAAGGCTAAATCAGAGCAGGATGCCAAGATTCAACGTCTCGAGACTGTCAACAAGTCATTGTTTGGCAAATCTTCAGCTCTGGATGCTATAAGAGCTAAGCTTGATGAAGAAGTCAGCAGGTTTACAAGCCAAGCAGCGGATCAAGAAAAGAAGACGTTGGGACTTGAGAAAAGGATTCAAGAGTTGGAGGAAGAAGCTGCTGAGCTGGTGCGTCAGCAAGATGATCAAATTGACAACCTCAAAAAGATGCATCAAGATAAAGTGAACAAGTTGTATGAAGAAGCGGAGGATTTGAAAATAGAGAATGAGGCATTGAAAGATGATAACAAAGAAGAGGTAGCTAGAATGAAAGAGGCTTTGAAACAGAAGGACAAGAGTTTAAAGGATATGAAAACTGATAATGATGGGTTCAAAAAAGCTCTTGTCAATCGAGACGCCAAGATTCGACATCTGGAATTACAGCATTCAGGTTTCAAGGACACTATTGACGGACTTCTAACTGATTTGTCAGTGTTGAAAGAGCAGAAAGAGAAGATGGTCGAACAAGTAGAGAAGTTGAAAAAGGATGGGAAGAACCATGAAGATAGAATGGATCAGTGGAAGATCCAGGCAAGTCGAACGGAAAAAGAAGTGGCGAGTTTGAGAAAAGAGAATGCGAAACTGAAAGATGACAACAAGTCGACGACGTCACTTCAAGGCCAAATTGACCTACTCCAGACAAAGTTGACGGCAAGTTATGGGAAAAACGAAGCTATTGAAGATGACTATCGACGTCATCGCGAGAAACAAATGCAAGAACTCAGAACTGCTGATGCCAAAATCGCTTGTCTTGATAAGACTATCAGTGAGCTTCGTGCAAAGATGGCTTCCAAAAATCAGGATAGTGAGATAACGGAGAACGCAATGAAGTCACAAATTCAGGAGCTCCAGAAGAGCCTGACATTGAATTGTGAGTGTACTTTTTGTTTACTGTTAAACCTGTAATAAATTTGCTCCTGTTTGAGCTCAATTATCTCGATTCCTGTCAGAGATAACAGAAATTTGTCAACTGATGAATTGTTTATCATAATTTTACCAATATTTTATTAGTTGATCTATTTTTGATACATTGCATAGAAATTGAGATAATTGAGCTCAAACTTAAATTTCTTGTTTTCGTTTATACCTGTAGAAGGGTTCTTAACTTTGAGCACAATTATCTTGGATCCTATGCAATATATCAAAAATGTGTCAACTGATAAATGTTTTATCATAATATCAGAAGTGTTTTGTCAGTTGACAGCTTTTTTTGTATCTTCAACAGGAAACGAGAAAAATTGGCTCAAAGCTATTTTGAATTTTCAGTGCAAAACATGATTGACGCTATTGGAAGCTCCACCACTTCATCAGCTCCAGCCAGTGAGTTTTAAATAATTGAACGTTCAGAAGCCCACTTGAACTGTTAACTTTGAGCTCAATTATCTCGATTCCTGTGAAAGATATCAAAATTTTGTCAACTGATAAATTGATTATCATAACATCATCAAAATTATATCAGTTGACAAAATTGTGATACTTTTTACGGGAATCGAGGTAATCGGGCTCAAAGTTGATGGTTTAGAGGAAAATACGGTAGTTGAGAATCCGCATTTTCAGAATGCACTCCATCTAAAACACCTCTGTCCGCATGTTCATCCCCGTCAGATACATTACCGACTTTGCCTGACTCCGGAACGCCCCGTGCTCCATCCGGATCTCAGAATCCACGCAAACGACCGAATGGTGACACTGAGAAACTTAAAGTGAGTTTTTCGCTTCCAGAAAATGCTTTTAAAAATGTATTTTCAGGCGAAGAGCTCCAGAAAGTAGATGATCCAGAATTTCGAAGATTGTACATTTTTGGATTCAATTTTTCCAATTAAAATGTTCACTAATTTAGAAAAAAAAGTTCACTAATTAAAAAAAAAAACGTTCATTAATTTTTTTCCTATTCCCTTTGTGACACATATTTGTTAAAACTTATGTTGTTCCTTATTTGGTTGATACGTATTTTTGAAGATTCGAATACTTGTAATTTTCTTGTTCCTGATCTTGCTGATTGAATGAATTGGATGGCTTAAGATTCGAAATCTTGAGAAACTGTATATTTTTGAAAAACTCAAAACATTAGAGCATTTCGATTGAGTTTGGAAAGTTACAAGCTTTCAAATGAATATAATCTTGACCTATTTTTGAGCTAATTTATTTCGGTTCCTGTCAAAGATATTAAAAAAGGTGTCAACTGATTAATTGTTTATCATAATATCAGCAAGGTTTTTACAGTGAAAACATTGTTGATGTCTATTAGAGGAACCGAGATTATTGATCTGAAAGTGCATGTATAGGTGGGCTTCTGTTATAGACAATGCTCAATTGAGTTGATATCACTGTAAAATTAGATACAGTCACAATTCTAAAATAATTGGACGTAAAATTACAATTTTCTGGAAGTCATATTCCCAAGTTTCTCTTTTATGCTCCATTGCCCTCTTTTGTCGTTATTTCGAAATTTCTTCTCCATTTGAAATTTTGTCTTCCGAACAATGATCGTGTCCGTCGATGAGTCACTTGAAATATCAGCTTTCTATCAGTGGCTATCAGAGATATTAGTATTCCATGGCTTTTCTCCTCTGGAAACTTCTTCAGAAAGGAAAACCGTATTTGCTTTTATAGACGCCTAGCGAACTGTAAGTGCACTTTGAGCTCTATTTTTTTGGTTCCTGTAAAAGATATGAAAAAGTTGTCAACTAGCAAAATACTTCTGGTATTATGATAAACATTTTGTTAGTTGACCACTTTTTGATACCTCTTACAATAGCCGAGATAAATTGCCTCAAAGTTAAGAGGTCCACTTTATTAGCGTTTGTTAAACGTTCTCCGGGTACAAGAACTTGCTGGCACCTAACTGGATCAGCTTACGTGTTACATGTCTATTGCTATTTGTCCTTATTAGAGCAATAGTACCCAAGCAAGCACCAATAAAATCTCTTGATGAGTCAAAACCTCTGCTGCCTCCTTCTGCTTACCTCGCTTCTCTGTCCGGGTCCAGGCTTTTTTTCCTCTTTCTTCTATGTTCTTGCATGTATGAGTGACTATTTGTTTCCTGCCCCGCCGCACTGTCTTTTCTCTACGTCTCTCATCTGGCTTTCACTCTTTGAAGTTTGAATTTAATGCATTTAGTACAAAACTTTCATTTTTAATGAATTTGAGCGTTTTTTCCTGAGAAAAGGAGTTTTTATAACTTTAAAACTATGTAGTACACAGTTTAAAAGCGATTTTATTCGTTGTGAAGCTTTTACCTATGTTTTTACTTCAATTATTTCAGCAAGTCGTTGTCAAGCAATGTCCAGCAGCCAAAGTCTTCAAAATGAGCTCAATGGAGTCGAATCGGAGAATGGTGAGAACAATACAACTTTTTCTGAAAAATAACATGCCTATTTCTGGGAATATACTTTACTATGAACTCAGCGATGTGTGCACTAGATTTTTTGAACTTATGAACTTTTTGCCCACACACTGTCAAGTTTGAGCTATTTTTCTTGGCACCTATGCAAGATATCAATAATGTTGACTACTTTTTCATATCTTTGACAGGAACCGAAATAAATTGGCTCAAAGTTAGGCGCCCTTCTATTACCGGTTTTAAGGTAACTTTGGCTCTTGTCGAAATGCGGTGTTTTAGATAGCGCAAATTCCAAAAAAAAAAAAACAAAAACTATTTATACATTGCCTTTTAGATTCGAGTGCCACAAAGGTCAAGGAATTGGAGAAGCAGTTGGTGGAGAGGGACGAGGAGATTGCCAATTTGAAAAGAGAATTCAAGGATCTTGATGATAGTTTCCTGGAGAGATTGGAGAAAGGAGTCGAGGAAACCAATTTTGATTATGGAAACAAGCTCATCGAAATGGAAACCAAGAATATGAAGCTGGAAATCATTGCCAAAAAATATGAGGAGTTGAAGAAAGAAGTAGCCGATGAGAAGGATCAAGCTCTGGCTTCCAAACCAGGAAACAAGGATCAGGAAAAATTAGTTTTCGTTCTTCAGAAGCTGGTCCACCAACTGGAAGCTTCCAATCAAAGCTTGCGGAACGTCATCGATTCTTGCTACGAAGCAATTTGCTCGGAAACGTTGAAGACAGGAAAAGTTGTAGAAGTTCAAAGAAAACAAGACAGGGATCTTGAGGAGCAGCGGGAGACGATCAAAAGCTATGAGTTTAAGGCCACCGTTTTGAAGGGTCTGATTGAAGACTTGTCGAAAGAAAAAAAATGAATTGATGACGAAGAATGAAGATCTGGAGTTTTGCGCGGCTCTCAGAGACGAAGAGGAAAGAATGGAGCAGGAACTGACAGTCAGCGATCAGGAAACAGATCAAGCAGCCACCAGCAGCTCCAGAAAGCGGTCAATCTGCAAGAACGTTGAGGATGAGGTGAGTGGATTTTTACAAGAAATATTCATGTTTCAAAAACATTCTTTTCAGGCGAAGAAACCTCGGGAATAGCTGCTGTTCTTTCGGTTAATGGCTCGACGTCTTCAAGATTTTTGGCCGACTTCTTCGAAATCGTCTTAGTGACGTTTTCTATGGTTCTGAACTTCTCCATAGTTGTTTTCTCTTCTCTTTTGCTCCTTTCTCTATGTTTCAATCTAATGATCTTCCCTTCCTTTTCCATTTCGATCTTTTATTCCATCTCGCCCTCTTGTGACTCCCAATTCCTGTGCATATTCCCAACCCCTCCACCCCCACACACAAAAAATATGAATCTCCATTTTTTTCTCATATCGCTCCCTTTTAAATTTTCCCATTTCCCATTCTCCTCAATCATTCTTGAACTAACCTCACTGTAGGAATTTATCCGTGGAAACTCTTATTTTTGCTAGAAAGTCATTCTCTTTTCCGGCTTTTCACTATTCCCCATTTTGGCTTAATCGCTCTACTGATTAGTAATCATCACCAACTTTTTCATTATCAATTTTACGCCCTTCTAGATTACTGTATCTCTTCCCCAAACTTTCACCTAAAATTTGCATATCTGATGCTGGTGCTCCCAGTATGGGGGTAATAAAAATGATAGTAGCAATAAATCGTTTTTATGATCAAATTCGAATGAAGACAGGTATGGAAATGGCAAAAATGACTGAACAAACGACGAATGAGTGGCTTGGCCTTTTTCGTGACTCATCTAATTTACAAATGTTTGTTCGAGAGAAAGCTGGCTCTCGTATTAAATAATGCGTTGATGTACTCTAATAGAAGACCACCTTATACATGCACTTTGAGTCAATCATTTCGGTTCTTTCAAAAGATTTCGCAAAACGTATACTGATAAGTTGTTCATCATGATGTCACCAATACTTTGTCAGTTGACAGATTTTAGATATCTCTCATAGGAACAGAGATAATTGAGCTAATTGAGCTCATTGGCTTGTCGGCTATTTCCTTCTAGACATAACTCCACACATCTGGCACGTTATGCGTGCAAGCAGAAGATGAAAAAAGACTAGCGCAATTATTTTTCGTCTCGCGCGAAAGACAAAACGAGTATTAGGTAATATGACCGTAGGCAACACCTGTAGGGGGAAAAAGAAGCAATGAGAGAGGGCGTCTAATCTCTCTAATGGCCGTATTGCTCGCTGTAACGATATGAACGCCGACTAATTAAGATCCTTGCTTTTGTTCCGGTATAACTCATGGGAATTTCATTTAGCAACAAGTCACTTTTTATCAAAAAGTTTTTTCCTCTTCCTGATTTATGATCATTTTTCTTTAGGTGCTCCTTTTCCATCCACATCTGAAAGTGAAACTGAAGAAAATGTGATTTATCCCATAACAACCTGGAAACAAGTTAAATGTTAGTCCGGAGGTTGGTTCATTGATTATAAGGGTATGAGGAGCCCAACTAACATATTTTTCGACATTTAATTTTTTTCAGAAGAAGCATAAAATGCGCTCCTGAGAGATTGACGAACGGCATTCTCTTCCAGTTGTCAACCACTGTTTTTTAAGTTTTATTAGGTGCTAATCCTTGTCTATGTTCCAGTCTAGAATTAAGTTGTTTGATGTTTGTTTACTCACCGTCCCGGATTAGTTAAGCCCTATCTTGAAGACAAGTGTGACAGTTCACACCTTCAGACTGAACTGGAGAGTTGTGTTATGTGTAGTCTAGGGTACTGTAGGTCTTCAGTAGTACAGTAGATTTTCAGTGGTACGCTAATAGAGTGGGTACAGTAGGTACAGTAGGTACATTGGTATACTAGGTACAGTAGGTCATTATCTGCCAAGTATCCTTTTGGTACTTTTTTAGAAAAATTATTTTTTGTCAGGTTACATTTTGAGTCGACAATATCCGCTAACCGTCTCCCTGACTCAATTTCTGCGCAAAACCATTTCCGCCCTCACCAATGTAAACTTTCACGGTGGCCTAACACCCCACGTGTTGCAACCCACACGTCTGTTATCCACCAGATTGCGTCGCGAGGTGTGCGGTCCCTTCTCCTTCGCGTGTGTGCGACAGAAACATAATAGTGATAGAACGCATTGAATTAGGAGAGTGGTAGAGAAAAAAAATAAGGCGACAAGTGAAGATACGCAGACATCTACATAGGCATTCGAGGAAGAATTGGCGCCATTTTCAAAGTGTGTAGTTATGTGTGTTTGAATAACTCTTCTAAAACCATGTCTATGTTGACTCACTAGGTAGCATAATAGCGTTTCAACTTATCTAATGTTTTTTTTCTCTAACTAACGTTTTATCCATAAAATGAGCTCTTTTTCTGGAACCTCATCCTCCTCTTGTCTTTTTGGGATCTTCAAAATTTTGTAAACCCAACTGGATATCCTTCTATTCATATCGTATTAGGTTCTTTCATGCCTTTCCAATGAACAACTAGGGGATAGGGCAATATGGGAGGTCATAAAGGGTACTTGCTCCGCCCAGACCAGATGATGCGCACTCTTGCGTGGTATTATTAATCGATATGTCTTCAATAACTTGCATTCCGAAAAAAATCTCTCTCGTTATACCTCGTGTATTTTTTCCTCTCCAACGCTATCTATTTTTCCAGAATCTTCTAGCTCTTCATCGTCACCATGTCTTCCTCCCACAACGACTATTGCGAAATAATCTTCCACAAGAAAAAAGGTATGATCATTAAATATCGAAATGAGGATCATAGTTGGCTTTTCTTCCAGACACCACCACCAGTGTCCAACCCAATGGAAACATCCGGCACTACCAGAATCTGGAGGATCACCACGCGCAGAAATCGAGGAAAGAGGTAAGTTTAATTAACTAGGAACAGTAAAAGTCCCATGAAAATAATTTTCAGATGTGCAAAAGGAGAGGGAAGTGAAGGTTCCTATCATTCATGCTCAGGATCCACAAAACTCAGGCTCAGGATCCCAAGAAGAAGAAACCGTAGTCGTCAAGAAGGCAATGATTCTAGCTTTAAAGGCTTAACGTGAGTTTAAGTTTGGGCATAACAATTCATGACACATTTTTTCCAGATAAGCAATACCTGGAAACGGAAACAAATTTGCGGAGCTTCGTTGCGGAATTGAACAGAGAGAACTCTGAACTGAAGAAAGAGAATGCTGAAATGAAGGAGATCATAAGAAGTGAGTGAAACTGAAAATGAATACTGAAACCAATGCAAAGTTTTTTCAGGCCAAGGTAACGACTACAATTAAAAACAGATTTGGAGTGCTACAAGATGTAATATGAAGAGGAAGAAGAAAAATACCGTAATCTCCGGAAGCAGCTGAAGAAATGCCGATCGGTAGTAGAAGTCAATGATGAGCTGCATTCCGGACACAAATCAGAGGATTCTGGTCCCAGCCCCCATCAAAGCTATTTATGCAAGTCAGCAGAAGAATATGAAAAATGGGCTGCTTATCTAGGTGAGTATTTTTTGAATAATGATACACATGAACCTGATTTTTTGAAGATTGTGTCTCGAAGGATAAGGGAGTCACGGAGAAGCCAATGCTTGTGGACCAAAGGAGCACGGATAAACCTAGTCCGTCTTCATCTGGTTAGTTTTTTGATCCACAGAAATTTGAAATTGAAGAACAGAGGTTAAACTGAGCTATGATTTCAGCCTGTGATCCTTCGGCATCATCACCTGCGGCTCGTCCTCCATCCTCTTTAAGTCCTGTTTCCCCTATCGCTAGTTTAACCAGTGAGTTTCTTGACATAAAAAATATCAGTCAAGATATATTATTTCAGGTCCATCGTCATCCTTCCATCCTCCACCAGCTCCGAAGAGCAATGATGCATCTAGAAGCAGCGAGAATCTGTATCTACCTAGTTTGTCTTCTTCAAGCGGTAAGTTTTTTTGAAGCCCAGAAAATGAAAATTTAATATTATTCATGTTCGTCGCCGATGGATCTTGTGGCTGATTTTTTATTTAAAGGCGTATAGCCGGTCCTGGAGAGGAATCGGCTACGGTTTTAATTTACAAATAACTTCACACGCCTTTGATACAGTATTTCGGAGTTATTAAATTTTTGCCTATTCCCCTCACAATCAGATTTTTGTTTGTGATTTTTTTTTGTGATTTTTGCGCGATTTCGTCTCCCGAACTGTCCCCCGAAATTTTTGCTGTCTCGCCTCCTTTAAAGAAAAAATCGGCCTCGAAGGTTCATCGGCACCAAACAAGATTAATAACAGAGGTTGAGCTGAGCAAAAATTGCAGATAGTGGTTCTTCGACGTTCTCATCTGCTTCTCCTTTGTCGTTCGCTTCCCTTTCTGCTCAATCAAGCTCTAGTGGATATGGATCTACCCAACCAAACCAAAGAAAGAGAGGTGCAGAGAACCAAACCAGAGGACAGGGGAGAAAAAGGCAACTAATCCAATCTACTCACTCTTTTGATCGTGTCCAGAAAACTCACGAAGCTCATAAGGTATTTTATTGATTCATGTGACATGGTAAAATATCGGTTTTCAGATCTACCACCACCAGTAGTTCTTCAAGTTTATCTCCAGCTTCAAGTCTGAAGAATTCCCACTCAGCTCAGGATCTCTTCCACTTTTTACATTTGCATATCTTTTTTATTGATTGAATAGTAGTTGGCTGCCTCATTTTTTATTTTTTTTTGTTTGTTGTTGTGATAAACTTATAGTTCTTTTTCTATCAATTTTTTAAAACTTTATTTGTGCCGATTTCACATGGTTCCATTCATGCAATATACCTTATTCTTCTCTCTTTCTCCTTTTTCTGACTAATCACTTTAATTCAGCAACCTATTCAAGCCAAGAAAGGACCCAGTTTTGGACTCAAATAACCCAGTTTTCGAAGATTGGCCAGTTCCCCACGGAGTAGAATTACCACCAGGTTCTGCGCCAGGCATCAAGATGCCAGTGAGAGCTCCCACTACTATCAAACGTGATTTTTGAGAAAATAGACCTTGTTGTAACTTCTGAATTTTTCAGAGGTGATTCTGGATGAGACTGATCATTCAGGATCAGTTGTCGTGGAGCGTAGAGATAGAAGCGAGGAAAGGGAAAAGGAGGCGGAAGAGGTTGTTCAGGAAAACGTCGTGCCCCATTCCACTGTCGTTGCCGTTCCTCAAGAGCCGCATCAACAAGACGGCACGGAGATGGAAGGTGGAGAATCGGAAGGAGAAGAAGAACAAGAAGGGGCGGATGCACAAAATTGGCAAAGAATGCTCCAAAGCTCTCAAGGACAGTATCCCTTTGCCCCGCAACTACCACCACTTTTCCCACAGCAACCGATTCACCCACAGATGCCATTCCCACATTGGCCACAGTATCCGATCATTCCTCAACACCAACAGATCCTTGCCAATCGAATTCCACACTTTTCTGGAGCGACTCCACATGCTTCCAACTTTCCTCCAAATGGTCCGCAGTTCGGAGGTTTTGTTGGATTCCCTGGTTCCGGAACACATTTCGGCAACTTGAATATTCCAGGTGAGAAAAATTTTCAATGTTCAAAATTCAAATATTTATTAGATTCAGGATCCGCAAGCACTCCCCAAGCATCCTCGAGCATGAAGATGCCAAAACGTCCAACTCCAAAAAGAAGTAAGTTTCGTTAGGACAGGAGCAGAGAGAGCTGAAAACGTTGATTGTTAGAAAAAGATAAAGTACAGATATATTTTCAAACCTTGGGTTCTGGGAAATTGCTGAGCAAGATCCTGGATCCGCTTCATACAAGCTTGGGCTTCTCGAACTTGAGCTTCCAGAGCTTCTTTTTCAGCCTTCCAAACATTTTCCTTTGTCTGCTTCTCTTCTTCGGCAGTTGTTAGCTCCTTCTTCAACCGTTTTGCATTTTCATCCATTTGTCGAAATGCATCCAAAAGTTCCTCCTTTGCCTTTTTTTCAGCATCTCTCTCCCTTCTCAAAATGTCCCTCTCCTTCTTCAGAGACTTGACTAGATCGGCTTCTTCTCTCATATCATCCAAAAAATTCTCTGCCATCTGTTCGTATCCTTCTTTATCCGCATTCCACTTCATTTTCTTATGATAATGAGCCGATTTTTCTTGTTTTCGGGCTCTTCTCTCATACTCCAATAAGGAGAGGAGGTCGTCGGCTCGCATCTTTGCGCAATTCCACTGAAATTTTGCTTGCTTCAGTTCTTCTTCCAATTCCTTTTTGCCGTTCTCCACATTTTCTTCTTCTCCGATCTTGATTTGTGGCTCTCTTTCCTTTCTTCTCGCCTGCAGCATCTCCAAAGATTTTCTGACCCTCTCTAACTCATCCTGGCATCCTCGAAGCTGGGCCCTGGCTCTCTTAAAATCTTGGTCATAGCCCGTTGCTCTATTTTCAGCCGCTCTACGGCCTACCCGAGCTTCCTGGGCTTCCGCTTCCAATTTCTTCATTGCGACGTGATGCTGGTTCTTCATATGCTCAATTTCTCCTTCCAGGGCGAGGATCTGATCATCCTTGAACTTCAACTTGGAAGCCATTTCTTCTCTCTTTTCAACAACCCTTTTCGCCTTCGTTTCCTTTCGGTTCGCAGTATCCTTCAAACTTCCTGGAAAACGACAAAATTGTATATCTTAAAAAAATCTCTCTTACCTTGGAGAGAGGGACCTTCAGCTTGGTTTTGTTGCTGGTTGACGGCGTCCGACAGAGCTTCCATGGTTGACGTCTACTTGAGGGGAGGAGGTGATTCTGAAAAGTCGAAAATCTCTATCAATTAAAATAGGGAGATGAACGAACGGAAACGCAAATTACGAGCAAGGTATTCAAATAGAAGAAGAGAAAATACTGAGATGTGGTTATGTTAAAAGAAATTTATCACAAAACAATTTGTGTTATTCTACCTACAAACAAGGAGGTAAATTTTACTATCTGACCTACGCTAATGAAAAGTTGGATATTAATCGAAACTAATTCAAACATATGTCAAGTAAATGATTCATAGTATTCAAAAGCGGCGCGCGGGTCTCGCAAAGAGTAGTTACGCGCGCGAGTCTCGTAAATCGACACATAGTCAGAAAAAAAGTGCATCGGACAAATTATAGCATTTCCTGGTTCAAACTTGTTCAAAATGACGGGATGATAATTTCAAAAAGAGGATAATGATGAAATACCATCTGCGACTCAACTTCGAGCTCATATATCTCAGTTCGTATAAGAGATATCAAAAATTGGTCAACTGATAAAAGGTTTGCCATAATTTCAACTCAATTTTATTAGTTTACAATTTTTTCATATCTGTCATATGAGCTGAGATAATTGAGTTCAAACTGTAAACATGAGAGATGTGCGAGGAATCATTCAACAGCATGCTCATAATCGATCAATTGCATTGCACACAACGGATATACGGGAATGGTCTGGGCGGAGCAAGACTGCTGGTGGTCCATCCCCACCGCCTGTATCTCGTCAGGGTACTGGCACGAAAAGAAGAAAAGTGTGCGCAATCTATGCCTGATGAACACATATCGGTCTCCTGTGCGTTGCGACGAGAAAATGGATAGTAGATGACGTATCAGGCAGACAGGAGGTGTTGGAGAGCAACGAAGTACCGTACTAAAACTCTGAATGAAATCGCATGGTCTTCTTTTCGATGACGTCTTTGGAACACGGCCAACTAATCTCATGTGGACGAATAAACAAACAGAAAAAGATGTGGAAAACAGAAAGTTATTTGATTATTTAAGATAATAAAATGTGTGATTTTAACAATACAGACGCATTCTTCAGTTCAAAAATTAACAGAATTACAATGAATTATGAGGAAATCTAAGATAGCGCAAAAAAGCAACTTCGCTCTATCGAACAAAAGTCGCGGGCTTGTGAGTCACACATTCATCGCTTCTTCAATTTGAATTACTTCTCCTAGATAAGTCATTTTTGAAAAAAAAATGAAGAAAAGGTTATGGGAAAGAGAAAGATATTTTTGAAAAAAAAGAAAATGGGCAGCAATCGCGGTGTCTTTTGCTCTCACCGTCCATGTGTACTTTCAATTTGTCATTTAAAAAAGGGCATTTCAAGGGCATCAAAAGATAAATTGTCTTTTACTACACGATCCAAATTACTATTAATGAAACATGGGAAAAATGAGGGTACTGTATATAATTTGCACATATACTGTACTTCTATATCTGCATACGGTATAGCATACTTTTATAGCTGTATACTGTATCTTTTTAGCCAACTATTGAAATTACGACATTCTAATAATAATGATTTTTTAATGTTACTTTCTCTGAAAAATACCGTTTATTTGCTGCATTCTGTGCTAAATTAGGTCATTCAAACTATGGTAAAATCTCTAACAGAACGCCACCTTCTACTTTAATTTTGAGCTCGATTATCTCGTTTTCAATAAGAGATATCAAAAACTTGCCAACTAATGAAATACTGGTGACATTATGATAAACATTCTATCAGTTGACACATTTTTCATATCTCTCATCGGAAGCAAAATAGTTGAGCTGAAAGTTTGGGTGGCGTTTTATGACAGCATTGACGATGTCCAACAATGAAAAAGCAATTTATCAAGCAATAGAAAAAAATCACACAATACTCATTGATTAGCATTTTATACAGCTCTGTAGAGAGCAGTAATATATTACCTCCTCATCTAAAAATGTGTGCAGATCGTAAAACTTTTAATGTGGCATGTAAGGCCGCCGCTCTTATGTATAACAGTGTGCAATGATGAATGTCCTCGTTGATGGTTTTTAGATGATGGCCGTTACTTGAAAAGATTATCAGAGAAGTTCGATAAATCGGAAAAAAATACACTTTGAAATCGAAATACTCTGAAAACCTGGGAAAACGAAATCATAAAAAATATGGGCTGTGTCTATTTCTGGAAAATTATAATTAGATTTTAAATCAATTTTTTTTTCAATTTTTTTGAAACGATTTTGACCATTCAACAGATGTATTCAGAATTCCTGCTTTAAATCTCAAAACACAGTAAGACAAAATTTTTAGAACCTTGTGTTCCATCCCTTGCTTCTCAAAGTCATATTGTCCCCAAGCCCAATATATTCATTTTTCTAGTCTGACCATCATCATATAGGGCGTCTTATACTGTCTCTGTTTCCACGCGTTTTCTATAACTATATTAATATTCGCTGACATTGCCCTCCGCGCAAAACACTCTTCCGACAGTCGCTTCTCCATAGGTCAGTATCGATTTTAGGCAGAAATAGAGTGGGAGGAGTTTTCTTCCCTCCCACGGAGACACCCGCGCGAGAAACAAAACAGTGTGTCACGGGAGGATGACACATACGAATGGATGGAATGACACGGGCAGAATGGAAGGGATACTGTAGTTTTGGATCGGATGAGTCACATTATTATTTCTTGGTTTTTTTTTCAAAACATCTCTCGTTATTTCACAATTTAGAGAAAGGGACGAACAAGAAAAAATGGACGTCTAATGTCCCTTTATAAAAAAGATGCTAACGTTAAAAAAGGATGCATCGTACAAATCAAATGCTACCAATCCTTATTTTCAGCTCTTTTTCATTATTCCGGTAATTTTATTGTCTTTCTTCATTTTCGAAGCGTCTTCAAATTCATCTAAATTTCTTTTAAGCCAATTTTTTTCAATTTCTGTCAAATAATAAAAAAAGTTGTCAACTGATAAATTTTCATCACAAGATCGGAAGTGTTTTATCAGTTGGCACATTTTTGATATCTTGCATAGGAATTGAGATAATTGGGCTCAAATTTGACGAGTTTTCCTCCATTTCCGGTTTCATGGTTCATTTTGTTCAATTGTTCAGTCCGACATTTTACCCCAAAACTCAAACGACCTCAAGTAATTATTCTGCACTTTTAAATTTTCCCATTATTATTTACAAAATAAGTTTTCGAGACCCAAATTACACTCTTGTTTAGAAGTTCATGTTTGCGAATTTCTAATCATTGAGATCCCGTCTCACTTAGCTAGGTAGGCCAATTTTATGGTTAGACGGCTCAAAAAACCAAGAAACATAGTCAACACATTCCTAGTATCAGATATCCGCCACATTAATTCTTCACCATGGTTATGTTTTGATCAAAGCAGCTAGTCCAGGTCTGGAACTTTCTTTGGAAGAATTTTTGAAGCAGTTGCCGACTTTTTGTTTCGTTTCTACTGAAGAAGGCTGAAATTTACCATTGTCCTTGAAATTTACCATTGTCCTTGAAATTTACCATTGTCCAATTTACCATTCCATCCGACCCCCTTGCTCCTTTTCTATCATTTTTCTTTTTTTATTACCATCCATTATTTTCGCAGCACCCATTGGAAACGAGCTCCTAATGTCTTGAACATGCCTTCCTTTTCTTTCTTCTGTTTTTCTTTGGCGACGCTTTGAGTTTTCGGACGTCTTCTTTTTTTGCGAAAGTGTGTGCGCGCGCGTGTGTGTGTGTGGCGCGAAGGCGAGGGCGCGAGGGTAGATAAGGAGGGAGTTTAAATTGTAGATAAGGAGGAAGTTTAAATTGTTAATGAACTGAAAAAAGTGAGCATTGGCCTAAAACAATCCTTCATGTCTCTTCAGTTCACCTTCTTTTTTCTTTAAATATCTGATTTTTTTTTCCTTTCAAGTAACACATACATACTTTCAGACTACCTCAATTTGTTCTTCATTTTTCAACCTCATCATACCTGTTCAGGATAATGATAGGTGATCTCATTTTACTGAACTCCATTTCACGAAATTTTGAGTTCCAGGAGAAGATAACAACGCCGTTCCACAACTATTTGTTCCATTTTCGGGCCCAAATCGAGGATTTCCGATGGAAGGACCGAACTACGATTTTGCGGATCACGGTCATCTGGCTCCCCGTTTTTGCTATAATGAGCCAGGTTTAATACTCATTTTTACAAAAAAAAACAGTGAATATTTTTTAGAACCTACGGCATTGGCTCCGGATGCTCCACTTAACCACTCAGGTTTTCGGATTGGTGCAGGAGGAGAAGAAATCATCAACGAGTTTTCCTACCCGCCGCAGGCGTACACACCTCAAGGTTAGAAACTGAAATTCGATTTATTTGTGATTAAATTCACTTTTTTAGAATTCCCCTCAAGTTCGATTCTTCCGGAACTGAATCGAAAAGCTCATGAAACGATTGAAATGAGCTTTGATCTATGCAGAAATAACTTGAAAATGGGTAAGTGAAGCTGAAAAAGAAGTATTCTAAATTGGGAAAGTGGAAATTTTACAGCCCTCGAGCAAGTTTATGGCCAAGAAATTTCCCAACTGAAGATCCAAAGGGATTTATTGGAGAAGCAAGTCGCAACAAATATGGAGATGCGGCAAAACGAAGAGCAATGGGGACAGAAGGAAATTGATAGATTGAGAGCCCTAGAACGAACACTTTTGGACGAGAAGAACGCGCTGCAGACGAAGCACATCGATGCTCTACAAGCTCAGGAAAAAACAATGCGGCAACAGTATGAAGAACAAATGAGATCTCTGGAAAAAGAGTGGTCAGAGGAATGCGAAAGGAAAGTTCGAGAAGTCCAAAAATCCGAGGCAAACTTGAAACAAGAGCTACAAGAACATAAAGAGAAGGCGAAACTCCGAGAGAAACGCTTGAAGGATGTTTTGGGAAGATCTGAGGCTGCCGCCAAGACTGCGGAGTTCCACCATGGCGTCTGTGAAGAGAGATTCCCGGAATGGGGGCATTCGTCTCAATCCGTTTTGAAAGCGTGTGTGGGTGTGAAGACCGAGTTGGAAGAGATGATTGAGAAATCGTCGATATAAAGTAAGGAATTTCAAGAATAATGTTGTTGAACCTTAGCTAATGTTTTACAGGTCATCATATTCATGTCTGTTTTTTCCGACCCTTCTCCTCAAATTTAACCTGAAAAATTGTGTATCTTCAACATTTCTCAATTCCCTCAATTATTTTTCTCTTCTTCAATATCCATTCTTCCTGTTCTTCATTGTTGCTTACTACCCGACTTCTGATCTTTATCAATACCTGTGATTTTCTGCGCATTCCTTCTTCCTTATGTCTTCTGTCCCGGCTAGAGTGGTCCTAAAGACTTCTTTCTTCCGAATAAATATCTAATTTTGACTTCCAGACGTTTCTCCGCTTTTTCCAGATCCACATCAATGCCTTCCATCTTCGCCTTACCCTCCCAGCCACCTCCGTGCTCTTTGAGCCCACCCGTTGTCAGGACAACATCGCACTTTTCTTCTGCAGAGTTGAAGTAGCGAGTTGTGTGTCTTCTCGGTGTCAGGCAACTCTTCTTTTTGGGGTCTAGCACACTCGTACTTGTGTGTGAGGTTGAATGTTGGCAAGTACCCGACTGCGCGCAGAATGACACATAGAGGAAATCAAGGGGAAAGGAATAGTGGCCACTGAAAATGTCAGAAAATGATGCAGAATCTGATGAAGAGATAAATCTGAACAAAAAGGAGAAGACGGACTGTGAAGGGGCAGGACTTTAAAGATATAGGCATTTTAGGTGTTAGGAATTTCAATGGATGGAAACTTATGTGTCTTAACTTCAGTTTTGGAAAAACACAGATATTTTCAAAAAAAAAAAGAATTACGGTAGTTCATGCTTCTTATTGCTTTGGAAATATGCGATTTCTAAGTCTAAAACGCAATTGTGAATTATCAGATTTCCTCATAATTCGTTGTAGTTTAACATCTTTCTATTCCTACCGCGTGTGTCTCGTCAGGACAGAAAAACGAATAGTAGAAAAATGTGCGCAATCTATGTCGGATGAACATATATCGGTCTGCTCTGAGTTGCGATGAGAAGGAATATAAGATTGCGTATTGGGCATCCAGAAGGTGATGGAGGGCAACGAAGTACGGTACTAAAACTCCTAGAGCGATCGCATGGACCTCTTTTCAATGAAGTCCTTTGAACATTGGCCAACTAATCCCATTCGGAAGATAAAAAAAACAGAGCCGCATTGGCATTCGAATCTTGAAGAAGAGCTTTCAGAAATTATAACTATCTTCCTTATATATAAAACGCTACACGCGTCTGTCTGTCCCGGTGTCACTCTGTCGACTTTTGAAAAGTTTGAAAAATAAATATAGATTTGAGTGACGAAAAAGAACGACGAACTAGTAAAAAACTAATTTGAAGTGCGCCGAAGGCGCACCAGCTGGCTGGTAGCTAAAGAATTTTTTTAGTTAGACAGTTGGTTCTCTTGACTTCGTGATTGACTGCTCTTTACAAATAGAGCTAACGAAATTACAGAAAAAGTAAAACAGCTCACCTGGACAAAGTCCCTGCGAATTGGGTAAGAAGCCAGGTGGAGCAACTTCCTCGGTTGGTAGTGGTTATTTTTTCAAATTAAAGTGGAATATCTTCAACTGAACAGTCCTATGGATAAGTCAGTTTGCAAGTCAAAACTTTGATCAGGTTTTTAGTTGTAAAGCTTGCTAGGTTTGATTTTTGTGCATGAAATCGTATTTGGGGGAAAAAACTAAAAGACCTCGAAAACCTGAAACCATTAAACTTTGTATAGAGACATGACACTTACCGTAAAACCAGTGAAAGAAAGACCCAACACCTTTGAACTATTGATCTTATTTCTTGTCAAAGATATACAAGTAATAATGTGATAAATTGATAAATTATCAGCATTATCTCAAAAACGTTTTATCAATTGAGGCATTTTTTATATTCTCGAATAGGAGCTAAAGAAAATTAGCTTAAACTTTTTTGGAGAAACTAGGTTGTTGCATAAAGACATGTCCACGCTGGGCGATTAATACATGGTTAGGAAGATAAGCAGGCAATTGTTAACAACGCTAGAAATATAGATTTTTAAAATAATCATCAGAATCATCGAAAAAGATCATTTTCAGGAGGATTCGTGCGAACACATGGTATTCCTACTTTTATCCAATACTGTTCCGAACAACTCCTAATTTTCAACACAATGGCAACAAGTAAGCTGTCAATTATTTCAAACTGACTTTAATTCAATTTTACAGCCGCTCATCAGCGTCTTGTTTCGGAAGTGGAAAAAAACGGGAGGACACGATAGAAGCAAAAGAAATGGTCAATCAAACACTGATGGGAAACGTCATTCAATACATGAAGGACCTGGCTGAGAATAATTCGAAGGTCCTCGAGCTACAGGCCCAGCTCGCGATTGAGCAAAGGACCAGACAAGGTCGCGATACAGACATGTCAAAACAAATCGAAGACATAAAAAGGGTTCATCAAGAAGAAATGGATCAAAAAAATGATGCTATGAAGGATATGGAGAAAAAACTCTGAGAAGAAACCCAGGAAAGAATCGAAACGCAAGCACAGATCGAAGGGGAGCTGAGATATCTCCGCAAGGCACACGAGGACTGCCAGACTACATTGGAAGCCGAAAAAAGAAAAGTAGAAGATCTTAAAAGAAGGGAGGTCGATAACAGAAAAAGACATTCGGAAAACCTTCGGAAGCTCTGGGAGGATGAAGAAAACCGATTGGGAAGTGTTGGAGATGAAGAAAGCAACCAAGTTGAGCATTCGAGTGGTGCGACAGGGGAAGGAACCTCACACCAAGACGAGGAGAGAGTAGAGAAGCAGGAGAGTCGCAGGAAAAGAAGAAAGGCCGCCCAGTAGTTGGAGGTTTGTTTCATTCTTCTTCTATGTCTTTGTTTAGCGATTGAAAATTTGAAGTTTTCACCAAAATTATATTTTTCAGATGTCTCGTCTGTTCCAATATCAATGCAGATCTTTGTTCGATTCAAATTGTCACATTTCATCGTGATAAGTTCATCTTGTTGTCTGAAACCGTCGATTTTTCATTTCTGAAACTAACCACCCTCTTTCAAATTCTGTGCTTAAATTCTTTTTTTTCGAGGTTCTTCTCCCTCACTGATTCTCTGCTCTGTTCCTTACCATTTCTTCAATCCCTTTCCCATGTGTTTTGAATCGGAATTTTTATTTCATTCTGGAGCAACAATTTTCGATTTGACTGTCTTTTTTCGATTTTTCAGCTTGCTCAGCATTGATATCTGGACTTCCTAATGCCTTCCATTTTCCCCACATTCTCAAACCATCTTTTATTTTTTGGATGATCAAATCTTCTTCCTTTTGATTCCTACATTTTTTCCCTCTGAGTTGATTTCACTTTATCCCCTAAATTCTCATTTTGATTTTTTTTTCAATTCTACAGTATTCTCGATGTTCCCATTCTCTTTTCTAATTAAATAAATTACTAAATTATTCCACAAAAAATATTCTCTCACTTCTAACATTTGGAGTCACCAAATCTTATAATTACTCTTTTTCCCGCGCAAGCTATGAACACCACCACCGACCAATTAAATTTCTCAGGCCTTGATCCCGTGTTTTGTCCGCACACCTGCTCATTGCCATTAGATTCTTCTTGGGTGGCCACATTAATAACCTCCTTATGGCGGGAAGCAAAACGTTTGGGAAATGTTCTTTTTCTGGAGAAAAGAGAGGGGGAAGGTGCAAGCTGCGTTAAAGAGAGACAGATGGAGAAGCCGAAAAAAAGAGGTAGTGGGCAACAAGAACACTAAAGACACACAGCATTTGATGTGTGTCAAAACATGAATGAGCAGCTTCTCCTTCCCCGGAGCCTCTCCTGTCATAAGAGAAATAGACGAAAAAGAAAAGAGCCCATGGTGTGCTCACGGGGGAGAGCCGCCTTTTATTTTACAAGAGAATTTGTAACACCCCACCTCTTCTTTTTCTGTTATGAGAGGAGGAGTACTTTTTAGTTTGACAAGTTTTCGGTATTTTTCGTGTTTTTTACGTTGAATTACATTATTGAACGAGAATATCATGTCAATTTAACAACTCGGTGCCTGCAATTCGTCAGAAAAAGCGCGGGAAAACATTTATTTTCAAAAAAATGAATGGAAAAAAAGCATATATAGGTACGCTTCCAAATTTGGCTGGTGCCTATGGACCCAAAATAAAATAGTTGCATAATATCTAGGTGCCTTTGCCAAGATTCCGTCTATGGGTACAATGATTTTCAAAGTGTTATTCTACCAGGAAATTAATGCCGCCGCTCAAAATATCAAAATCAAAATAGACGGGCATCATCTCGTTGCTAGTTCGGGTTATCTGTGAAAAATTGCGGAACTTTGGTCCAGTGGGGATTACGCTAGGGTCCGCTAAACGGGAACAAACGGATACACAGACATAATTTGGTGGTTGTTAATAGTAAAGATACCAATGAAATTCGAAATTTTACAAGAATTGTTTGACTAGGAACAAGTATTGTGAACAGGTATGAAATAGCTTTAAAATCGGAAAACTAAGCAATTGGGCTGAAACTGAGGAAAAGTGTAGCCAGATTTCAAGATCTCCAAAAAATTGTTTTTGAAGTTTTGATCGGGAACTTCGCAACTTGTTCTTTTTTGCGAACCTCGATGCCGCATATTTTTTTGGACACCTGCTTTTCCTTTTTCTTGGTCACACTCGGCACTAATATCCTCCTTATTATAGGATAATCGTTCGGAAATTGTTATATTTCTAGAGGAAAGGAGAGAGGGGAACGTGCAAGGTTTATTTTAAAAGAGACATGAAGAAGCCAAAAAAAAGGAGGTGGTGGGTAATAAGAACACAAGAAAATGATAAAAGGGAGGGTGTACGCGGTGTGTGTTGCATCAAAAAGAACATGGGAGAGCCAAAAAACGATGGTGAGTGGTGAAGAATGAAAATGGAAGGAACTGGAGGAAATTTGGGGTTCAGGAAATAAGAAAAATTATGACCCAGGGAATTTTTTGAGATATTCAGATGAGAATTATCCGTCAATTGGCTCTTGTGAAAAGAAAAAATCACAAAAAAGATTACTGATAAAAGAAGCTAGTTAAAGATAGCTCACTGATAGGAAACCGAAAACAGATTTTCTAAAAGTCGACATATTCAGAGGTTCCGAAATTCCGATAAGCGAGTTTCCACACTTTCTTGATCACAAAAGTCTGGAAGTACATTTCTCAATATTCTGCACCTCTAGCTCCTCATGAATCTTCCAATGACAACACCATCGCCATGACAACATCTTCATCGCCTCCGGTCTTCTGCACTGCACTGAAATTATGTGTCTTTTTCCTCTGTTGTCTTCTTCATTTTAAATAGCACTCTTTTCTGCGTGTGTGCGCGCGCTAAAGTTTCTCATTGGGGTGGAAGATATCGAAAAAAGGGGAGGCGACAGGAAAGGTTGTCTGGGAAGCTGAATTTTGCCATAATTCCAGGTAGTGCAGAGGTCACAGGAAAATGTTGTAGTTTTTGCTACTCTTTGGTGATGTCAACAATTCTTACCACTGTTGTCTTCAAAACTGAAATTCAAGTTCTCGAGTCCTTTTTTTTGCATTTTTCTAGGTGTTTCTTCATTCGGCCATTTTCACCCATACTGTTAGTTTATTCCAGTCTTTCGCTCTCATTTTCTTCGCGTTCCTTTGCATACTTCTAACCAACGTAGATGCTCTGACCCACACCCCCCCCCTCTCTCTGTTCTCTTATTTATTTTCGGTTTTTTTGACGAACTCTCTCTGGGTGTCTGGTCGTGTGTATTTTCTCCCCTCTTGTTTCCAAAACAAACGAAGGAAGATAAATGCGAAATTGGCATGAACGATTGGAAGAAGTACGAAATGAGCTGTGGTTTACCAAATAGAGATGACCGCTCGTGAAGATAATTAATGAGTTCAGTTTCATCCTTGACGAAAATGGGAGAAGTGTATTATGCATCTTTTTTTCTTTCGAAGGTCTCGTTCTTTTATATTTGTGTTTTTTCTCCTAGCTCGGTTATCGAAGCTTTCGAAAAACTTGAAGCGTGCCGAAGGCGCACCATCTTTCTGGTAGATATACAAATGGGTACAATACGTGATTCCTGACGGTAAAGTTGACCTTCTTAACTGTTAACCTTCATTATTTAAATGTAGCTTTGAATTATTTTAGGACCTAACTCTGTTTCCGCCTTCCTCTTCTTTTCCTTTTGCTTCTTCTTCTTCTACGTTCAGATTGAGAGTGTTCATGAGAGGAATATTTGTTTTAATCAGAATAGTTTTTTGCGTTGTTGTTGTTTGCTTACAGTTTTTAGAGCTTTCGTTCTTAAAAACTGAGTGTATGGAAGAGTTTTTTGTCGTTGATTCTATTTCAGAATTTACGGTATTACCCAGACAGACGGGCTAACATCACTCCAGTAGATTTTAAAGTAATTTTTATATGAACATTTACAAAAATGGAGTTTCTGGGCCGTTTGATGACAGTGCATATCCGATTTCAGGTTTTTATTCAAAAACGTTATTGAAAAAATGTTGACTACAGGAACAAATCTCGTAACCTGGGATTCCCGCACACACGCCAGAAACATTAACCACCTACCAATTAATTGGTTGTGCTCTATTCAGCATGTCTTCTACACCGAACACCTGCATTTCCAATATGCTTTTTCTTGGGATTAATAATCTCTTTTTGGCGGAAGAAGCGCTCGCAAATTGTTATGTTTCTAGCAGGAAGAAGGGAAACGTGCACACGGTGTGTGTTGCTTCCAAAAGAACAGATGGGAAAGCCAAAAAACTGGTGGGTAATGAGAACGCAAGAAATGGGAGAATTGATAATCAGGAAGTTGGAAATAAAATTGATGAGAATAATTTATCTAATTGATGAAGAACCGCCTTTTCAAAACCGAGACTTTTCTGTTTGAGTTTTTTCAGTTGCAGTCCTTCATATAATTTCTGCTACCAGTCCCTTTTCCGAAATCCCCAGCAATCAAAACGACTATACGTTTCGATTTTCTCTTTCAGATTCTGTTTAGCTCCAACTGAATCCTCCCATATTCTTAACAAAATTTGTATCACCTCTGATCTTCTGTACTGCACTGAGTTTTTTTTTGTCTTCTTCTCGGTAACAACTCTTATCCTCTTTATTTTAAATGACACTCTTTTCTGTGTGAGCGTGCGCGCACGAAATTTCCTCCGTTGGAGTGGAAGATAACGAAAAGTGGGGAGACGAAAGAAAGGTTGTCTGGGAGGGTAGACTATTTCATATTTTCAGGTAGTGCGTCTGATTGGATTTCACCCAAGATGTCCACATTTTCTTTTCTTCCTACTGTTCCCTTCAAAACTCAAAATCATGTTTCCGCTTCTATTTTTTTTGCTCTTTTCATATGTGTCCTATGAGAAAATCAGATTGAAATTATTTTTTTTTTTTGTCGGTTTCCCAGTCTAAAGAAATTTTAGGTCCAATTGATGTAGTTACTAGGGAATGGTGCAAATGGGTCATGGAGTTATGGCACATGACCTATATCAAAATTTTTATTGAAATTGACGAAGACATTCGTGACTGCTGAGCTTTAGACCAATTTTTCTCCGAGATGTGTAACGCACAGCAAGTTTTGATTGCATCTTCGTAGATAACTTTTTCTCAGCTTTCCAGTGTTTGAGGTCATGTGCCATAATTCCATGATCCGTTTGCACCATTCTCTAGTAACTACATCACCTTTGAGATTTCATTTCAATCTGGTCTAACACCATAAAATCTTCATTTAGACTCTCATAAAACATGATGACAAGAAATTAGTCTTTTCAGTAAACCAAATTGGACCTAAAATTTCTTTAGACTGGGAAACCGGCAAAAAAAAAAGAATAATTTCAATTTGATTTTCTCATAGGACACATATGAAAAGAGCAAAAAAAATAGAAGCGGAAACATGATTTTGAGTTTTGAAGGGAACAGTAGGAAGATACGCCTAGTTAGTACGCCTAGTTAGTAGCAGGGAACCAGTGACGTTTAACTGAAGCTTGCAATTTTTCAGAACTTTCATATGTTTACCACCGCACACATTTTGCTATCTCGCTCGAAGAGCACCTATAATTTAGATGCTCATGACCTGTGACGCCTACCCTACTCTCTCTATGGTAGACTTCAAAACAAATTAAAATGGATGACCTCTCTGATGCTTATTTTTGTTTATTACCTGGACTCCAGACAAACCTTATGTGTGCATGGGTAGAAGGTGTTACTTAATTCATCCACTTTTCATCAAACACCGTTAGTTTATCCCTGCATTTCGCTTTGATTGTCTTGGCAATTTTGTAAAAAATTGAATTTTGTATAAATTGAGTTGTGGTTTACCAAATAGGGATGACTACTCTAGTTCGGTTTCATCCTGTGAAAGGAGTGTTTTGTTTTTTCATTTTTGGAAGGGTTTGCCTTTCTCGGCTTTCTAATCTTTTCGGTGCCGAAATAGTCACTTTCAACTATTTCCCCTAATTTCTAAATATGACTTTTTTCGAATTAATCATGTCTCTGACAGTCATTTTTTTTCAAAAATTCGTAAAGCACATTCAATCATGTAAACGCATAAAGAGAAGTAATGATGTCGTGACCCAACAAATTACTCTATTTTAGTCATTATTCTAGCTCCACTCGTCGCTTTTCTCCATCTCATTTTTCTCTTTTTTTGCTGGACATTTTTTCGCCATCCGAGTTTTAGGAAAATCATCAAACTGTTATTTTCAATGTTATATTTCAATTTGCATCAAAAGCTATTCATCGTATTTTTCAGATCAACATGGATTCATTAATCCCTTCAACATCTTCTTCCATGCCGTCTGAAAATGTCAATGAAAGACAAAACGGTAAGTTATTCCAAATTTCATCCTGAAACCAGTAAAACCCGACGATTAAAAATGTTTCGATTGAAACTCACTGTTTCAGCTACCACCCCAAGAAATTTTGCGTTTTCTGTGTCCCCTATGTCTGCGTTTACGCCCACCACCGCAAAACCTGATCAAGGTGAATTTTCGTAGTCGTCAAGCTTTATGCAAAATTCTAGGTGAGTGTTGATCCGCAAGTTTTATACAAAATATTTTCAGCTCAAGAACCAATTTTGCCATCACCCAACACAAGCTCCAATCCGGACGCCGCAATAAGTGCTGATCCTGCGAGAATCGACGAGTCAAACCCTGCAAACATGAATTGTAAGAATTAGCAAATTTTTCGATTTCAAAAAGCTTAATATACAATAAAAAACATATTCAGTATCCGAATTGGTAGAAAGTTATTCCGAAAAGGCCGCTAGGATGAATTCTATTTTCTCAACGATAATAAAAAGTGAATTACAAACTCGGAACTCAATTAGTCAATTAAGATTATTTTTTTTCAATAATATATTTGCTCATTTTCAGAATATGAGGAGCTCGAAAGAGAAAATGGAGGTCTTCGACGTGAAGCTGAATCAACGAAGACAAAATTGAATGATCAGGAGAACCAGCTCCGTACCATTCGAACGGAGGTAGACACACAGAAGATGGAGCTCGAGAATTTGAGGACGGAGAAGAAGGATCTGGAAAACGTGCTGACTACGACACGAACAGAAATGGACACACAGAAGAATAAGTTCAATGCTCTGGAATTAAATTGGGCAAATGAGAAGACACACCTAACAAGCGGTCATGCTCTACAGTTGAGACAAATGGTAGAGGCCCATGCGGAGTCACTGCGGCTGAAAGAGGTTGAGCTTGATGAAAAACAGGCTCTGGTAGATGCCCTGACGAGAAGAAATTATAGAATGAGAGATGAAATCAATGAGTTGGAAGAAAAGCTCGAAGAATTTAAGGACATGGAACTGGAAGCGATAGATGAGCTGTTGACAGCCGAAATTAAATACTTGGAATCAAAGAAACAAACGGAAGAGGCTATCAACGAGGGAAAACGAATGCATTCTCTTCAAATTGGATGCGCACTAACCGCCGCCGTCTACCAGAACAGATCTGCGATAACTGAATGGTCAAAGTTGGAGAAGATCATTTGTGATCTGTCTTCAACTATTCGATCTTCTCTGAAGTGCCAATTCCCGGACCTTCAAAGAGCCTTGGATCTTTCCAGAGAGATGAAGGAAAAGTACGAGGAATCCCTCGACAAGAACTTGGAGGATCAGAGAAGGAGAAGTGGGTTTTTAAGAAAAGAAATGGGTGTTTGGAAATTTTGATTTCAGGAGAAAATGCACATGGAAAACACATGGAAAACATGGAAAATGCACATGGACGACAGAAAATGCACATGGAAAACTGCTGAGGGTGATGAACGACAAGAAATGAAGGAAGATAAGGTTTCGGCTCTTTTTCCCAGAAATGACGAAGGTAAGAAGATGCCCTGAAATCAGCCTTCCAGTTTTTATATTTAGAATCTGTGGATCAGGAGGAAGAGCCCAACAAATTGGCCAGACCAACAAGAAAACGAGAAGCGGACAGACAACTCATCACATCTGGGAAAAGAGTTAAAAGCATGTAAGAAGAGTTTTTGAAGTGAGTCTAGTTCTAAAAAGATAAACTCTCCACATACCGTCCACTTTGAGCCCATATATCTCGTTCCCTGTAGGAGATATCAAAAAGCGGTCAACCGTTAAAATATTAATCATAATATCATAAGTGTTTTGTTAGTTGACTAATTTTTGATATCATTCACAGAAACCGAGATACATGGGCTCAAAGTTCTCAGAAGGGGGTCATCCTATTAGAGTGTAAATATTTTGGAGCATTCAAATCGATTTTAGGAAATTTTCAGGTCCAGAAGCTGTGATCAATTTTTCCTCTGTTGCTGCCCTTTCCGATGTCGCTGATTTGTACCTTCCTGTTCCAGGTCCTGGTGAATTTCTGAAATTCGTTTTTCCTTATAATTTCACCCATTTCTTCCCACCATGTCATATTGATATCCCCTGTTCCCCTGTTCAATCATATTCCAATGTTCTCCTCTCCTGGTTCCAACCGTCATTTTCTTCTGTGAATTTTATTATCATTCCTTTTTTCCAGTTCGTGTCGAGACCCATAGATTTATATGTTCCTCATTTTCTGTTTGTTTCGCTTGCATCCCGTTTTCCCCCTACAGATTCTCTCCCAATTTCTGGTTTTTCAATTTGTCCTGTAATCAAAAATATCCCGAGTTTTTTCGAGTTACTCTTTTCAAGTCCCTGAAAAAGTTCCGCTCTGTCCATTGAACTAATTTTTGAGTCACTCTTCTAGTATATCTCTCCAAAAACATTTCAAATTTCCATGACCAACTTTTCAAATTCCCACGCATCCATGACTACTGATCTGATCTCAAAACCTCTAATTTGTGATTTTCTAACACATTTTTGGATTCTTCTTCTATGTCTCGAGTATCGTTTATTGAATGATTCAATAAAAAAGAATGAAAAGTTTGCAAAGGTTCTGATTCTCCTATTTCCTACAGTAATCCCATGTTAGTCATCAGAGTGTTCGAAAAAAAAAAACAAGCTGCAGAGTGGATTGCTTCCTCCATTAACTCTCGGTTATGAATCATCCGGCACATGATATTGGGACGAAGCGACACGCCCCCAACGACGGTTTCATTTTTTTTTGTCATGAAAAACAAAAATAACCGTGGCTTTTCATTGTTCTGATTGCTGAATTACAATTTCCAGAAATTTCCAGAAAAATGGAGCAGCATATTGTCATGGAGAACGACATGGTGATCGCAGGAGAAGTGGTTATTGGAGCGGATGAAGGTTCGTTTAAAAAATCCAAAGAAAAATATGAAAAAGACGGTTTTCAGAAGTCAACGAACTCCACTTGCAATTGCATGAAAAGGACCAGGAGATTGCAAATTTGAGAGCCAAAAATGAGCAATTGACCGTAGAGAAGAACACCGAGAAGAATTGGAAAAATTATTGGTTTGGAGCTTTCAATCGGGAGAAGAATAGGGCCGATGGTTTGCAATTGGAGAAGGATCAGGCTGGATTTGGGTTAGCGGTGCCAATGACAGGTAATCTGAGTTTTCTGGGCCACCGTAGTTGATAGTCCTGAAATGGCCTAACATGAACCTATTTTGTTTTCCAGGGTATTCAACATCGTGGCCTAACTTTTGAAATTTGAGTTTTCTAGGCCTCTAGGGTAAATGGTCTAAAAATGGGCTCACACAGCCCTAGTGAGTTTTCTAGGTCATTTACCATGCTGGCATAATTTTTGCAAGCTCAGTTCGTCTTTCGGAAAACAGACACTGATTTTCAGCAGCTACTACGCCAGCACCTCCACCACTCGCTCGTTATGGACCAGTTTCTTCAAATGCGCCATCTCCAAGACCGGTGAACTCTTTTGCAGAAGCTCTGGAATATTGGAACCACTGGAACGGTAGAGATGAAAGAATCGATGGAATTGGTGAGCTATTTACCCTTGGCGCTCAATTAAGGGTTTTTACAGATCTCAAAGAGTACCTCTTCCACCCGGACAGCCGTCATCAAGTTCCTCAAATCGTCCGACGAGTTCCAAGCAACATTCGTCAGCTATTTTTCATCAAAAATCGTGGTCGAGACTCGTTCCGCTCGTTGAGTAAGTCATTCTCATTTTTCTCGACTATTATTTCATTAATTTTCAGCCGATCAATACCGAAATCATATGAATCGAACGGACTTATTGAGGGAGCTCCTTTTCATCAAGAATTCACAGGAAGACCAAGCCGCCAGGGGAATGATTAATATTCGAGATTGAAAAAGGATGTCTACATACAGTACCCATTCAATGAGTCATCTTGTTTTCTCTTCTCTTTTTTGCAAATTTTGATGATTTATTTGCTTATTTTTGCCACACTGTCTGCGTCTCTCCAAATTTCATTTATTGTATTTCTCTAACCTCTGAATATAAAGCTTCCCCCCCCCCCCCCTGAAGCTGTGTTCCCCTCTGAAGCTTCGTTCTGAAGTCACAACATCTTTTCCTATTTTCATTTTCCCTAATTTTCTAATTTTGTGTGCTCTCTTAAGAAATCTTGATGCATTAGATGAGAACAGAGATTAGTCATTGTGAAAAAATAGTATAGTGAGAGATAGGAAACTCAGAGAAACCGAGACATAGAATTCGAATAGTTGCATAGTCATGTGGGCTATTTCTTCCTCCTCTAGTTTTTTTGTTGGTATAATTACATTTTTTGATTATAGGACAATCATTCTAGGACCATTATAAGCAATCAACAAGCTAATAAAATGGATCCAGATGCCGCCGTCAACGACAATCAAGCTCTTCCCGACGCTCAACCCGAAGCTCAACTTTTCCCCCATAACGGTAAGCAATAAAAATAGGAATTACAGAAATTTGGAAAACAACCATTTTAGATCTCCAATGCCCTGTCCTCGCCCCGATGGTCTACGTAGCTGTGGTCAAGCCGTTCAAGACCAAAATGGCCGAACAGCAGAAAACCATTGAGGAGCTTGAAAAGAAGAATCGAGAATTAACGTTGCTAAATCCATTGAATTTATGGAAACGTGTTGAGAGCGACGATCCGGAGACCATGGAATGTGAGAATTTGATAATTTTTCGATTCTATCGATAATCAAAGAATTTTCAGCAACCGGAAGAAGGAAAAGTTTCTCTGAAAATGCCACTGACATGTACTCTAGTCTTCTAACAATGATGCAAAGTTACCAATCCAAATAGCCATTCTAGCTGGCGGCCTAATTTTTGCTGACATAGGAAACTCAATTTTTACACCTGGAATCTGAAGAGAGAAAGTTACACCCCCACCCCCTCATCCACGCCGCCGGTGCGACTGTGGTGTCAATTTAAATTGCTCATTTTTAGGATATGACGAACTTAAAAGAGAAAATGGTGGCCTTCGACTGGAATCTGAAGAGAGGACACGACTGACGACCGATCAAGCTCAACAGTTGAGACAAATGGAAAATGCCCATCAAATTAATTTGGACCGGATTGCAACCCAACATGCGGAAACACTAAGGATCAAAGAGGAGGCAAACTTGGCGACTCTAGCGCAAAAAGAACAGCTTATTAATGCTTTGAGAAGATCCGGGGAGCAGTTGGAGATTTCACATGGAGCGCAGGAAAGTCGATGGGGGGAGGAGAGAAATGGGTTGCAGTCTCAGCTCCAAGAAAAACAGGCCATGATGGATGCACTGGTGGAAACAAATAATGGATTAATGGAGGAAATCAAGGAGTTACAGGAGGAAAAGAACGTACTGAAAAATGAATTTATTGAGGAGCTGATGAGAGCCGAAAATAAATACTTGGAATCAAAAAGAGAAACCGAAGCGGCTATCAACGAGGGGAAACAGATGCATTCTCTTCAAATTGGATGCGCACTCACCGCTGCCGTCTACCAGAACAGAGCATCAATAACTGAGTGGTCCGCGTTTGAGAAGATTCTCGGAGACTTGTCGGGAACTATTCTATCCTCCTTGAAGTGCCAAATCCCGGATCTCCAAAAGGCCTTGGATCTTTCTCGACAGATGAAGGACAAGTACCAAGAATCTTTGCAAGAGAAATTGGAGGATCAGAAAAAAAGAAGTGAGTTTTTTTTAAAGAGGAGAAATGTGTATTTGGAAATTTTGATTTCAGGAGAAAATGCACATGGGAAAACTGCTGAGGTTGACGGGGTACAAGGTAGTTTGGCAGAAACAAAAGCAGTGAAGCCCTTGCCTCTTTTGTCGAAAAATGAAGAAGGTATGAAAAAAAGGAAAAATCGAAATACAGGTTTTTATTTCCAGAGGAAGCGGCTCAGAAGCCAAAACCGTCACGCAAACGAGGAGCAGAAAATGAACTCGTCACGTTTGGGAGAAAAGTTAAAAGCTTGTGAATATGAATTTGAATCGTAAAAGGTGAATCTTAATTGCGTAAAGTTCTTACCTCAAACCGTCAACTTTAAGCTCAAATATCTCGTTTCTTGAATATGATATCAAAAAGTAGTCAACTGATAAAATGTTAATCATAATATCATTAAGTTTTTTCAGTTTACAACTTGTTCATATCTTTCATAGGAATCAAGATAATTGAGCTCAACGATGACTAACATAGGGCGGGGGTTCTATTAAAGTGGTTACAGTAGTTCCTTTATAGCATTCTGATCGATTTTGGAAATTTTCAGATCGAAAAGCTGCATCGAGTTTCACATTTGGGTTCTTTCTTCTCGGTCCCGACGAAATTCTCAAATTTGTTTATCATCATAATCCTGTTCCCCATTTTTCGTAATATTGATAGTACCATCCACTTTTTTGTTCTGTCCTGTTTCAATGTTCTCATTTTCCGGTTCCGATCCGCATTATCTTCTATTATCTTCTGTGATTTCTGTCTTTCCAGTTTTCCTGTTCATTTCGGGAACCACCAAAATTTTGTTTGAAGATTTCTATCATCTTTCCCAGTTTCTCATCTATCAGCTCGGTTTTTCTCCTACAGATTATCTACCCGTGTTCTTCTTTTCCAGTGTTTTCCGTCCTGTTTTTCAAATCATTATTATTCGAGTTCTCTATTCTAATAGATTCCTTTTGAGAATTTTAGATTTCCATGACGACAAGTTCTGGATTTTAACTCATCTGATTTTAAAATTGAATATACCGCCGATTGTGGTTTTCTAACCCACTTTGTATTCTTCCATGTCTTAATCTTGGATTTATTGGACGATTTAATTCAGACGAATGCAAATATTGCCGTAGATATTTTTAGAAATCTTCAATTTACAACTTCAGGTTTATAACAGAAGCTCACATGAATTTCCTCAGATTTTCTGCAGTAATCCAATGCATCCCTCTTCATTTGTTAGTCATCAAGCTGTTCAAAAAGCTTGAAATGTCTTATTCTACGATTTTCTACAGTAATCCAATGTTTGTCATCAAAGTGTTTGAAACAAAAACAAGGCCAAAGAGTGGATTGTTTCCTCTAGTAACCATCGATTATGAATCATCCGGCACATGATATTGGGACGAAGCGACACGCCCCCAACGACGGTTTCATTTTTTTTGTCATGAAAAACAAAAACAACCGTGGCTTTTCATTGTTCTGATTGCTGAATTACAATTTCCAGAAATTTCCAGAAAAATGGAGCAGCATATTGTCATGGAGAACGACATGGTGATCGCAGGAGAAGTGGTTATTGGAGCGGATGAAGGTTCGTTTAAAAAAAACCAAAGAAAAATATGAAAAAGACGGTTTTCAGAAGTCAACGAACTCCACTTGCAATTGCGCGAAAAGAACCAGGAGATTGCAAATTTGAAAGACGAAAATGAGCAATTGACCGTAGAGAAGAACACCGAGGAGAATTGGAAAAATTATTGGTTTGGAGCTTTTAATCGGGAGAAGAATAGGGCCGATGGTTTGCAATTGGAGAAGGATCAGGCTGGATTTGGGTTAGCGGTGCCAGTGGCAGGTAATCTGAGTTTTCTGGGCCACCGTAGTTGATAGTCCTGAAATGGCCTAACATGAACCTAGTGTGTTTTCTAGACCATTTACTATACTTTCTCAACATAATTTTTTGTGACCTAACTTTCTCAACATAATTTTTCTAGGCCACCGTAGTAGATGGTCCGAAAATTGTTTAACATGAACCTAATGTGTTTTCGTTCACTATGATGACCTAACTCTCGCTAGTTAGGTTTTCTAGGCCACCATGGTAAATGAGCTAGAAATATCCTGATAGACATGTGCTTTCTAGTCCGTTTATCATGATAACCTAACTTTTGCAAGTTGAGTTTTCTAAGCCACAATGGTAATAAACTAGAAATTACCTTATATTGATCTGGTGTGCTCCCTGGGTCATTTACTATGGTGGCCTAACTTTTGAAATTTGAGTTTTCTAGGCCACCAAGGTAAATGGTCTTGAAATGGATTGGTATTGACTCTATTAGATAGCCACCACTAATTGAATACCAGCCTCTAATATAGTGCCATCCTTGAGCACCTCTGAACAATGGAGTGCCAGCCCCTAATATAATGCCACTGCGGATTTTATGTCACTGTGGTAAAAGTTGAAGGATAACCCAAAAAATCTTTTTTTTTTGGTATTCTAGCGTTTTTCAAGCTTAAAATAGGTAATGTATTTGTCAAAAATGTTTCACCCAGACTCTCTTTGAAAAAGAAGAAAAATCAAGAAAACCTCTAAAGTCATTTTATGAAAAAGTTGAATATTGAGTACTTTTGTGATGAGTTTCAGTAGAAATTGACTCCGAACAATAAAGTGCCAGCCTCTAATTGAATGCCACTCCATGGCTATGTAATAGAGTTTTTATGGTAAATATAGTGGTCTAACTTTTGCAAGTTGAGTTATGCTAAAAATGATTATTTTCAGCACCGACTACGCCAGCACCTCCACCACTCGCTCATTGTGAGCCAGCTTCTTCAAATGCACCAAGATCAGTCGGCTCTTTCGAAGACGTTCTTGAATACTGGAACAACTGAAACGGTAGAGATCAAACTATTGATGAGATCGGTAAACTACATATTTACCTTTGGCTCTCAAGCATTATCCTTTTTAGATCTCAAAGAGTACCTCTTCCACCCGGACAGCCGTCATCAAGTTCCTCAGATCGTCCGACGAGTTCCGATCAAAATTCGCCAGCTGTTTTTCATCAAAAATCGGGGTCGGGATTCGTTCCGTTCATTGAGTGGGTCATTTCAATTTTTTTTTCGTAATACTTTCATTAATTTTCAGCAGACTAATACCGAAATCATATGAATCGAACGGACTTATTGAGGGAGCTCCTTTTCATCAAGAATTCACAGGAAGACCAAGTCGCCAGGGGAACGATTGATATTCGAGATTGAAAAAGGACGCCTACAGTATCCAGCGAATGAATCATTTAGTTTTCTCCCTTCTTTTTGCAATTTCCGATTTGATTTTTTTTGCCACACTGTCTGCTCCTCCCCCAAATTTCATTGTATTTCGAAATTCCTTTTTTATTATCATTCGTCTCGCTGATGATTTTCAACCCCTTCGATCTTATCAACGTCGCTAAATTTTTTCCTATGTTCCTTTTTTCTAAATTTCAAATTTTGTATGCTCTATCAATAAATCTTGATTAGATGAGAGCAGAGATTAGACATTGTGAACAGTAAAGTGAGAGATAGGAGACTGAGAGAAATTGAGACATAGAACTCGAATAGCTGCAAAGTCATGTGGACTATTTCTCGTTGCATAGAATTTTTGCGCAGAATTACGCTTTTTTATTCCAGAACTATCATTTTAGGACCATTATGAGCAATCCACAAGCACTTCAGATGGATTCAGAAGACGTTGAGTTCGTCGAAGATAACCAAGCTCAACCTGACGCTCAACCCGAAGCTCAACCCATCTTCAATAACGGTAAACTTCCGACAGAAAGAAATTAATTTAAAAATTGAAAATTTTAGATCTTCAAGGCCCTGTCCTCACCCCGATGCTCTATGCTGCTATGGTCCAGCCGTTCATGGCCAAGATTGTGGAGCAGCAGAAAACGATCGAGGGGCTCGAGGAGAAGAACCGAGACTTATTGTTGCAACAGCCATTGAATTTCTGGAAGCGTGTTGAGGAAGCGGCGATTCTTCAGGAGCCAGTTGGTAAGTATGTGTGTGGGTGTGTGGGTGTGTATGTGTCGTGTACATAAGCCAAATACCTTAGCTAGTAGAAACTAGTGGACTATTCATTTTATTTATTCAGTAAGTCCGCCAACAGCCGCGCCAGTCAAGCCAACGTCATTTGAAGAAGGAGTTCAACTGTGGCGCACCAATGGATTTCGAAATATTAAAATCCCGAATATTGGTTAGTTCAGGTGTCAAAATCAAGATATTTTTGAAGTATTTCAGACATGAGTCGTCTTCTATTTTCTCCAACCAAAGGAATACTCCAACAATGCGTGACAAAAGTGAGCAATGGTATAATGCTGTATAATATGAGCCTTCGTTCGTTGTGGCGTCAACCGAAACTGAATCTTCGGACTTGTGAGTAATTTCAACCTTAATTATCTTGAAAACGGATGGATTTGACATCATTTTGCTGACGAATAGACTATTTGAAACTACGACATTTCGAAACTGACTTTTTCCGTTACTTTTGGTTTTTTTCAATGGAGCACTGGGACAAACTTTCAAAGGAGACTCAGAATGAGTGGTGTGGAAAAGGCCTGATCCTTGCGAAATGGCAAAATATTCAAGTGGATCTAGGTTTGATTTTGTTGGGAAACCTTCGTGATGGAAAGCTGCCGTATTGATGGATGTGCGTATTCTACTTTGACCTTGCTCTTCTTGGAATGTTTTGTCTCTTACTTACATACATATGTTTACTTGTGCCTTCATTTATTTGATTCCAAAGTTTTCAATTTTTTTCTTTTTATTTTCTCCGCTTCGAAAATGAATAACATTTTATTTAACTAGCATAGATAGTTCAAAACAATTCAATTATTGGTGGAACTTGGCACAACGCACCTCTCCAGCAAACAAGGTATGACAAGTAGGAATCGGTACACCTTAAAGAATAAAAAAACTTTAATGAGAAACTGTATTTCTAGGCTTACGGATAAACTTGAACATTTCCATAATTAGGGCCTGGACTATAAATACAGATACCAGGTCCTGTGAGATGTGGTGAACCTGGAGTCCAGTTATAATTGGTAATTCCATTGTGAGTAGGGTCTTCGAATGTGTATTGGTATGCTATGTTGGTATGTTGAACACCGTCTATCCAGTAAACCAACCATTGGATAGAATCTGGGTTGGAGGTGTACTTGGAGGAGTTGGATATATCTGAAAATTGAAGCATTCCTGATCAACTCAGTTCTTCGTTTTGACTCACCTTGTATATACTCATACTCATTCGCATTCGCTGGACCAGTAAGTGTCCCATTCTGTGCTTTACAAAGTGCAGATGCTGCGGCTTGATTATTACAACGAGGTGCCTCGAAAAAGTAAAGACCAATACAAACTACAGTAGTCTCTCCTCTCTGGAACACTTTTGTGTTGTTTGGGCAGGTAGAGACACTATAGGTCAGGTTGTAGATATTGTTATAGAGAGAATCTGGAGACACCGTAGTCAAGTAAAATTGGTTATTGGTGAGTTGAGTGTAATAAGTGGGTCCGGGAATCAGTGGATTAGAAGTTGGGCACTGGACCTGTGTTGGAATCTGAAAATTTGGGATAATCCAGAGCTCTTGGAGAACTTAAGCACCTTCAGTACTATCTCATCATTTTCGGATTTAGCTTGTTGGATTGTTGAGATACTTCCAAATGAAAAATACTGACATTGAATGTCAGAAATTTTGTAGACCACCTGTAAAAGTTTAGGAAATATTTAATTAAAAAAAAAAAACTTACTACACAATTAACATCCGCTCTACATTTCACCATACAATCTTCCCAAGAAACATCCATAGTTTCAGAGGTTTTATAATTCCCCCGCTGTCCAGAAATACGTATCATAGTGGGTTCTTCTCCGGGAACTTTGGCCAGAAAACTCAGACACAAGAAATATAGAAAATAATAAGACATTTTGTGATTGTCTTCCGAAGGATTTTGACACATATGAAGAAAAAAAAAGTTGCTCGCCAAAACAAAAATCCGCATCTATTTTTACTTTTCACATGAAGTGAAAGGGAAAAAAGCATGCGGTTGTTATAAATCACACTAATGTTTTTGAATGGAAAATTGACGAGTGTCTGGCAGCGAAGGGATAGGCGGAGAGTCGGTAAAACTAGAAAGAGTTTCAAAATAAAAGAAAATTAACGAGTGTCTGGCAACAAACGGACAGATAGAGAGTTGGTGAAACTAGGAAGGCTTTCAAAAGTAAAAAAAACTGAAATGTCTAAGAAAATTGACAAAAGTCTGATGGTTTAGGGATATGACAAAGAAAAGGACCAAGAAGACCAAAAGTCAAAGACCAAACATAAAAAATTGTGACGTAAAGGTATCCGGATATTGTATTTTCGGTTGCTACTTTAACCGTTGAGAAATATAAATTCATTTTGCATAGATAAATAGCTCAAAACATTTCAATTATTGGTGGAACTTGACACAACGCTCCTCTCCAACAAACTGAACATGGGGTACACACAGCGTCAGAACATCTGAAAAGTTTGATATTATTCTCAGTCAGCAAACGGAGTCAGAACAGTAGGATTCAGAACACATGACTCATCAAAAAGATTTTTAGTGAGAAACTGTATTCCACACTTACGAAATTGCTTGAACATTTGAATTAAGAGGGCCTGGATTATGTAGACAGTGACCAGGTCCTTTAAGATGTGGTGAACCTGGAGTCCATTTATAATTGGTAATTCCATTGTGGGTAGGGTCTTCGAATTTGTAAACTTTTTCTGTACTGGTACTAACACCATCTATCCAGTAGGTCAACCAAGTGTATGAGTCGGGGTTAGAGGTGTACTTGGAGGAGTTGGATGTATCTGAAAACTGAGTTTGAGATATGGACTTTCTAGTTGGTTATTCCTTCCCAACTCGTCGTTTGCTTTATCTCTTACTTTGTATATATTTATACTCATCAGCATTAGCTGGACCAGTCAATGTTCCTTTTTGTGCTTTGCAAAGTGCAGATGCTTGCGCATGATTATTACAACGAGGTGCTTCGAAAAAGAAAAGACCAATACAAACTAGAGTAGTCTCTCCTCTTTGGAATAGTTTCATTAAATTCGGACAGCTAATGACTTTGTAGTTCAGGTTGTAGATATGCTTAGATTTAGAATCCAAAGATACTGTAGTTGCGTGAAGTTGATTATTGATTTTTTCAGTGAAAGAATTGGGTCCAGGAACCATGGGATTGGAAGGTGGGCATTTTTTCCCTGCTAGTTGGATCTTCAAAAGATTTCACAGATACTAACATGTAACAAGCTTACCTTTAGTGCTATTTCAACACCTCCAAAAGCAGCTTGTTGGACAGTTGAAATACTCTTGAATTCAAAATACTGACATTTGATACCCGACATTTTGTAGACAACCTGTAAAATTTCAGAGCTTTATGAATGAAAAACTTCACAGAAAACTTACCACACACTTAACATCCGTTCTACATTTCACTATACATTCCTTCCAAGGAATATCAAATGTTTTTGAGGATTTAAACTTTCCTGGCTGCCCAGAAATACGTATCATATATGGCTCACCTTTAGAAATTTCTGTAAGGAAGCTCAAAAACATGAAGCTTAGAAAATAATAGCACATTTTGTAATTTTTTTTGAAAGATTCAAGACCAAATTTTACGATAGTATTGAAGTATAATTCATAAGGGATAGTAAATTTATTGGTCACAAATGTTGTTTTTGGAGATCTTCAGTTCTATAAGTCAACTTCTTTTGAGCTAGAGAACATCCTAGACTTCCGTATTCAGTTATGGATTTGATGGATATTTAGTGTGACACTTGATGAAAATATTCAGTGAACCATGAGAGTAGCCAATAAACCGGGATTCTTTAAAGGTGGGGGACATGAAAAAAAAAAATGTTCTCGAAATTCCGTTCAAAGATGCCCCTCGAGGAGTTGAACTTGTGAGGGCGATGATTGAGGGTGCGGCGCCGCTAACGACTGAGCCACGCGGGCAAAGAAAAAGAGCACGCCCGTTTACATACATAAAGGCAAGCACGACAGCTGTACGCAGAGTGACATTTAGCGTTGTACACCGTGACGGTAGAATGCATACTCTAGCTACAAAAAAACTACGAAAACTCTCCTGTCCCCCCACCTTTAATATTTTGGGGAAATCAAGAACCATGGTCGAAATTCCGAAAAACAAAAGGAACCTACATTATTATTTTTATTCTAGTCTAACCAAGGGACGTTTTCGCAAGTTCGGAAATTTCCAGTATTAGTTTACAAATTCTTTTCCATTATGTTCATGATAACTCCACTTGAGAAAAAAAAACATTTATTTCACTTTCACGGATAGTTTAATACGTTTCAATTATCGGTGGAACTTGACACAACGCGCCTCTCCAGCAAACAGCTTTAGTCAAGAAAGTAGCTGTACATCTGAAAAATTGAAAAGATTGCCAGTAAGAAACTGTTTTCCTAGACTCACGGATATTCCGAAATATTGAAATAGAGCGGATTTGGATTATGTAGGCATTGGCCAGCTCCTTTAGATCGTGTTACGCCTTCAGCCCACTGGTAATTGGTAGTACCGTCGTGGGTAGTGTCTTCAAATGTGTACGCTGTGTTGGTACCAGCACCGTCTAACCAATAAGTCACGTATTCGTAGGAGTCTGGGTTAGAGGAGTATTTGGAGGAGTTGGATATATCTGAAAACTGAGTTATAGCTTTAAGAAATATGGAAAAGTGTGTCCCACCTTGTATATACTCATACTCATTCGCATTCGCTGGACCAGTAAGTGTCCCATTCTGTGCTTTACAAAGTGCAGATGCGGCGGCTTGATTATTACAACGAGGATCTTCGAAAAAGAAAAGACCAATACACACTTTAGTAGTCTCTCCTCTCTGGAACAGCTTTGTGTTATTTGGACATGTAGCCACACTATAGGTAAGGTTGTAGATATTGTTGGAGAGAGAATATGGAGACACCGAAGACATGTAAAATTGGCCATTGATGATTTGAGTATAATAATTGGGTCCGGGAATCAGAGGATTAGAAGTTGGGCACTGGTCCTGTGATATTTGGATCTGAAAATTCGGGGGAATTTGGAATTTCAGAAGTATAATCAAACCTTCACTGCAATTTCATCATTTTGAAAATCAGCTTTTTGGAGAGTAGAAATACTTCCAAATGAAAAATACTGGCATTGAACATCAGACAATTTGTAAACCGCCTGTAAAAGTTTTGAGAGTTCTTACTGGCTATTTTTCTTACTTTACCGAACAATCAACATCCAGTCTACATTTCGTCAAACAATCCATCCAAGAAATATTCATAGCTTCTGAGGTTTTAACTTTTCCTGGCTTTCCAAGAATACGTATCATATATGGCTCTTCGCCAGAAACGTTGGTTAGAGAACTCAGAAACAAGAAGCACAGAAAGTAATAAGACATTTTGTAATTTTTTTCCGAAGGATTTTGACACAATATGAAGAAAAAAAAAGTTGCTCGCCAAAACAAAAATCCGCATCCATTTTTACTTTTCACATGAAGTGAAAGGGAAAAAAGCACGCGGTTGTTATAAATCACACTAATGTTTTTGAATGGAAAATTGACGAGTGTCTGGCAGCGAAGGGATAGGCGGAGAGTCGGTAAAACTAGAAAGAGTTTCAAAATAAAAGAAAATTAACGAGTGTCTGGCAACAAACGGACAGATAGAGAGTTGGTGAAACTAGGAAGGCTTTCAAAAGTAAAAAAAACTGAAATGTCTAAGAAAATTGACAAAAGTCTGATGGTTTAGGGATATGACAAAGAAAAGGACCAAGAAGACCAAAAGTCAAAGACCAAACATAAAAAATTGTGACGTAAAGGTATCCGGATATTGTATTTTCGGTTGCTACTTTAACCGTTGAGAAATATAAATTCATTTTGCATAGATAAATAGCTCAAAACATTTCAATTATTGGTGGAACTTGACACAACGCTCCTCTCCAACAAACTGAACATGGGGTACACACAGTCCAGTGAACCGGTGAAATTATTTACGTTTTCAGAAATTTCCAGGTCTTAACTTTGAAAAAAATCTACACAAAAAAACTGGTCAAAGACCAAAATGTGGAAAAAAAACTCTGCGGTACTTCTAAGAATACGGAAATTTTTTCAGGATTTTTTCGGGAACCGGCTATTTTTAACCGGATATAAAACCGAGGGGAGTTAACTTATTTTTCTTTTCTTCATATTTTTTCCAACCATTTAACTCTCACAAATACAGTTCAAAACAGTTCAAAACAGTTATCTGTGAAACTTGGCACAACGCTCCTCTCCAGCAAACTTCAAATGGATGCAAGGCAGTACTGTTACATCTAAAAAATTGAAAAGATTTCTAGTAACAAACTTTAGTTCCAGACTTACGGACTATCAACAATATATAAACCATAAGGGGCTGGATTATGTAGACAGTAATTCATATTTTTATATCGTGGTGCACCAACCTCCCATTTATAGTTGGTAAATCCATTGTGAGTAATGTCAAAAAATGCATAGTCTTTTTCACGCACTGTACTTTCACCGTCTATCAGTAAGTCAAATATTGGTAAGAATCTGGATTAGAGGTATACTTTGAGGAGTTGGATATATCTGAAAATAGAGCTATGAATATGGATGGACAAGTTTGGCATTCATTCCCAACTGTGCCTGTCTTTTGGTCTATATGTTGGGCATGCTTGGCCAACTCTTCGTTGGTTACATATTTTACTTTGTATATATTTATGCTCATCGGCATTTGCGGGACCAGTCAGTGTTCCGTTTTCAGCTCCACAAAGTGCATATGCTTGTGTAACAATATTACAACGAGGTGCTTCGAAAAAGAAAAGACCAATACAAACTACAGTAGGCTCTCCCCATTTGAACCTTTGGAACTGTTTTGTGTTGTTTGGACAGGTTTTGACAGGCACAGCGATACAGTATTTTAGATTGCACATATTTTCAAAGAAAGAATCTTTAGACACTGTTGTTGTGTAATGTTGGCCGTTGATGATTTGAGTGGAGTTATTGGGTCCAGGTATAAGAGGATTGGAAGTCGGACATTGGTCTCCTGAGAGTTGGATCTAAAAATCAAAGTTCAAATTAGACTAACTTGTAAGATAGTTCAAATACCATTAATGCTATTTCACCTTTGAAATCTACCTGATCGAAACTTGAAAGACAACCGAATAGATAATAATGGCATTGAATATCAAATTTTTTGTGGACAGCCTGTAAAATTTCTGAGAATCTTTTTCAAAATAAAAACTTTGAAGAAAACTTACCGAACAATTGATATCCGCTCTACATTTCACCATACGTTTCTCCCAAGAAATATTCAAAGTTTCATAGGTTATAGAAAATATTGGCTGCCCAGAAATACGTATCATGTTTGGCTCTTCTGTGGAATTTATCGTCAGAAAACTCAAAAATAAGAAGCATGGGAAATAGTAGTACATTTCATCTATAAAAAAACGTTTATTTTAATTCAGACCTGCAAGAGACTAAAATTTTATGACAGGTGAAATTAGGTGTGACGGACTATGACGAATAAAGAAAAAAATTTGAAAAAAGAAGAAAAGATGCACCACTTTATTCATTTATATGAGAATGATGATTGAATTGAATGAAGGGCATCTCCGAGATCTCTATTCTATCAGAATCTATGAAAAAAAATTGAAAAAAAATACAAAAATACATTCATTTCACAGATAATTAATACATTTCTTCTATCGTTGGAACTTGACACAACGCTCCTCTCCAGCAAACGGAACTTTCAGCATCGAGAGTATAATTGCATCTGAAAAAATTGAAAGAGTTTCTAGTAACAAACTTTATTTCCAGACTTACGGATTATCCACAATATATGGTCCATTAGGGGCTGGATTATGTAGACAGTAACCAGTTCCTTTATATTTTGGTGCATCAACATCCCATTTATAGTTGAAGTTTTCATCGTGAGTATAGTCTTCGAACCAGTAGTAGAAGTGAATATATGTACTATTACCGTCTATCCAGTAGGTCAAATATGTGTAGGAGTCTGGGTTAGAGGTGTACTTGGAGGAGTTGGTTATATCTGAAAATTGAGGTATTCCGGCCTAACTAAGTCCTCTGCTTGGTCTGAATCTCACCTTGTATGTACTCATACTCATCAGCATTCGCTGGACCAGTCAGTGTGCCGTTCTGTGCTTTACAAAGTGCAGATGCTTGCGCGTAATTATTACAACGAGGTGCTTCGAAAAAGAAAAGACCAATACATTTTACAAGGTAATCTACTCTTTGGAATGGTTTCGTGTTCTTTGGACAGGTAGAGACACTGTAGGTTGCATTGTAGCTATGACCCGATGAAGAGTCCAGGGTTACTGTAGTTTTGTAAAGTTGATTATTGATAGTTTGAGTCAAATAAGTTGGTCCAGGAACTAGAGGATTGGAAGTTGGGCATTTGTTTCCTGGTAGTTGGATCTAAATTATATAATTTAACTAAGGCTAACATGTGAGAAGATTCTAGTACCTTTAATGCTATTTTATAACCTCTAAAATCTTCCTGTTCGAAAGGTAAAAGACTACCGAATAGAAAATAGCAACATTGAATGTCAGACATTTTGTAGATCGCCTATGAATATTCTAAGATTTTTTCACTGGATACTTTTCACAAACCCACCGAACAATTGATATCCGCTCTACATTTTGAAATACAGTTCTTCCAGGAAACTTCCAAAGTTACAGGATTTATTAGGAGTCTTGGCCGCCCAGAAATACGTATCATATATGGCTCATCTGTGGAAATTACCGTCAGGAAGCTCAAAAGAAAGAAGCATAGAAAATAATAGCACATTTCATTTAGATAAAAGTTTTTGAATGGTGATTCAGGCTTGTCATAGCTGAACTTCCGTATTCAATTAGTGGTCTGATAGATATAATGTGGCACTTGATGAGAATATCTAGTGAACCGTGCAAATAGCATAAAACTCTTTTGTTTTTTCTATCAAAATGTAAGAAAAACTAAAACAATAAGAAATTTCAACCCCAATTTTATAGCGCTGTTTTTCCTTTGGTCCAATGTTAAATGGGAGAAAATGATAAGAGGAGAGAAAAAAAAACGAACACATTATATATTTTTTAGAAAAAAGAGGGCAAGAGGACTACCCACATAGTGTAAATATTTTGGAACAGTTCTGTTTGAGAGATTTTTCCCATTTGATGGATCCTTACCGCTATGAACGATTCCACCTCCGATGCTCCTATGAATCTTAAATCTATGGGAATTGCTGATCTTTCTAAATACGGTATGAAAATTGGTATCTAAAATGTTTCTTGAAAACGTTGTGAACACTAACAACAATATTCTGGAGCATCTAGTAGAACAATGGATCTCAGAAGACAAGCTGGTTTCAGCTCCACCGAAAAATGAGCAAATACAGAACGAGCTTGTCAAAAACAAGCGGGGAAAGACTGAGCAATGTGCTCATAATAATGCTCCAAAGAAAATTGAAACAGTTTGAAATTTCAGAAAAAGATTCAAGTCCAGTATCCAAGGGTACATCAGAAAAGGGTACATCGAGGGTACATCGAGATCTTAGGGTACATTGGATCAGAGGGTACATCAGATCTTAGGGTACATCTGGGAGGTAGGTTCAAGGGGTACATCTCATGGTGGTTCTAAGGGTACATCAGGGAAAGGATCCCAGGGTAAATCAAAAAGTTCTTAGGGTACATCAATCAAAAATACTGTAGTTGTCGACTGGAAGATATTTTTGTCTAAACTGCACCATTTTATTTATTTATTTGTTTGTATTTGTTTGAAAATTACCATTTTTTCATAGTTTTATGGATTGATAGATTTTTTGAAGTTTGTTTTAAAGGAGCTTATTATACTGAAATTGGCAATAGGAAACAAGTCGAAAAAGATGTACCCTAAGATCTGATGTACCCTCTGATCCAATGTATCCTAAGATCTCGATGTACCCTTTTTCGATGTACCCTTGGATACTGAGCCAAGTTGGGGTGGAAACTGAAGTTGGTGGGTTTTTGAACCACCTTATACGCGCATTTTGAACTCAATTATCTCGGTTCCTTCAAAAGATATCAAAAAGTGGTTAAATAATGAATTATTTATCATAAAATCAACGACATTTTATCAGTTGGCTACTTTTTGATATCTATCATAGGAATCGAGAAAATTGGGCTCAAAGCGCATAAGACTTCCAGATTTGTTTTTGATTTCAGAGACTTCTTGCTCTACTCCATCTTTCCCAATGGACCAACCTCTCAGTGTGGTAAATTCCATCCCAATTTGCATCCTCCTCTACCTTCTCCATCCCGAACGCCGGAAATCTTTATCGAATGTGTTGGTAGGGTCATGTTATTGAAAAGATGAGCATCACGAACGGCTGAAGAGAGCCAGAGGGCTCAAAGCCTATCGATACTGGCCATTGGGTAAGTTTAATGCTTCTGATAACTGCCTGATAACTGATAACGGTTTTTATTTCCAGACTTTATCTTTGCAATACTACTAGACTGTCTCTACTGCCCCAGAAATAAAAGCAGAAAGTAGGCTTTATTTTTGGCCCAGAAGGCTGCGATAGGTTTGTGAAAACTCTTAATTTTACTAAACAAATTTCGTTATTCTGGTTTTTTAATGTGCCGGGGTCCCAGTGAAAAATCTCAAGGAAGAGGCTTCTGAGTAGGGTTTCCATTTGGGGGGAGACAGGAGAAATAAATTTGTTTTTCTTTAAATTTTTTCTGGCGTCCCGCCCGTGAAGTAGTCAGTTGCTCCTTTAGTTTCATCCCAGACCAAGGAAGATCATTAATCAAAAGTCCCTGTTTTATCTCTGGTCCTCTGCTAAGAAAAAAAACCTTCAGGGAGATTTTGGGTTTCAAGAAACGTAATTGCGATTTGGCGGATATAAGATTTTCAGATATTTTCAAGTTAATACATAGTAACTACATCAAAATTGAAGAGATATTTCGAAAACGCACGCCCTCGCGGAAAGGAACCTTGATTTAAAAATTGGCAACGTGCCAAATTTGAACGCGTAACAGTTCCGCGTCGCGGTTTTCCTCTTAATCTCTGTGTCTCTCCATTACGCAGTGTATTTTTCGAAAAAATAAACTTTTTTGGGTCATTGAAGTACGTGGCGCCAACTTGTAGTGGGTAGAGCAAACTGTGTGCGATAAAGCGCGTTGTTTTGAGGTTCCTTTCCGCGAGGCCGTGAAAACGTAAAAAGAAACTAGTACATCATTTTTGAATGATTGCATTGGAATCCCGAACTGCTACGTTTTCCGCTTCTGCTTGCCAAAACCAGTCAGATTTCGAATTTTTATAGATTTTGTGAATTTTACAGATACAACTTTACGGCCAGAAGTAAAATTTTACGACTGCCCAAAAAAGTCCCCTAAGACTTGAAATTCGTGGAATTCATAAAATTCGAAAATATAAAATCTCAGTCATGTTGCTGAGCTACTTTTAGTTTTGTTCGATTCAGCTGAAGGTTTTAGCTTTGAATTTTGAAAATTTCAATTTCCTTAATTTTGAATTTGATTTTGACCAACTTATCCTAGTTCTTTCTTTGGATAGTGATAAACTGAATCGTGCAAACTATCAGAAAATGGGCTATCATTTTCGATACTTGTTGTTTCTGACTATTCTGACCGACGTTTCTGGAGAAGAACCATCTATGACACGTATTCCTGGGAAGCCAGGAATCTTTAAAACCTCAGAAACTTTGGAAACTTCTTGGGAGGAGTGTATGGTGAAATGCAGAGCAGATATCAATTGTTCGGTTAGTTTGTGGAAAGTATTCAATGAAAAAACTCTCAAAATTTTCATAGGTGGTCTACAAAACGTCTGATATTCAATGCCAGTATTTTCTATTCGGAAGCATTTCAACAATTCAACAAGCTGCTCCTAAAGGGGTTGAAATAGCATTAAAAGTATTCTAGTTTTCTGAAAATCGCGAATTTTATGAATTTACAGATCCAACTCTCAGGAAACCAATGTCCCATTTCCAATCCTCTGGTTCCTGGACATACTTATTACACTCAAATCATCAAAAGCCAATTTTACAAAACCACATTGTCTCAAGATTCTCTGTCCAACAATATCTACAACCTGACCTACATTGTCTCTACCTGTCCAGACAATACAAAGTTATTCCAGAGAGGAGAGACTATTGTAGTTTGTATTGGTCTTTACTTTTTCGAAGACCCTCGTTGTAATAATGCTATGGAAGCATCCGCACTTTGTAAAGCACAGAATGGAACACTGACCGGTCCAGCAAATGCTGATGAGTATGAGTACATACAAGGTAAGATATGCAGCAAACGACGGGCAGGAACGCCCAACCTGCCCATTAGTATATCTGTAACTTTGTTTTCAGAAATATCCTACTCCTCCGTGGACACCTCTAACCCAGACTCATTTCAATATTTGATCTACTGGATAGACGGCGCTGGTACCAACACAAAAAATGACTACACATTCGAAGACCCTACACATAATGGAAGTACCAATTATAAATGGATTGGAGGTGCACCAATAGCTAAACGAACTGGTTACTGTCTAAATAATCCAAATCCTCTCTCTTTTTATATTGCGGATAATTCGTAAGTCTGGAAAAGCAATGTTTTTATAGAACTTTTCTTTTTTTCAGATGTACCGATACTGTCTTGTCTCCTAATGCTGTTTGCTGGAGAGGAGCGTTGTGTCAAGTTCCACCAAAAATTGAAATAGTTTGAACTATCTGAAAAATGAAATAAATGTTTGTTGAATTTTTTCAGAGACTTTTTTGCGAGTTTCCCACCCGTAGAGTATCAGGTGCTCCACTAGTTCCATCCTAGACCAAGAGTTTGGAACTCTTCCAAAGTTTCCTCACACCTCGCTAGACCACCAGACTTGTTGAAAATTGGAAAGCCAGGTGGCGCTGAACCCGGGACATGTTAAAACAACTGCTCCCTCTGCTCCAAGAGGGTTTATCCAAGGAGTCTATATCACACAAAGTGTGAAACAATGACGGGTCAAGTGAAGCTTGGGCGTTTGGGAGAAGGAAAAAAGATTCGGATTTTGTGTAATAAAATGTAGAGCTATTTTATCAGGTTGAAAATCTCCGAAGTGACAAGGTTTTTTGGTTCAGTTTTTTCGGTTTGGATTTTTTGAAGTCGTCAGGATAAATGAGCTGTTTGAATTAAGCTGAACTAGCTGTTTGAAGTTTACTTGCTTATCTACCAACAATCATTTTGAAAAAGTTTATTCACTATTTCCCAGAATAAAATCTTGAAGCTTTCACGCTAAATGTCTCTTTCTTTTCTTAAAAAATGAAAGACCTCCTAGCTGGTTAGAGGGTCCTGGATTTCGAATTAGCTGACTTAAATTTCGAATTGAATTTTCCAAATTCCAGATTTTTCCTTTCAGTCTAGTATTCCGCATTAATTAACCTAAAAAAATACCAATTCCCCATTTAGCTTCTTTGAAATAATCATATCACTCACACCCAATCTTTTTATTCACATTCTTCTAACCACATCTTTAAATAAAACTCTCTACAATGTTGGTGGTGCTGGCACATTCAACTGAACAACTGCTCAAGTTTCTTAACCCTCAATGAAACTTCCAGAGTTTCTTATCTCTTTTTTCTATCCGTTTTATCTGATGGAAACTGAAGAAAAAAAGAAAAAAAATACGATAACCCGGGTACAGAGGACCTGGAGTGTAATGATTAAGAGGAAAAAAATAGTTTAAGAAAAATCAAAAAAAAAAGTTGGAGTATTGATAAAGTTCATATCTAGGTTTTCAAGAATGTCTTACTCCAACGCTCACTCTCAGAATGATAAGCTAGGGTAAACATTCTGAAAGAGTGCCGTTCGAAACTTCAATTTCAAGCCCATATATCTCGGCTCCTGTGAAAGATATCGAAAAGTAGTCTACTGATAAACTGTTGGTGATATTATGATAAACATTTTGTCAGTTGACCGCTTTTTGATACCGTTTACAGGAAGTGAGATATATAGGCTCAAAGTTTACGGTTCGGTTGCAATTCCACCTAATTTTTTAATCCTTGAATTGTCCCATTTCTTAAAATTAGTGCTTCTGAAAATCTAATGTATTTTTTGTTTAGATATGGAGACGACAATCCAACCTCTACCACCACTGACCCTCCCTGCAAGAGGTTTTTTCCTTTTTTTTTTGGTTCTCCGAAAAATGAAAAATTTGAGTTTCAGAAGAAAGACGGGGTCCAGAAGGATTCAGACCTCCACAACCGAGAAGAATGGAGCAGTTTGGAGGTTCAGAAGTTAATGGCTCAGCATTTTCGGTTCCCGCGAAAGGAGGAGGATTTGGAGGTAATTTGAAAATTTTCTCTTAACCAAAAAAACTTTTATCAGGTCTTAAAAACCCAGAAGGAGGTTTTGGTCCATTTGGAGGCTTCGGTGGTAACGAAACTTATTTCGTTTACGCTTCAAAATGTAATTTTCAGCATTCAATGTTCCTCTACCGATTCCTCCTCATTTAGAATCTACCAGATCGTTCGGCGGTAATTCAAAATTAGGATACTGAAAAATCAAATACCAGTTTCTTACAGAAATGCCTCTACCAATGCACTTTGGAATTGCAAACGACCCGAAGTTTCTGCCACCCCTTCACCATCAGGGTCCAGGCGGTAATTCAAAATAGTTCGAACATATTTGAAATGCGAATTTCAGGATTCCAAAAGCCGTTACCACCCATGACGTTGTCTCCCATGAATCAGTCTGGGGCGGAAAATCCAACCAATGCTCCACTCAAAGTTCGGATCAAGATGCCACCAGTAGTAGCTCTTCCAGATTTAAGAGCCCCAGAAGGTAAGCCAAACTATGCAGTACCGGTCAATAATATTTTCATGAGTCTGGAGCTCGGCCGTCAAAGTTTCCGATCACTTTGAAAATTTTGGAAATTGTAAAACGGACCTATATTAAAACTTTACATTCCCACACATTTTCGAAAAATTCTAGTTTTTCAGCTTTTTGGTCCGTTTTTGTATTAAAATATTGAAAGTGATTGGAAACTTTCAATTACTTTCAAAAGTGTTTGTATATCTGATAGACCGGTACTGTATATTCTGAATCTACATGAGTTTTTTTTCCAGAAGATCCTGATATTCTAATCATTGAACCCACACCTAAATCAAATCCGGTGCACAAGACTGCACTTCAAAGAGTTTTGGAAGGTATTTTATAAGTCTAAATCAAAGCTTGACATTTATTTAGAAACCAATAACGTACCGGAAACTAAAGAGTTACTGCCGATTCTTCTCCACCGCGTTCCTGAATCCAAAACCCATGCAATGAAATTCAGTAAGTCAAAAAAACCTTGCTTAGGATTTCTCCAATTTTGTAGAAACGACATGTGACGCGTTTGTTACCAGTCAACCATTACCGGAAGATCCGAGTTTTCAGAATACCGTAGTCAGAAATAGAGAAGCCATTAGAGAAAATGAGACGGCGATTTCACGTGGTCCGAGTGTTCTTCTAGATGCTCTTCGTCTCCCACCATCAACACCTTCAACTATCCATCGGCTGCCTTCGACCCTGCGATCCACAGATGCCAACAACAACAAGAAAGGGCATCAAAAATTATGTGAGACTATTTTTTTTTAAGATTTGGGAACCGCAGTTTCGGCGGGGAAGGCTTCCCATCGGTCGGTAAATTCAGCCGACCGGCCGCCGACCTAGCCAACTGACAGCCGACCATCTGCTCGGTCGGTTGGCTGTCTTTCGGATGTTTTGGCGGTTGGTCGGCGGGAAGCCTTAAGTTGGGAAAAAATGACAAAAATGTAGCTTCGATATTAAATTGATTTTCCAGTATACAAAGAGATGAGATACCTCCGCACATCCATCACCCAACTTCAACAAAAGGTTCAAATTCAATCCATATCACACATAAAAGAAAAGGAAGCGTGGGAAGAAAGCGACAAACAGAAAAGTCTTGCTATCGAAGTCGCACTCAACAAAATCTCCAAGCTGGAAGCCGACAACAAGGCTTTGCAGTATTTCAACAAGGAATTGAAGCAGAAGATCGAGAATCAGAAAAGTGACGAAGCAAGTTTAAAGAGAAAGAGTATAAATGATGTGGCGGATAGTTTGTTGAAGAAGAAGAGGGAGACGAAGAGTCCAGAGGAGAAGGAAGAAGGTATCACATTTTATGGGGTCTCTTTGAGCTCAATTATCTCGGTTCTTTTAAAAGGCATCAAAAATAAATCAACTGATTAATTGTTTATCATAATATCACCAATATTTTATCAGTTGACAGGTTTTTGATACCTCTCATAGAAACCGAGATAATTAGGCTCAAAGGCGCGTATGGTACATTTTGAATGTATTCTTCATTTTCCAGCAGAGGTCATCAAGACGTTCTTGGCTTCTCAAACGAATCCCTTTAAGAATGACAAATCATCGGAAACAGTTACCTCGTTGAAGGGTAAGCTATCTTTTTAAAATTGCATTTTTAGAATACTTACCTTCTTTCAGACATTCCTCCCGTTTTCCCTCTGATCCTTCCTAACCTAATTTTAGTACCTGAAGGACCTATACCTGGCTATTCTGAAAAACATCTCAAAAAACTGCATGCCGCTCAGAAGAGGTGCTTCTACGCTCCGGCCTACAAGTATCCGAATATTGGTGAGCACTAAAAATTTAATAGAACGGCCCCCTATCTTCTGACATTCAGCCAATTTATCTCGGTTCCTGTCAAAGATAGAAAAAAGTTGTCAACTGATAAATTGTTTAAATTTTATCAATTAACACTTTTTGATATCTCCCATAAGCACCGAGATAATTGAGCTGCCACTTTACAGTGTGGGGGCCCTTCTAACACACATTTTACAATAGGCTCTTTTTCCAGCAAAGAAGTATCTGTTCTGGTATAATCGGATTCTGGGTCTACCCCAGGTTTGTGAGAAGGCCCCAAACGTCCATGAGATCCGAACGCAGCTTCTTGAAGAGTCGGTGGTTCTTCTAGAGCAGTGGCCGTCTACGAGGATAGATTCAGAAGCCAGAATGATGAAGGCTTTGATAGATGAAGAGTATGAGGAACAACTGAGAAAGGGATGGGTTTGTACGCTTTAAATTTGGACCTGGTGAGAAGAAAACTTTTGGAGCATAAATAAAAAAAATTGATTTTCAGGTGATCCGAGTAGCTGAACTGTTTTTCATGGAATGTTCTGTGGTTCAATTTCCATTTTTATTGTTTTTATGGAATTTTTTAAAATTGCAAATGAAAGTTTTCTGGTATTCTCATTTTTCTGATATCTGACAGACGGGGTATCACACGATCATTTGGAGTAAGATATTCGAAATTCGCGGGTTTTTCAATCGCTATTAGAGGCGAGAGACTTAGACAGAGGAGCGGCCCAGAACCGTTAAAAAAACTGATTATGAGTCATTGGAACTGACAACGCACAAAGTTTTTTTTTCGAAAAATTATGAAATCGAAGTTTTCGGATGTTTTCCGTTTGAAAACACCTTGAGAAGTCGGGCCCTACAGTGTTACCGCCTGGGATACGATCGCTATTTTCTATGTCCCCCAACCTTCAAAAATGAAACGTTTATTGGTGTTATTCTGGCTATTCTGGGACAAGGCTCGAAAGAAATGGTGATATTGCATGTAGGCAGTTCGAAAGAAATGGATCAAATATATTAGGTCATTAGCTCCATTCGGTTGACGACATTTCTCTTTAGCTTGTATGTTAGCCAACTTCTTTACGTATTTTATCGAACTTTCACAATCTTTTTTTGGCCTTTGTAACGTAGTTCCCAGACACCTTTGACTTTGCCGCTCCTTTTTTACCTTTCTCATGGCGTTCATTTTAATGTATCACCTTTTTTGAAATTTTACATCTCTGTTTACTGATCCAACCCACTTTTATCAACCTAAAGGGAATTTAACCAGCGCTAATTGGCGGACGTTGTTAGATTCACAAGCAAGTACTGTAGCTCGAACAAATTACCGTAAAACCTCTAATAGAACGACACCCGGATCGTCCACTTTGAGCCTATATATCTCATTTTCTGTGAAAGATATCAAAAAGTGTCTGACTAGTAAAATGTTGCTGATATCCTGATAAAAATTTTACTAGTTAACCACTTTTTGATATCTTTCAAAAGAAGTGAGATATATTAGGTTGGCGGGAAAGTCTTTGTCACTTTTTCAATAGTTTATTTCTCAAAGAAAAAATAACCGAATAATTAATTATATTGTCCATCATTATCAACAACATGTCTCCAACGTTCCCTCAATTTATGGATTCCATTGCGGTAGAATCCAGCCGGGCGTGAGGCAAAGTATTGTTTGAGTGCCGCTTCGACCGCTCCACGGGAATTGAAGCTTCTTCCTTCGAAGGCACGTGTCATATCGCCAAATAACCAATAGTCGGAAGGAGCAAGATCAGGAGAATACGGGGGGTGAGGGAGAACATTCCATCCATATCCCATCAGCTCCTGCTTCACTTGTTTCGAAACATGTGGGCGAGCGTTATCATGTTGATAGTACACTTTCTTGTCTTTCAGGGCCGAACGGTCGACTGCTTTCTTGAGGTTTCGTAGTTGAGTAGTGTAGAGGTCTCCAGTTATTGTTTTGCCCTCGGGCAGAAGTTCCCAGTAGATGGGGCCGTCCACTCCCCACCACACAGAGAGCATAACTTTTTTCGGATGAAGGTCGGGTTTGGGGACATCCTGTGGGCTCTCTCCTTCTCCAACCCACTGGGATTTCCTTGGTGATTATCGTAGAAGACCCACTTCTCATCTCCGGTTATTAGCCGGTCCAGCCATCGATCGCCCGCGTGGAGAGTGAGAAGAGTAATCGAATCGTCGACTCGGCGGTCAAGGTTGGCTTGAGTCAGGTGATGAGGTATGAATCGACCAAAAAGTTTTCTCATTCCAAGAGACTTCAAACCTTCAAGGACTGTGCTATGGTGAACTCCGAATGTGACAGCTAGTTCACGGCTAGATTGAAATGGATCCGATTGCAATGCGTGCTTCAGCTTGTCCAAATCCAACTCACGGGGTCTCCCAGAGCGATCCTTTTCATCGAGCGAGAAGTCATCTTTTTCGAAACGATGGAACCAATTGCGAATAGTATTGTAGTGAGGGGCATGTGTGTTGTACACATTCTTCAAGAAAGTTTCCGAATCTTTCATCGTGGTGTGAGATAGGAAGAGGTAAATCAAAACATGTCTGATGTGAATAGCAGTGGGAACAAACATATCGTTTCAATTACAGATGAGGAGCAGGGAAGGAGATGGGGACTTGTTTATATGGAAGGTTCTTATCACCTTGTTATTCACTAGAGTCGATATCATACACAGCCTCCATATACGAGAACAGTGATTAAACAAACAGAGTGACAAAGACTTTCCCGCCAACCTAATATAGGCTCAAAGTGGACGATCCGGGTGTCGTTCTATTAGAGGTTTTACGGTATGTGTTCTTTCGAGGAGTTATATGATGTCATATTTAAAATGATGGATATTTAGACAAAAAAACGGTTGTCGAATCGTTCAGAAGGTGATTATGAGTCACTGGACATACCGCGACACACACGCTGCGCTTGGGGGGAAAAAAAGAAATTTTGTCGTTTAAAAAAGTATGTGATAATTCAAATATCTATTACAAATTTGTTCCTCTGAAGTCAGTTTTGGAAATTTGTGAAGAAGAGCTCTAAACGCCGGGCCGCGGTTTTTACTTCTTTTTTGGTTTTTAATTCTAATGTAAGACCGAGGAGTGCAAAAGACTCGTGATATTGCGTGTCAACGATCTTTTTTGTAAATCTAATCTGTTTTTTGACATGAGAAATTCGTCATTTATAGATTCATATTCATTCGCTTCTATTATGTTTATGCTCCGCTCAGTAGAAGAGCCTTCTGAAATAAGGTTCTAAAATTCTAAAAATAGTTTCTTTATTCAACCAAGTTTTTCCATTTGAGTGGTTTTTGGGTTTACAGTGCTCAAAAGTCACTTGTTCAAATCTCACTGGAATATCACATCTCCTAGACATACTTTTTTAAAGGTTTTTTTATCCAATTCGCCCAAAAAATAGTTCATTCTTGTCCTTCCTGCTGTCGTCGCTCTAGTTTCTCAACCGCCTCTGGAAATTTTCACCTCTTTCCCGGCTCTAAATATTCGCCGTTTTTCCCCCAATTTTCCCAACCGTCCCTGCATGATTTCTCTTTTTATTGTTTTGCATCTTTCTCTCCCCTGGTGAAACTACGTCACGGAAATTGGGGGTGGAGTCAATTTTCTATCGCTGTCGATTTTTTTTTCCTTTTTCCCTCTGTATCACTTTCTGGTACATCGTTCTTTCTAGCCTTTCCGACCGGCAGCTAGCCGACCGCTTAGCTTGGCCGGTATCTGGGGATTCTAGGATTTCACAAGCAGAAATAGAACACATGTGTTTTGCAGCATAACTTATACCCCCCCCCTCCGTCAATATCCTCCTCCCTGGTTTAGAGTTTTTTCTCTGCGTCACTCTTTTCCTGCATTCTCGAAATTTACGATCCGCCGATTAGATACTAGAAAGTGTTGAGTTACACGGCTTCTGGCTTGAGTGTCGTTTACTGCTGATTCTCGGAGATAAGCAGGTCTAAACTTCTCCTTCCTTACTACTTATGAGCAAATTGTGTTACTTATTCCACTTTTGAAGCTATCCATGCAAAGTGAGTCAGACAGCTTCACAGGTTAGTAGGATACTGTAGTTTTAAGCAAACTTTATCAAGTCGCCTCGTCCCAAATGAGTTTTATGATCGCAGTAAACCAACATCAACATATTCTGTTAATGCTAAATTTTATGGTGCAACTCTTTTTGGGACCGCACCCGACTTTTTTTCTGACTGGAATGCTTTTGCACCTGGCGCATTTTTTCCGGTGCAAAAATGTTTTCAGTTGGTCCATACATCTGTCCCTGATGATCTTTAAAAAAAGAATTTTGTTTTTTTTTCGTTGCTGAGAGAACGAGAGACACATGAGTCATACGATTCCTGTGTTTTTCAAAATAATTCAGGAATTTCTCCAGTTTATGTGTCATTGTGTCAATTTAAAAAAAACGATGAGTTTTTTCCAGTGTATGTATAATTTCCTGAAGGAACTAGAAGCTAAACGAAGGTTCAAAAGACAGCAACGAGAGCTCATGGGTGAGCCGGCAGAGGAGCATCCGCCGGCGTTGACAGGTACGTAAAGAAGCTTAAAGGAGCATATAAAAATAAAATATTTCAGGGGACATGGTAATTGGAAAAGTGGGATTTGAAGGCGTCACGTGGAGTCCTCGTCCGGATTGTCCTTATGAGTATAAAGGTGAGAACTGGGAAGATGCGTTCACTTTGAGCTCAATTATCTTGGTTTCTATAGGAAATATCAAACATCTGTTAACTGATAAATGTTTTTAATTTTATGATAAATAATTTATCAGTGAAACATTTTTGATAGCTTTTGAAGAAACCAAGATGATTGAGCTCAAAGTTGACGTATAAGGTGGCTTCTATCAAACGGTTTTTAGCTAACTATAAGGTCAGTAGTTGATTTCAGGTCCCAACCCACTGCCACTTAGAAATAGAATTGATCAGGAAGATATGAGCATGGATTTCTCTAATCAACCAGCACCCCAAGAACAAGGAACTCCAGAAGTTCTGAGAACTCACTCTCAAGAGGAAATTCAAGGTACCGACTTTCCAAAATCTAGTTTTTCAAACAAAAGTTCACATTTCAGAGCATTATCGCATGCTTGGAATTCCTATGGGACAAAAAATTGCAAGAACTGATAAAAATGGATCTTCTGGAACAGATGATAGTGAATCTGGTGCTCAAACGAGTCAAGGACCAATCGGCTCAGGATCAGAAGATCTATTTGTAACTATGGGAGACTTTTTCGAGAATGTCCAAACGGACTTTGGAGGTCACAACATGGAATCAATGGATAAAATAACTCCAATGGAAATGGATTTTGGGTCAGCTCAAGGAACAGGGAACCCTAGTATTAGGTTGGCGGGAAAGTCTTTGTCACTCTGTTTGTTTAATCACTGTTCTCGTATATGGAGGCTGTGTATGATATCGACTCTAGTGAATAACAAGGTGATAAGAACCTTCCATATAAACAAGTCCCCATCTCCTTCCCTGCTCCTCATCTGTAATTGAAACGATATGTTTGTTCCCACTGCTATTCACATCAGACATGTTTTGATTTACCTCTTCCTATCTCACACCACGATGAAGGATTCGGAAACTTTCTTGAAGAATGTGTACAACACACATGCCCCTCACTACAATACTATTCGCAATTGGTTCCATCGTTTCGAAAAAGATGACTTCTCGCTCGATGAAAAGGATCGCTCTGGGAGACCCCGTGAGTTGGATTTGGACAAGCTGAAGCACGCATTGCAATCGGATCCATTTCAATCTAGCCGTGAACTAGCTGTCACATTCGGAGTTCACCATAGCACAGTCCTTGAAGGTTTGAAGTCTCTTGGAATGAGAAAACTTTTTGGTCGATTCATACCTCATCACCTGACTCAAGCCAACCTTGACCGCCGAGTCGACGATTCGATTACTCTTCTCACTCTCCACGCGGGCGATCGATGGCTGGACCGGCTAATAACCGGAGATGAGAAGTGGGTCTTCTACGATAATCACCACAGGAAATCCCAGCGGGTTGGAGAAGGAGAGAGCCCACAGGATGTCCCAAAACCCGACCTTCATCCGAAAAAAGTTATGCTCTCTGTGTGGTGGGGAGTGGACGGCCCCATCTACTGGGAACTTCTGCCCGAGGGCAAAACAATAACTGGAGACCTCTACACTACTCAACTACGAAACCTCAAGAAAGCAGTCGACCGTTCGGCCCTGAAAGACAAGAAAGTGTACTATCAACATGATAACGCTCGCCCACATGTTTCGAAACAAGTGAAGCAGGAGCTGATGGGATATGGATGGAATGTTCTCCCTCACCCCCCGTATTCTCCTGATCTTGCTCCTTCCGACTATTGGTTATTTGGCGATATGACACGTGCCTTCGAAGGAAGAAGCTTCAATTCCCGTGGAGCGGTCGAAGCGGCACTCAAACAATACTTTGCCTCACGCCCGGCTGGATTCTACCGCAATGGAATCCATAAATTGAGGGAACGTTGGAGACATGTTGTTGATAATGATGGACAATATAATTAATTATTCGGTTATTTTTTCTTTGAGAAATAAACTATTGAAAAAGTGACAAAGACTTTCCCGCCAACCTAATACCAGCGAACCAGTTAGAGGAGCTCCAATCTATGGAGGACCTCCAAAATCGGCTTCAGCTCGTAAGCCTGCTCCACTGAACCTCGGGGGGCCTATGAGATATGACCTGTATGAGCCAAGATCTAGTGGTTCCAAGCGAGGAGGTCCTACCACCTACGGTCAGTTCCGCGAAGGACAGCCAGCTCCAACTCCACCGATCCATACACCAGCTTCAATGGACATTGGAAGACCAATGTCAGCTCAGTCAGTGTCCACCTTCGGTAGGTTAACGGCTACACCCATCAGGGATCCGATTCAACCGTCGGGACCAACTACAGGAGCTCTATCGGTTGTTTCTATCAATTGTACCAACGGTCCAGACGGGGCAGGTGCATCTCAAGATCCCGAACCAGCCAGAAGCCATCTTGAGAATATGATTCTGCAACTTGAAAGAGGATATCGCGAGCGTAAGTGACATCCATTTAAAATTTTTCAGCTACAAATATGACTTTCAGGCCTTCATAAAAAGGATCTGGAAATTGGGATACTCAGAACATCGAATAATTTCCTTCACAAAGCTCTCAAGGAAAAAAACGACCATTGTGCTCAATTCCACTCGTCCATGACTACCATCAGTACCCCAGGATCTTCTGGAACAAACTCTCCCATGGTCTCTGCCAAACCCACAATGTCATTTGAGAATGCGCTGGCGATCTTCCAGGAATGGATGAAGAATACAAAGCCGCAGATTGAGAGGAATATGGGGATTGGTAAGTTCGCTCTACGGAACTAATTTTTTATTGTTTTGAACTTACAGATTTTAAAAAGTATGTTTTCAACCCATACGGATCGCAGGATATTCCACAAAGCGTGCTGGTGGTCTCGACAGGAGCACATCTTTATAGACAAGCAAACGGTAAGCCAATTTTCCTCGGTACCTGTCGAAGATATCAAAAAGGGGTCAGCTGATAACTTGTTTATCATAATATCAAAAGTGTTTTGTTAGTTGACTAGTTTTTGATATCTTTCACAAAAACTGAGATAACTGAGCTCAACTTGAATATTCCAGAATTCGAATCACTCTCAGTTGAGCAGCAAACCAAATGGAATGCATGTGCGCAGCTTTTGACAAAATACCAGTGGGAGTTGAGTGGATTGGACTTGATTCAACCAATGACTGTGGAGCAAAAAACTCAAAAAGATTCGGAGAAGAGAATGGGAAGGAAACGAGGAGGTTCTAGTGGAGAGGTGAGTGTTTTTTTTTTGAATTACAGTATGCATGTTGACGTGGCGGTAGCTCACCACCGTAGCTCAGGTAGCTCATAACTCAGCTAGCTCATAGCTCAGCTAGCTCATATGTAGTTCAGCTGGATCAGAGCTAAGCTATCGCCACCATGTTGCTGATAGCGGCGCGGGACCTAAACAGTGGTCTCACAAGTTCAATTCATCGAGGGAGTTTATGAAATTTCGATAAATTCATTTTTTCATCTCTCACATCCATTTAAAACATTTCAATTTCAGATGACAGGCGGCGTTTGAACTTCTTCATCTTGCATCTCAATCACCTGCATTATTCAAGAAGTCCCGAATTACAGTATGCCCAAACCTGCACATTTAATAATATTTGCTTCCTGGTCGCTTGATGCTCCTTTTAACGTCTTCTACATTTTCTCGTTATATGTATTGAAAAAAAAATTATATTCTTCTGACTAGTTTTATCACCCTCACGCTTTCTTCTGGTTGATTTCACCTCTTCCCTGTGATTCAACGAATTTCTTAATCCTCTTTTTTTATAAGTCAAGCTCTTTTTTTTTCTTAATTTTTCTAGTACTCTAGTACTCTGTCAGTTTATCACACAAGTTGTATCATAATTATACTTTCTTACAACTGGGAAAACATACCTAACCTATAATTAAGACCCCTATTACATTTTATCAGCACCCATATTTTTTATACACAGAGAGTTTTTTAAATACCCTCTTCAGCTTTTTAAAGGTGGGGGGACATGAAAAAAATAATGTTCTCGATATTCCGTCTAAATATGCCCCTCGAGGAGTTGAACTTGTGAGGGCGATGATTGAGGGTGCGGCGCCGCTACCGACTGAGCCACGCGGGCAAAGAGAAAGCGGACGTCCGATTGCATACATAAAGGCGAGGACGACAGCTGTACGCAGAGTGACATTAAGCGTTGTACACCGTCACGATAGAATGTATACTCTGGCCCCAAAAATCCCCCGTAAAATCTCCTGTCCCCCCACCTTTAATAACTTGGTTTAACTAACTTTTGTGCCTCTACATCGTTGCTTCTCAGCTGGCGACCGCTACGCCGACACGCGACGCACCCAAACTTGGCGCGGTGCCAATTCACTACCGCGTGTCTCACTCTCCTGTATTTGTTTTGGTTTGGTCCATTTTTCAATAAAGATTTTTTATTTTTTCAGCCTTTGCCGGAAGTTTTGACACGTTTTATAATCGAGTTCTATACTATCTGTTTTACTGTACCCCCTTTCTTCTTTTTCTGCTCTTTTGTTTGCTCATTCCCCTATATTGCCAAAAGTCGAATCTCTCTCATCCCATAAAAACCGGGATACTGTAGTTTTATGTGAGAGCCGCACGTGACACCAACCGCCGCCGCTTTCTTGTTACTTTTCTCATAATTTTATGTCTCTCACTTTTTTTTCGCTTCCTCATACTTTCTCTATACCTCCCTCCCTCTTACCTTTGTCCTTCTCTTTTACTTTCCTTTTTGAATGTTGTTTTTCGCGGGCATTTTTTTTTGAATAAGAAGCGATTCACCTAATTTTTCATAGTTTAGGATTATTCCATCTTCTTGGAGATCAAGCTCATCGCTTTCAATCATCATCGTGAAGGAAATCGTCGTCGTTGAAAGATGCATCACCATCATCATCGTGGGCATTTTTCGGCTGCTATCCACTGGGCCCACCATCAGGAGCAGCAGCAGCAGTTGCAGATTCAACATGGTAAGGAGAACACAGAAAGATTAACGATTTGTTGGGAAAAGTGGCAAATATGGGTTACAGTACACAATGTGACGGCGTTTCTGCCGAAACACACATTTTAAAGGCGCATCGTATGTTCAAAAGCGAAAAAGCTTCTTTTTTTTGAAAAATCAAAGTGAATAAGCCTCATTAATTTTGAGATACGGTATTAAAGGCGCATGTACTCCGTCCAAAAAAACTGTTTTTTTTTGCTCCTGGACTAATGATGCGTCATTAAATGTTACGTTTGCACACAGCCATCAGACCAGAGTGATAGAAGTGCAGGGCCGCTACTGAGCTTCGGAGTCGTCCCTTAACTTTGAGCCCATATATCTCATTTTCTGTGAAGGATATCAAAAAGTGGTCAACTGACAAAATGTTTATCATATTATCAAAATCAATTTGCCACTTGACTATTTTTTATATCTTTTACAAGAACTGAGATAAATGGGCTCAAAGTTGAATACCTCTTTTCAAAATTTCTAGTTTTCAAAATTTTTTTCAGAGATCTATTGAAGCCAACTTCATCAGCAGCTCCAGCAAGGTTTGGTGGGCCATCACGTGCCACAACACCACCACCATCAAGGCGATGTGGATGCCTACGTCATCCGTCTTGCAGATGATGTCCAACGATACAAAGGACTTTTTGAAGAGACATCAGTGAGAAATGGAGAACTGAAAGCTACTGTCAACTGTGAGTTCCATTTCTTAGAGTTTATTATTTAGAGGTCAAAGCTCATTTTTCAGTGAATCGATTAGAACTGGATGCCAAGGATAGGGTCATAGCAGAGAAGGATCGTATGATAGAGGGACAAAGAAGAAGAATCGAAGCTCTTGAAGGACGTCAACACAACGAAACGGACGTTTTTATTTTGAGAGAAATTCGGAGACAAGCGGCTGGTGGTGAGTATGATTTTAAGGATAACTTCGAAAACTCTGACTTTTCAGAAGCGGCCGGCGGACCAAGATCAGGCTCCCCACCGGGCTCTCCAATGCTGCCAGCGTTTCTTTATGAGCCCTCTACTCCACGCGGTGCTTCACGCGCTGCTCCACCCGCTCCTCAAGCTGCCGTCCCACGCGCTGAAGACGCTGCTGCAGTCGCTCATCAAGATGTCGTCCCACAAAACCGCAGAATCAAGAGAGAATTGGCAGATCAGGAGGAAAAGGAGGTGGTCCTCACTCGTCATCGAGAACCACCCCGTCATCGAGAACCAACGATGCGTTTGAGAGAACGGTCCAGCAATGGATGCAATGGGAGCATCGAGAGGAAGAAATTGAAGACGTTGGTGAGTGAGAATTAAAAGTTCTTTTCATTCATTTTTTTTAATTTTCAGATCTGGGCGTCTTTCTCTTCAATCCAGAGGAGCGCAGTTACATCCCCCAGCAAAAGAGGAAGGCGGCGAGGAATATGGACTTGTTCAAAATAATGCACAAAATTCGCAAGCCCAATTTCCATATGAATCTGGGTAAGTCTTCATTTAGAAAGCGTGATATATAAAAAAAAACGTTGTCTTTCAGCCGAAGTGTGGCAAAATGTCACACAACACGAGAGAAAGGTCTGGAGCGAACGGTGCGCCAGAGTGAAACAGCTCCAGAAGGAGCAAATCCAAAAGGGGTGGATTTTTGCACAAAACGTGCATAAAATCAAGGAGGAGCCTTTGGGTAATTTGTGTTCTTTGAGATTTTGCTCCTAGTTTTCCATGTGTCTTGGTCCCTTTAAATTTCTGCTTGTCATATATCAATTGGTTATAAGCTACTTCATTCCTACAAATTCGGCTCCTTATATCCCCTATCCCCCTTTTCTCGCCAGGCACTCTCAAAGGTTATAATGCGCTCCCCGGTCTTTGCTTCCCCTATGCCAAATTCTTAATTACACTTTCTTATTAGTTCTCACTCCCTCCTAGACTTATTCTGATCATTAAAATGTTCTTGTTGAGCTATTTGTTGTGTGCTCCCTACTCTTTGCCCCATGTTGATCGCATTCCTTTTTTCACCTGGTCGTCTCTTTGCCCTTTGTTCCCCTGTATGTGCTCTAAAGACCCCCATCTTTTTTTCTGGTATTTTCGTTGAAACGTTGTCACATTTAAAACAAATTCCGTTCCCCTCAATTTGTAACTTCTCCTAGATTTCGCTTCTTCAAAATCTGCTTCCAAGTTACTGCAGTTTCTTTCGAATCTCCCTACCTTTCTCCTTGATTTGCTCCAAATTTGAAGTTTCAACCTCAATAAATATGAAAAGAACTTAGTTTTGGTTTTCAAGAATTTCAGTTTTAGGAATTTCAGATTTTCCGAAATTCAGAATTTCAGATTTCTAGATTTCCAGGTTTCCAGTATTTCCGATTACCACATTTCCAGATTTAAGAATTTCGGAATTTCACATTTTTTCAGATTTCAGATTTTTCAGATTTTCGGAATTTCAGAATTTCAGAATTTTCGAATTTCAGAAAATCGGAATTTCGAAAGCTCGGATTTTCAGATTTCTAGAGTTTCAGAATGTCAGCAGTTCAGAATTTCGGACTTTTTCAGAATTTGAGAATTCCCGATAGATTTCAGATTTCAGGATTCAGATTTCAGATTTTCCCTGATTTCCAAATTTTTTTCAAATTTCAGAATTTCAGATTTCAGAATTTCATAATTTCAAAATTTCAGAATTTCAGAATTTCAGAATTTCAGAATTTCAGAATTTCAGAATTTCAGAATTTCAGAATTTCAGAATTTCAGAATTTCAGAATTTCAGAATTTCAGAATTTCAGAATTTCAGAATTTCAGAATTTCAGAATTTCAGAATTTCAGAATTTCAGAATTTCAGAATTTCAGAATTTCAGAATTTCAGAATTTCAGAATTTCAGAATTTCAGAATTTCAGAATTTCAGAATTTCAGAATTTCAGAATTTCAGAATTTCAGAATTTCAGAATTTCAGAATTTCAGAATTTCAGAATTTCAGAATTTCAGAATTTCAGAATTTCAGAATTTCAGAATTTCAGAATTTCAGAATTTCAAAATTTCAGAATTTTCGAATTTCAGAAAATCGGAATTTCGGAAGCTCGGATTTTCAGATTTCTAGAGTTTCAGAATGTCAGCAGTTCAGAATTTCGGACTTTTTCAGAATTTGAGAATTCCCGATAGATTTCAGATTTCAGGATTCAGATTTCAGATTTTCCCTGATTTCCAAATTTTTTTCAAATTTCAGAATTTCAGATTTTTCAGATTTCAGAATTTCATAATTTCAAAATTTCAGAATTTCATAATTTCAGAATTTCAGAATTTCAGAATTTCAGAATTTCAGAATTTCAGAATTTCAGAATTTCAGAATTTCAGAATTTCAGAATTTCAGAATTTCAGAATTTCAGAATTTAAGAATTTCAGAATTTAAGAATTTAAGACTTTTTCAGATTTGAGATTTTGAACTTTTAATAATTGTTTTTCTTGGCTAGCCATGTGACTCATACCTGAACAACAGCACTTTCTGAAAAAAAAATCAATTTCTTTTATATTTCCCAGCAAACCGTCCCTCTAGTTTCACCAAAACATTTCTCAATTCCCCAGAAAAAAGTTTTCAATTGACATCTGGGCAGAACAGAAACAGAACAGGTGCCTGAGCAATGTGCACACTTTTTTTGCTCCTCCTTCGATTGCGCAATATGACCTTTTACACCTCTGCTGATCGAAGTGCCCCTCCCCCCGAATACGGACCACCGAAAAAAAATGTGTTGCGTCATATATGGATAAGAGAGTGAGAGGGAACAGAGAAACAGATGATGTGACAGAATGCTCATTCTTAATAGATACAGTACATCTGTGCTTTAGCCATTCATTTGTTCCGCTCCTCACTGTTCTGATAGTGACACTAATTTGAAAAAAAATTGATTTCCAAATGAACAATTGTGATTCAGACCTGCCATGTTATGGTAGATCAAATAAGGTCTGTCGGTTTTTCTTTTCCTCTGGGAAACACCGAATGACATACAAAAAAAAAAGAAAAGAGACAGGTCAGACCGTGAAGTTTTGGGGATCATTGCTCATTTGTAGATACATCCAATGTTTTATTCTCTCCTGTCATAGTTTCCATCCAACTGATAGCTTGTAACTGTTGGTTATTTGTTTCTTCAATCCATCATCAAATTCCTTCTTGAATGTTCTCTTCATCTTCGGACATTTTTTTTCAATTGTCCAGTTTTTTTACTGATTCAACTAACTAGGCTTGAATTCAGTTACCGTAAACATTCTAATATAACCCAAACCACCCAAACCGTCAACTTTGAACCAATGTATCTCAAATTCTGTAACTGATACCAAAAAATGATCAACTGACGAAATGTTTATCATAATATCAGCAACATTTTATTAGTTTGTCACTTTTTGATATCCTCTCTAGGAACCGAGGTATATCAGCTCAAACTTAACGATTTGGGTGGCGTTGTTTTAGAGTGTTTACTGTAAAGATATCAAAGTTTCAAAATTCGGCTAGTTTAATATTACTTCCTCTTACTGCACAATTTTATAATCATTATCACAAAAAAGGTGTCCCATAGGAAGTAGGAATATCTGATTTAACATTATTTTTCCTCTTCAATTTCAAACTTCTTCTCTAGAAAAGTCAAATGACATTTGCACCTTATTTTTCTTTTCGAAATCACCGAGTTTTCGTTTTACTTGTTTAGTTAGTAGGTGGTCAAATGTCGAAAATGTAAGCTGACAATATGATTTGGAAACTTCCGGATTTTCGAATTTGTTTTGAGTGTGATTCTATTTTTGTCTTTAAACCGGCCTTTACTACAGTAATAGAGGCCCACACTATACGTCAATTCTCAGCTCAATTATCTCGGCTCCTTGACCAGATATCAAAAAAGTCTCAACTGTTAAATTGTTCATCACAATATCACAAACATTACATTAGTTGACAAATTTTTGGTATCTCTAACTGTAAGAGGAACCGAGATAATTGAGCTCAAAGTGGACGTATAGGGTGGACTTACAGTATGTCCTTATATTTTGGCGTGAAAAGGCCATTTTTTATTTTTCGAGATGATTTCTTCTCGACTTTCAAATTTTCCCATCTTCTCATTTCCCTCTTTTTTTGGATCATAAAAACCCGTGAGCTATATTTTTCCAGAAGCTACTTTCCACTGGTCATCATCATGCAGAACAGTCAACCAGGAAGTTTTATGGGTCAGGTGCAGTGGCAGTGCCAGCAGCAGCAACGGCAGCAACAAGGTGAGAAAAAGGGATAGAAATCCCGGACTCAATTATATCGGGTCCTATGAGAGATTTTGAAAAGTAGTGAACTGATAAATTATTTATCATATTATCACTAATTTAATCAGTAGACAATATTCTGACATCTCTTATAGGGATTGAGATTATTGAGTTCGAAGTGCACGACTGCTAATAGAGCAAATATTAATACAGGTCTAGCAACTATGACTTCAAACTGAGCTCTATATTTCGAAAATTCATTTTTGAGGTACTGGTCATTGGGAGCAGCTGAACCAACGATTCCAAAACGGGTATGTTGGAAATCAGGCTCCAGAAATGGACCTGGTCCACAAAATGGCCATTGAAATCGAGGGATGGAAGCAGCACTGCGCCGCTCTCTACCAGGAAAAAGAGCAATTCAAAGCGGAAAACCAAAACCTGAAAATGGAAAACCAGAAGTTGAAAGATGAAGCTTTCCAGAAAAATCAAGCTTTCGAAGATATGAAATTGCGATTGAATAGTAAGTGAAATTACCGTATGTGAGCTAGTGCAATCTTTGAGTTCAATTATCTCGGTTCCTATGAGAGATCACAAAATTGTGTTAACTGGTGAAACATTGGTGATATTGTGATAAATAATCCATCAGTTGGCAGATTTTTTATATCTTTTAAAGGACCCGAGATAATTTAGCTCAAAGGGCAATTATTGGGTGGGTAGCATTTACGGCAGAACAAGCGACTTGAAAATTAAAAAATAAAGATACTGCAAATACTTCTATTTGAGCAAATCTAATTTCAGAGGTGTCCAAGAAATCGGAAGAAGAAAATCACGAATTGAAGAATCTGCGAGAGGCCAATGATTTTGAAATTGTCCTTGTCAAACGGATCAAGGACCTGGGTGAGTTTGAATCAAAATTGTTAAGTTTGAATTACAAATTTTGTGAATTTAAGAAGCAAGAGAGGGTCCGATCTCCTCCGAAGATGCCCCAACCTTGGAGGATATCGTCGACAGCGTCATCGACAACAAGGAGCTCATCGTGAAGCGCCACCACGATCCAATTCGAGATGAGGAGAACGACTTCAAGGCGGCTGTAGAGAATTGGAAGAACTGGAATGGAAGATTCGAGACTGTGGAAGGAGTTGGTAAGGGAGATTTTAAAGGTGGGGGACATGAAAAAAATAATGTTCTCAAAATTCCGTTCAAAGATGCCCCTCGAGGAGTTGAACATGTGAGGGCGCGGCGCCGCTACCGACTGAGCCACGCGGGCAAAGAGAAAGCTCACGCCCGATTGCATACATAAAGGCGAGGACGACAGCTGTACGCAGAATGACATTAAGCGTTGTACACCGTGACGGTAGAATGCATACTCTAGCTACAAAAAAACTACGAAAAATCTCATGTCCCCCCACCTTTAAGGAAAAAATAAAGCCGTTTAATTTTTTCAGATTTGAGGTTATTCCTCTTCAATCCGGACAACACCCAGGCTCGATTCCCGCAAACTGTGAAAAAGGCGACAAGAAACATGGATTTGTTCAAAATTATGTTCCGCCATTCCAACCCACATTCCCGCGTGAATCCAATTAAATTAAAAATAACGAAGTCCCCAAACCGTCAAGTTCGGGCTCAATTATCTCGGTTCCAAGATACGAAATAATTGTCAACTGATAAAATGTTTATCATATGTAGTAGCAAACATATTTTGTTAGTTGACAATTTTTCAAAATCTTTTTCAGGAATCGAGATAATTGAGCTCAAAGTTAGAAGTGTTTTGACATGTTAAAAGCTACTAATTTTCAGACGAAGTGTGGAACCAAGTCAACCACAAAAGCGAATGGTCCCGCAAATGTGCTAAAGTGAAGGAGTTGCAGAAGTTCCAAGAGGCGAAACGATGGATCCGCCCGCAAACGCTTTACAAGATCAAAAAGGAACCTGCTCATTAATTATATTTCTTTTTTGTCTGGAAATTTGAAATATTGTTTTTTTTGCCCGTGTGCTTTCCCTACTTTGCATTCTTATCAACTTCTCCCTAGATCATTACTTGCTATCCCTTTTGATTCATTGATTTCGAATATCTATTCTTGAGTTTTCTTATTCCCATTCTCCCACTGTGTTGAAACGCACTCTTCTGGCGCTGATTCACAGCTGATTTCTTTCCTTTATTGAATTGTTTTAAACTGTAACCTGTATTAAAAATTACTTATATTGTATTATGTTTATCGTTCCATTAAATCATGTAGTTTTAAGATGCTCACTTGATATTAGTTTGCATTTTTCACTTCCTACCCCCTTTTTCCTGGTCGTTTTCCCATTTTCTTGTTCTTCTTTCCCCCCCCACCTCATATCATCACTTTCATTTCTCCCGTCCGTGTGGCAGGCAACCTCATGTGTGTGTCTAATTCTCTTCTTTCCCCCTGCCCTCCAATACACTTCTCCCCCATGTCTCTTTTTTTTTGTTCATTCATTTTTGAAACATTTTATTTAATAACTTTGATTTTCCCTGATTTTCTTTGATTTCCTCTCTAATAAAATCAAAAAATTTTTTTTTTGAAATTAGCTGCGAATTATTCCAAAACGCGCGAGAAATTTCTTGCAGTTGACTCTCTGGCCCGCAATTTGAGACACTGCACACAATGCATCAAAATAGACGACCATTGGTGCGTTTCGGGAGCGGAATGGTTGTTTCACAGTGTTCGTTTTTCTACCTTTTCAAAAGCGCTTTGATTAGAACGCAGCCAAATTGATGACTGAGGATCAAACGTGTCTGCGTCTCTTTGCCGAAATCTCGTCTCTTCACCGATATGTTCTGCGTCTCTTCACCGAAATACGATCTCTCGTTTTAGGGGAGAATGTTTTCTTTTTTGAAAATTTGAAAAAGCTTTGCCCCGCCCCCTTATCAATAGAGCGAGTTTGCAAAGGTAAAAAACCGAACCCTGTGTTGTTTTAGAGCGGATTTTCGAAGGAACATGTTTTTTTTTTGTGAAAAAATTATCGAGATTTAAAAGAGAAGAAGTGATCGATTGAAAAAAATTGAAAATTTTTCAACAAAGAAAATTGAAGCAACGGAGATTCTAAGAAAGGAAAATGTTGACTTGTTTCGGAAACCCTGTAATAGAAGGGCCCCTGTCATAAATGTAAAAAAGTATTTATATTTATCATAATATCAGAAATATTTTGTCAGTTAACACATTTTTGATATCTTGCATAGGAATTGAGATAATTGAGCTCGAACTTGACAATGAACTTCAATTACAGGTTTATTTAATTTTTCTAGTCTAGTCTTCGAAGGTTCCCCGGAGTACAAGAAAACTGTAATCTTGAATCTTGTCTCCTTCTGTTTCCTTTTTTCGCCCAAGCCACCTAATGTCCCTTTGCACCTTTATACACTATTTCTCCCTCTCACCATAACCAACATACACTTTCATTTATGTTTTGTGTTTGTGTGTCTCGTTTTTCTCAATATCTGTTTTTCTGTGTTTTTATTGTTTTTCTAGAGAACAAACGTTATAGGTTTTTTTAGTTTTTGACCAGTAATTGTTAGAAATTTTATAAGTTGATAAGTCTTCGACATACATGAGAATCGTTTGGGACTCTATATGTGCACTTGAGCTCTATTATTTCGGTTCCTAGGAGAGATATCAAAAATCTGTCAACTGATAAAATATTGATGATATTATGATAAACATTTTGTCGGTTGACTACTTTTTGATATCTCTGATAGGAACCGAGATAATTGAACTCAAAGTTGACGGTGTAAGAGGCATCTCATTATCTCACTAGCATTTTCAACTATGGCTTGCGAAATTATCTAATTTCACAAAAGTAAATGATTTTGATTTTTCCAGAGCTACCCATCAAAAATGTCTTCGCCATCCACCAGCCAGACCACCAACGCATCCGGACAAATGTCGGACCTTCTCAATTGTGCACAAATGGAGAAGAAGAGTGTGAAAAAGAAGGAATTGAAAAAAGAAAATTCAAGAATGAAAAAGGAAATAGAAGAGATGCAGAAAAAGCACAAAGAGGAGATTGAAAAATTGAAAATGGAGGTACAAGAGGTTCAAAAATCAAAGAGAAAAGTGGAGAAGGCGTTGAGAGAAGAAGAAAACAGAAACGAGGAGTTTTATGACGAAATGACAAAGAACCCAACGTGGAGCCAACTTATGAAAGCTATGGGGAGAGCGCAGGATGAAAATAAAAAGCTTCGAAAGAAGGTGGACAAATTGGAGGAATATGAAAAACTGTATAAGGAGGCAGTGTTAGACAAGTATGTCTGTGAAAGAGAGCTAAAGTGCTTCAAAAAAGGATTCAATGAAATGGGAAAAACCGTCAATTCGGAGGAGTTTGGACGGAAGGAGAAATTCAAGCAGATGGCAGAGAAATTGGTTGAGATTAAAAGGAAAATGGAAGATGGTGAGTTTTATTGTTTATTTGAAAATTTTCAAATTATCGAGTCTTCAGAAGCAAAGGAGCTCGTGAGCGAAAACAATCAGAAGGACATTCCATCCACTTCAGGAGGACCACCACAGAAAAAAGTGAGTTTTTGGGAAGAAATCTGAAAAAAGGAAAAAAGCATTTTCAGAGAAAGCGAAACGGCTTCTAGCCACTTCATCCTCTTCTTGGCTGCTCCTAAATCTCCTATAATAAACTTTACTGTTTTCATCATCGTAGACAATTTCTTAATTGTCTTTCACCTTTTTCTTCCTTCTTTCCATCTAAATTGGTTCTTTTGATCTCTATAAGTCTCTTTTCTTACATTTCTCATCTTTTCTAACATTTCACATTGTTCAAATCATATTATTTCTTCATTTTCCTGTGTTTATGTTTCCACCACTGTCTTTTATTTTCTCCACCATTTTTTGAGCTCCTAAGATTCCTCGATTGTTTTTATTGGTTTTTCTTTTTCCCTAATTTTTCAATTTTTCCGAACCTGACATTTATAAGCAAAAAAAAAACAAATAAATTCATAATTTTATTCAAATGTTCTAACCATTTTTGTTCAGACTGCGTTGTTTCCCCTAATAAATAGAAGCACATCTTTAACCGTCAACTTTGAGCTCAATTATCTCGCTTCTTGTGAAAGATTTTAAAAATTTGTCAACTGATTATTTATTTAGCATAATATTATCAATATTTTATCAGTTGACAAATTTTTGGTATCTCTCCTAGGAACCGAGATGATTGAGCTCAAAGTGGACGGTTTAAGTGGAGCTTCTATAGAGGCATTTTTGTATCTTTTTCAGCTCTTCTGCATGAATAGGAAACTAGAATTTCAGAGTTTCGGACTATCTGGAAAAGGCAAAATTGTTCCAATATTTTCCTGGTAGATCAAAAATAGATCAACATTCTCTAAAAGCCGGGAACATTTTCAATGTTTTCTTTTCCAATTTTTTTCAAATTATTTCTTTTTTCTCTGCTCTTTTTCTCTGCTATTGTCGGAATAAAAAAAGTGAGACTCGGTGTTTGCGTACTTTGATTCCCGCCTCCCCCCACCGACGCTCCGCCCATCGCTTTGCAAGTGCGGCGTGGTGTTTTGGCGCCACTTGGGAGATCATCGGATTTAATGAGATTTTCATAGAATTTAATGAGATTTTCATAGAGATCATCGGATTTAATGAGATTTTCATAGAATTTAATGAGATTTTCATAGAGATCATCGGATTTAATGAGATTTTCATAGAAAATATGATTTCCAAGTGGCGCGCCAAAACACCACGCCGCACTTGCAAAGCGATGGGCGGAGCGTCGGTGGGGGGAGGCGGGAATCAAAGTACGCAAACACCGAGTCCCACTTTTTTTTCCGACAATAATACTTTCAATAAAATCCTTTTTTTTCCCAGAAACTTGTCAATGGAGGACCACGACGCTCCAGAATCTCCAGTGAATGATGATTTTCAACCAAATCCAGCTAATCGAAATCCAGAAGTTCCAGAAGTAACTTTGGAAAGTGAGTTTTGTGATTCGTATTGTAAAAATCGATGTAAAAATAGAAGCCCATTCTGTACGTGCACCTTGAGCTACATTATCTCGGTTCCTATGAGAAATATCAAAAATCTGTCAACTGATAAAATGTAGCTGATAATATGAAAAGTATTTCATCAGTTGACATATTTTTGATATCTTTCATAGGAATCAAGATAATCAAGCTGAATGGGCTTCTATTATACAATCCCTTTTTAGGAAACTTGAAAATATTAAACTTTTCAGTGTACATGGCTGCAAAGGACGCAGATAAGACGGCCAAAGCTTTATTGGAGAAACAAAAAAAGACTATTGAAGATTTGGAAAAGACGATAGAGGAAAATGAACCTGAGACAGAAGAGAAAAAGAAGGCACTGACAGCTAAAATCGATAAAGCTAAGAGAAAGCGTTCCAAAGCTTCTAATTCGAAAAAAACTTTTGAAAATCTAACTGAAGAGAAAAGAAATCGAGGGAATGATATAGAACTGAGAATAATAGAGATGGAAAAGGAGAATGCGAAGATGAGGAAGGAGTTGGGATCGGATTTTATAGAAACGTCGTATAAAGAGAAAATTGAGGAGTTGAAAGCCAAAATAAACAAAGCGAAGGAGTCAAAAAGAAAATCCCAAGATACGGAGAAACATGAAGACAATGGTACAAGTATTAAACTCGTTCAGGAACTGAAGCGTAAAATAAGAGAAGATTATCATCTCAAAAAACTTTTAGATTCGTTGAAAAAAACTAAAGAAGATAATGCTGAGCGAGAAGAGCAGACACAGGAAGTGGAAGGAAATCTGAATGATCGCATGGATAGAAATGTGATGGAAGGAAAGTTGGGGTGCTTCAAAAATGTATTCGCTGAAATTGAAGGAATTGACAAATTGAATGGGATTAGGGTGGAGGAAAAATACAAGAAAATGTATGAGAAGTTGCGGGAAATTGAAGGAAAACAACGAAAAATTGAGGATGGTAAGTGATTTATTTTTTTTTCTCGTATTGCTTACTTGGGAACCTGCAACAAAAGAGCTCGCACGCTGTCAAGTTTGAGCTAATTCATCTCAGTTCCTGAGGATTATATCGGAACTGTATCAAATGTTTCTGATATTATGATAAAAAATTCATCAGTTGACAACTTTTTTTAAATTTTGACTGGAACCGACATAAACAAGCTTGAAGTTCCCAGTTAGGGGGCTTTTCTATTACAGGTTTTACGGTAAACGCATATCATTTCATTTTCAGAGATGAGGATAAAACTAAATGAGCTTGATAGACGTGAGGACGTGCCATCAACTTCAGGACCACGACGACTAAACTAAATTCCTTTCAGAAACTTTTTTTTTCCATTTCTTCACTTTTCCCAAGCCTAAATAATCATCTCATTCTCTCATTTATGCTTTTTTCTCTATATTTTCTTTTTTCTCCAATTCCACAAATTTTCAAATAACTTCCTTACATACAGTGCGTTTCAATATTATACGTCCACTCTTGTTTTTGGCCGTAACTTGAGAACCGGTTGAGATATCAATCTAATTTTATTAAAATTGAATTCAGAGCGACAAATTACATCTAGAAAACCATTTTTGAGAAAAAATATTGAAAACTACTCGAGATACAGAGAAAAATCTGAAAATGTGACATTTGCAACCGTTTCAAAATTATACGTCCACTTCAAAGGTATGTCGATCTTGACCTTTGGCGGAGCCGGAAAAGCTTGAATTTAGTTTTGTTTTTTGCTGCCAATGTGAGAAACTTTTTTCATTATGCTTTTCCTTGTTTTTCTCCACTTTTCAACATGTCTCGTGGCCATTTGCTCACTGATGCTGAAAAAGCCTTCATCGACGCGTTCAAAACCTCTGGTTGGACCAACAGGGCTATCGCGAAACATCTAAATCGTTCCCACGATTGCATTAATCGTTTTGTATCGAACCGGACCCGCAACAATCAACCCAACAAGGCTGGACGTCCTCCAAAACTCAATTCAAGAGCCAAACGATCAATCGTTCGTGTGGCTTCAAACACCATGAAGTCTTGTAATGATATCAAAAAAGAGCTGAATCTTGGAGTGAGCAAGTGTACAATCTGGAGGGCTCTTAAGGATGATCCAAACATCAAAAGAGCAGTCATGCGCCCTGCTCCGAAGCTCACTGACAATCACAAAACTCGCCGTCTCGACTTCGCTCGAAAAAACATGGGAACCAACTGGGATAAGGTATTAAGTTTAAAATTATCTATCCAAATTATCTTATCTTTTACAGGTAATTTTTTCGGACGAGAAAAAATTCAATCTTGATGGACCCGACGGATTCAAATCGTACTGGCACGACTTGCGGAAGGATCCAGCCGTTTTTGCCAAAAGGAATTTCGGGGGAGGCAGTTTGATGGTATGGGGAGCATTTGCTTCGGCTGGATACTTGGAGCTCGCTTTCACCACTTGTCGAATGAACTCCACAGACTACCAAGACGTTCTCCAGAACCACCTTATCCCGTTTCGTCGTCGATTCAGTCGCCGCCAGTTCATTTTTCAGCAAGATAATGCTGCAATCCATGTCAGCCGCTCCACTTTGGACTGGTTCCAATCGAAAAACATCGATGTCTTGCCATGGCCAGCTTGCTCTCCAGATCTGAATCCGATGGAAAATGTTTGGGGCGAGCTGGTTCGTCGTCTTTACCGCCATGGAAAGAAGTATGCTAGTATTGGAGAGCTTCGGGATGCGCTGATTGCTGAGTGAGTCTGCTGGAGCAGGAGTTCAAGACTAAGAGCACCCAATACATCCAAAACCTTATCAAATCGATGCCAAATCGTCTCTTCGATGTCATTGCTGGTAAAGGTTCATCCACAAAGTATTGAAATATTTTTTATTCTCTATTTTAGCATTGATTCTGAGAGTGGACGTATAATTTTGAAACGGTTGCAAATGTCACATTTTCAGATTTTTCTCTGTATCTCGAGTAGTTTTCAATATTTTTTCTCAAAAATGGTTTTCTAGATGTAATTTGTTGCTCTGAATTCAATTTTAATAAAATTAGATTGATATCTCAACCGGTTCTCAAGTTACGGCCAAAAACAAGAGTGGACGTATAATATTGAAACGCACTGTATTAAACGCTAGACGTGTCTGTTGGTCCTAGTTTCTGTTATACGAGGACCGATATTTCAAGAAGTTCCAGAGCAAAACTTTATGGATACTCCAAAGAATGTTTCAGCTTTAACTGGATGTACGAAATATGAGGCTCTCTCTTTTGATAGCTAGGATGATATTGGAGTTTCTTTAGGATTCCAAAATCCAAGAGAAGTTAATGTCAAATATCACCAGGACCAGAAAAATGACCAATTAAGTATATCATCATCGTCAAGATGACACCGTCTACTTTTTTCAGGATTTTCAAATAAAATACGCGACGAGACTCAAGAGATGTTAGTTCAAAACAAAGTGAAAGTAGACAAATTATTACAAAACGGAGTTCCGGTTTGTTTTCAAAATGCGAACATTGCGAACAACAATAGTTACAGATTTACCTCTATGAGCTTACGTATCCGAAGCATGCAGATCACACCGATGATTTATTCTACATAATGGGAGTTCATCCATTTGAACAGGATGAAAACGAGAAAAATATTGGAGAAGTCTATCGGACGATGTTCACAAATTTTATAAAAACTGGAGAACCTGGAATTGGATTTGAGAGATCGGATCTGAGAACTTCTTCGTTCTTTGATATCTATTATAACGAAACGAAACATCTGGAGACAGACCTAAAATGAGAACAGATTTTGAGGAATCTGTGAGTTTTTAACATTTGATTTAGGAGTTCGACGATTATTTTTTCAGATCATGGAGTATTGGACTAAAGAAATAGTTCATTTTGATCAAACCATTTCAAAAATGAAGATGGGATCTGTTTTGCCTGTTGTTCGATCTTTCAGAGAACCAATTAGTACTTCTGCTTTCCCTTTTTCAATTGTGCTCTTTTTGTTATTGCCGTTCTTAGCAGGATTTCTTGTGGCAAAATACTGTTGTTTTAGAAGTCAGAAAAATTTGTACATTCAGTTGGATGGAAACGATTATCCAATTAAAAATATTTAAAAGATTCTAATAAATTTGTTTTATTTATACATTCAAAGCATTTAGTATTTATCATTAACTGGCTCGATATTCAAGAGAGTAATATTAAACATTAAATTTTCGACATATCGCCTGTTGAACTGACCATCGGGTTCGTTTTACTGAAGCAGCCCAGCATTCCTGAAACAAAATTTTTAAAGTTTTGATTTCTAGAAGTAGCACCATACTCAATATGGTTTTTCGATAGTTTTCCACAATTACTAAAGTTGGAATAGGATCAACAGCTGGGTATATGGCTATCGTCATTGATACGACAGCACTATAAACTCCCAAGTCAATATCCAAAAAGACGAATGCAAACATGATTGCGGCTGGAATATGCATCAGCACAAAAGGAATAAGTGTTTGAATAACGAGAGCATAGAAAAGTTGCCGTTGAAGTTTTTGGAACTTTGCAGATGCTTGAGTTGTCGCTACAAGACGATTGATTCTATCGTAGCACAGATATCCAAAAACAAGTACAATTATGATTGAAGATACCTGGAATATACGAAAATTGAGAACGAAAGTTGGGAAGGGATAGTCTAGATAGTGTAGGTGGTTTTTGAGGATAGGGGAACCCGGAAGTATAGTTCAAACTCACAATCGTTGCGGAAAAGATACCCAATCCAGTAAACGGCATGACATGAAGTTGTAGGGAGCCATCTTCCATTCTCTCATACAAAAACGGACACAGATAAATGTATTCATCAAATTCCAACTCGAAAATCTCTTTTACGTTATCTCTGAAAACGAAAAGATCTATAAAAAATGATTCCTATTGTTACCTAATAAAATGAGATGTGGCATTCTTGGGAGCGGAGAGGAAATATCCGGTGCAGACCCAAGAAACCCATACCAAAGAGGAACTGAAAACCAAATCCAGATCTTCCACCCATTGAATGTTTCAAGAAGAGGATTTCTGAAATATATAAAAAAAAGATATGAAAAATCAGCTGAAAATGAGCAATGAATTACTCGGAAACCACAAGCCAGCGATAGACAAAGTGAACGGCAAAAACGGCCATGGATGCACCAAAGAAGCCCCAATAAAATGAGTTCAAGACAGTGAGACCAGCTGGTCCAAACAGTTTATGTTGGATTCCAACAATCACTAGGAAAGTTGGTCCATGCGAGTAATGCTGCTGGAAACATGTTTAGTCTGGATATTTAAATCTAAAATTAGACTAACCGGGACATAAACCACATCCAGAATGGAATAAAGAATTTCAAACACTGAAATATATATCATCAACCATTTGTAAGCTCCAAGTTGCTTTGGAGATTTTGTCAAGATTAGAAGAATCAGAAAACTGTTAATTATAATTGAGAAAACGGCAGAAACATCCTGAATCAGTTTGAGAAGAGCACTCCATTGCTTACCAAGCATTCTGAAATAAAATTTTAATTTCAGGAATACTGAAAAGTTACTTGCGAGGTGCTCATATCCAGACGGATTTTCTCCATCCGTTCGTTTTCTATTCATTACTCTAAACAAAAATCTATTTCAAGCGGAATTAATTCTCAAAGTGCTCATTGAAAAATGAGATCATCCTTTTTGGATAACAAAAGAAAAATGAAATCTGGTTGGAAATCTTCGAGCACATGCCCGGTTAAATAATAAGCAGTTAGTCAGGAATCTGAACGCCGCAGCGTACAATTCGTGTTTTTCGTATTCCGTCAGCCATATTTTTTCAATTTGTTATTACTCATATTAAGTGGGCGGAGCCAAATCCTGACTGAGAATCAGGATATCTGTCAAGAATTATGAATCAGAAATCGAAGAAAAAATACGGTAAGAGAGTAACGAAGTTCCATTTCTACAAGAAATTGTAGAATTTTTTTTGCTACGATTTCCGTATTTGGTCAATTATACGTGTGGTATATTTTTATAGTAACTGTCTACTCATTTCTTCTTTCTTATAAATAAAGACCTATCAAAACACATTTTTTCAAGAAAGTAAAATCTCTTAAACTTTATCTGGAGTGGAATTAAAGGTGGGGGGACATGAAAAAAATAATGTTCTCGAAATTTCGTTTAAATATGCCCCTCGAGGAGTTGAACTTGTTGGGGCGATGATTGAGGGTGCGGCGCCGCTACCGACTGAGGCACGCGGGCAAGGAGAAAGCGCACGCCCGATTGCATACATAAAGGCGAGGACGACAGCTGTACGCAGAGTGACATTAAGCGTTGTACACCGTCACGGTAGAATGCATACTCTGGCCCCAAAAATCCCCCGTAAAATCTCCTGTCCCCCCACCTTTAATGAACTCATAGTCCGGAACGATGCATGGCATTAAATTCTACGAGATATGATTCATTCAGAGCAAAAAATATAGTGTACCCTATTCGGATTTTGGCCGAATCTTATTTTGTAAGCAGAAGTTGTCCAAATGGACGGAATTTAAAAACGAAGACATGCCATGGCGGTGTTCCACTTTCGGCCAAAAGCTCATCGTGTAGATGGTCGAACTTTAGGCAGAAATTAGTCGGGATTTTTTTCTTATTTATTTACCAAAAACAATTCTACAGCTTCATATAAAATGGAAGTAAATAACTCTTAGTCAGGAAATAGAAAAAAAACGAATGAAGTATGAAAGGAAGTAACATTAATTTCCATTAGATGCGTTTCATTCAACGCAGGAAGGACATTTATCGTATCCGATCAAGGAAGTTCTGTGTAGCTCGTGGTCTAGAAAATAAGAACGGAACCCAACAATCTACGAAGTGCACAGCATTTTTTTAGGTCTGCTGTCGCCTCCAAACTTCTTATCAGAAATTGAGGGAGCTTGGCTTTCAGGCGGATCTTGGTCAAGTTTTGGACAAAAGTTGCTCAAATGTGGCAGTGAACACTGGTCAGATTTTGGCCATAAGGCGAGAACGGATACGCGGCAATTATTTTTTTTTGTCCTATGAAGAAGAAATCAGACAAGATTTCCCAAAAAAACATCTTCTCAGAAATAACTGTATCTCGAGAACTTTGTGACCGTGTGAATAATTTTTTCTGAGGAATTGAACCGATTGTCAGAATACCCAAAAATGAACACCTGTACAATCGTCTGAAGCAGTTCTCATGCGTTCAAAAAGCTTTGGAGTCCATGACTAAAGCCGTTGCTTCCGAGGCAAATGAAACGGGCGTTCTGTAAAGATTCGACATAATTTTTCTAATTTCCGAGCATTCTGATGCGAAATAAAATTTTTCTGAACTATAAGTTATTCTGTTTTTTTTTCGAGCAATGCAAAACAAACGGAACTTGTCTGATTCAAATAGAAACCTGAACACCTTGTAAGCACATATTTGATGAAAACTTTGGGATAGGTTAAGAACAGCCTATCCTGAAGTTTTTATCAAAGGCAGGGTTTTAAGGTTTGAGGTTCGCTCGTCGAAGCAGCTAAAAGTGATAAATCTTCGTTTTGCAAAATTCAAAGAATCAGAAATCAGAATTCTGGTGAATCAAGTAAATGTTTGGATGTGATGGATTTGTTTATCATTTTCTCTGAAACTGTTCAGCCATGCCTTGGGCATAAATTCAGAAAGCCAGTCCCTTTTATTCACACTTGAGATTTTCTTTTGAATTTTTGATCAGAATTAGAGTTGCGCGGACAGTGAAATGTTTTTATGCTTTTTCCACAGAATACGGACAGCGGACAACAGACAACGGACTGTCCGTGCAATTCTGATCAGAATGTTTCAGTATCTATTACTTATATTTACGGTATTCGATTGAAAAGCAACACCCAACAAACCATAAATACAATTTCGAACGTTCAATTTTGGAATTTTCAGGAGTGTCTAGATAAGCTATTCTGCCTACCCGGGAGTTTTTAAAAAAATCAAAATCTGAGTTTACAATGTGTTTTTTGTTAAAGCAGTTCATCATTCTACTGTTTTTAAATTTTGGTTTTTTTATTTGACCCATTGTTTCCTTGTTAAAAGTGAAACACATTCTTTTGAAAAGTCAAAGAATCAGAAATCAGAATTCTGTTGAATCAAGAAAGCATTTCGATGAGTTGGATTTGTTTATTATTTTTCTGAAATTATTCAAGCAAATGTCTAGCACATATTTAACGAAAGCCAGGTCCTGTTATTCACACTTGCGATTTTCTCATTTTGATTTTCTGATCAGAATTGTCTGTAGTACCTGTTACTCATTTTTCAGGTATTCGATTGAAAAACAACACCCAATAAACGGGAAATACAATTTTGAACTTGTATTCTGTATTATTCATGAAGTCATAAAAAGGCGTCTCATTCCCAGGATCACTTTATTTTTTTCACATCTCTTGGTGACCGTAATCATGACTCTCTTCTACGAATATTCTTATTATTTTACTCAATGTGGATTCGTTACTACCTCAATTGCAAACACTCTTTTTATCTATTTGACCATCCTTCACATCAAAAAAATCACGGGACCTTATAAAGTGATGATTCTGGTATTCTCGTTCGTTGGAATCTTCTTTGCCACATGGGAACTTGTTTCTAGACCATTTGCTCATAATTACAACAAGGCTTTAATGTACTTTAGTCTCAATAGTTGGTTGGAAGGATCTCCAGAATTTCTAAAAATCGCTATCTGCATTTATGCGGCTTTATACATCGTTATCCTGGCAATCATTGCTGTTCAGTTCCTTTTTCGTTATTTCACACTTTGCCGGCCAAATTTTTCTCGGAAGTTCGGAGGCGCTGGTGTCATGGTATGGATGTTCTACGTTCTTCTTTCTGGCGCGATATATGGAGGAGCCATGTATGTCAATTGTGATCATGATGAGTTCTCTGATTCTTATATGAGGTTAGTGAGAGAAATATAGCTCGGTCGAACTTGGAAATTTCAGAGATATAATATCTGTCACATACGAATTAAACATAACAAACGTCCCACGATATGTCATAGTTCCATATGTAAGTCAACGTCAAAGTTTTTCAATATCTTCTAAAAGTAAGTTTTTAGTCCGAAGATGGATCAATTAGGTGGCGAATCATAAAGTTCCTCTTGTCCGGAGTAGCTACCATTGCTCTTCAGTACCTCATTATCATCTATTGTGGAGTCAGAATGAATACTGTTCTTCAAAAGGAGCTTGCTCAACAGTCCGTTGTGAATCGTAAGCTCCAGAAGCAATTCTTCAGAGCTCTTGTTGTCCAAACTATCGTTCCAACGTTACTTTTTGTTTTGCCAATTGCACCATTTCTGATCGGACCCTTGATTCAACCATTCTTTTTATTCGAGATGAACTTCCAAACCGGATGGATGTTGTCATTCTATGTTTGTACCCACCAATTGATACTATTGCATTCATGCTCATTGTATCAGAATACAAGAAAGCAACATTGGGTAAGTTAGCTCTAATTTATTTTATGAAGTAGGAAATTTGATTTCAGAGATGTTCAAGCCAGTTCTTCCAAAGACAGTTAAGGTCACCAGCGAGATTTCCACGTCGACTGCTGCAGCTGTCACCAGATAATATTTTTTGTCCCTTTAAACAAATTTTCAATAAATCTTCTGACATGACATACGGATGTTTCTAGTTTCCGTCAAAAATACAATCTGACGTAGTTCTGAAACAGCAGAAAACCCAAATTAATTATAGCAATGAACATGGGAGATCTTCACTGATAAAAAAAATTGACACCACACGAACGGAATTTTTTTTGAGTATTTCAACAATTTTTTAAAAGTCGAAATTCGGATAAATATATCGGACTTGTATTTATGAATTTGAAAAAGTCGTCATGAACAGAAAGAGTTGAATATGAAGTTTGTATTTTTTTTTCGGGTCCCATGAAGCGGGTCAGGAAAGGCGCCCCAGCAAACTCGTAGACCAAAAGAAATTTTAATTTAAATTTTAAAGTGGACACGGGTTTGATCTAGATCATGATCTATTTCTTCAAAATCAGCGGGTTGCAACGAGCGCTTTTTTCGCTGATGATTTAAAACGATAATCAGCCAACGAAGTTCGGCAGCGAAATTTTCTGGGGCGCCTTTACTGACGCGTTTCTTGGGACCCAAGTGAGTTTGTAAATCTTCTGTGGGAGAGCGGGTAATAGCAAAAAATTCAAATTCACATACTTGTAAAATTCCGGGCCGGGCCTTAGGAAATTTTCAAGGCCTTGGCTCGGCCCGGAACGGCCGGTATCTAAAATTGTGTCATTTTGAGCCAAATTTTGAGCTCTCAATACAATTTTCTTCATTTTTTTCTAGATTGTTTGTCTGTTTGATCAAAAAAGATCGAAAAAATTCGAAAAAAAATTTTTTTGATCGAAAAAATCACATAAGGGTCCCCCCTTATGTGTTTTTTGAAAATTACAAAACTTGTGAAATGACGCGCACAGGGTTTGTTTTTCTATCTTTGCAAACTCGCTCTATTGATAAGGTGGCGGGGCGAAGCTTTTTCAAATTTTCAAAAATGAAAAATTCTCCCCTAAAACGAGAGATCTTGTTTCGGTGAAGAGACGTTATTTCGGTGAAGAGACGCAGACACATATTGATGGTCTCTCACANAAAATGAGATAAATTGGCTCAAGTTTGACGATTCGTGTGGCGTTCTATTAGGATGTTTACAGTAATTTGCCACGTTTCTATAATCAAGACAAAAAAGGGAGCTCTGATTGTGAGTTCTGAAAATTAAAAAAAAACCAATTTTTTTTGGAAATTTTTTCCAAAGTAGATCAAAAGTAGATCATCTGATCTACATACCGGGAATTTTTCAAATCCACATTTTTTTCAGTTTTTGTCCCCATTTTTTATTCTTTTCCATTTTTTGGGATAATTTTTGTAATTTACTTTGTTTCAATTTGATGATTCAAACTCAAAAAAACGTTTAAAAAGTGTTTTTTTT